CCGCTAAGACAACTTCGTCGGAAACTCTGTAGTTTCCGGTCTGTGTTTGGAATATTTTCCAGCCGCGTGTTCTGGCCGTCTTTCCCTGATTTCTGTCGTTTCCTCTGGTGTGAAGGTGTAAGATTGGCAAAATTCTATATTTTCTGGTCTTGTGTCCCAAATTGCTATGGGGAATACTGTAGGCTCTATGTTTTAATGCTCCTGAGTTCAAAACCTGTGAAATTTCAGAAATTCGGCTTGTCGCCTGTCAACCGCCGTGTGGTTGACTGCCTGCATTTTGCCACTTCCGGTGTCGGTGCCGTATTTACCGCACTGTAATCTGCTGTCAGTTTTTGTTGTGGTTTTCAGTTTACACCTCGCAGCGGTTCCTTCTCTTTTTATTTTTATTTTCGCATTTTTCGTGGTCAACTCTACCAGTTTAAAATGTCTTCTACTCCGAAGAAACCCACTGCACGTAAGACTGTTGTTCCTGTAGTTCGTCCGAGCAGAGAGCTGGCGGGTCTGCCGTTCGGATATTCGCCTGAAAGTGACGAGGCGCAATCTTCAAGCCGTGTGACTCGAGCCCGAGTTTCTGCCCATCCTGCGGAGCAGCCTGTTTTTGCTGCTCAGTCCCCTGGACCATCTGGCATTCGAGCTGCAGTAAAAAGTTCCAAATCCTCGGGCAGTCGTGGACAAGCAATCACTGATGCGCTGCGTCACCGCAATGAAAGAGTCAAACTTGCTGCACTTGCCCGTCGCGATGCTGCTGTTGTTAACCGTGAAAGCCGTCGTGGCAAGTTTCCAGCTGACCCAGATCTGAAGATTCGTCAGCTGTCTCCGAGAAAACCAGAGAACAAGCAGAGTAGTCCTTCACGTCAGCTGGGCACTCCAGATCTTACGGATGAGGAGCCACAGTCCTCAGAGACTGCGTCAGTACGGGCAGCACGAGGTATTGTTGTCGCTTCTCTCTTGTTTATTCAGTGTTGGGGTTTTGCGGTTACTGTTTTAGCCATGATCACTACCCACTGGCCACTATAAGCTATTATTGCTGAGTTTTGTTATAATTCCTTGCGTGTTGTTGATAATTGTCGAGGGGTAGTGTTGCACTTTCATTGCGGATATCCGTATCCGTGTCGCTGTTTTCTTGAATGTTTACAGACTGGTTTCTACCAGGTTTGTTGTGTCCCTTGTTAGATGAAGAGCATCTGAAGCGCGGCGGAATTCTCTATGTGCCATATGATCCGAAGGCACCGCGGCCGATGTTCAAGACCAAACAGACGGCTCGCAAGCGGGCATATTCTGGACTGTTTCCCCGGATGGCCGTCGCGGATAAGCATGGTGAGATGGTCGTTACTGAAGCTTATTTTTCTGGATTAAATAGATTCCATCGTTATTATCCTCGCCTGTATTTATCCCGATTCTTATTTGTCAACGGAGCCTTGATTAATCGTTTTGATTTGAGTATATTCACACGGACTCTTCCTACAGCTGTTGCCCTTGAACTGCGTCGGCAATATTTGTATTTGAATCCTGTCTTTGTTAATTTATTTGAAGAGTTGGAGAAACGTCAAAAGGCGGATACTGTGGCCCGCCAAGCGATTGTGGCGTCATCGAGTGTGGAAAATGAGCAGCCGCAGGCGTCGACTTCCGCTGCTATGCCGTACCAGCTTCGTTCTCGTGGCCAGAAGCGCAAATATGCGGACGTGTCTTCTTCGTCCTCTTCATCGGAAAGTGACACTTCTTCCGACGACGATTACGATAGCACGGTGGCGGTCTCTGATGCCGAAGATGCTGACGATGAAGCTGATGATGAGGCTGAGGACTCTAAACTGCTGATTGATGAGGGCGACAATAATGAATCGGACTTGGAAGCAATGGATGTGGATCCACTGCCGTCGCTGCAGCCAGTCATTTCTGCTATACTGCCTGTTCCAGCTGCTGCTCATGAAGATTCACCTGAAATTGGCGAGCCAATAATTTACGTGCAGCCGCATTCGGCTGAATTGTAGTGTGTTTATTATGGCGATCATTTACACTGTTTTTGCTATTCCCTATACGATTTGCCCTCTGTTAGTGTTGTTTTCCTTCATGCGCACTTGAATTGTATTTGGTATTACGGATCTTCAAGCCATTGACGGATTTTTGTGCCTTATTTTTGATTTTTATTTTTTCCATACCGTCTTGGGAGTCATTGAACCAGTAGTCAGTGCTGAATCTTCTGTTGTGCCTAGATCTGATCTGATCAACTGATTATTCCGAATTAAAAGATATAGCGCGAGGCGCTGATTGGTTGTTGCTTTTACCTGTGGAATCTGCCGCATTCTAAACTTTTTTCACCGGCAGACCGGTATAAAATCATCTGCATGCGGTGTGCAGAAATCGGCATTGTGGATTTTTCGTTTCGGCGCAGTGGCGTGTTAGATTTTCTGCACCTTCCGTCTGTAGCTTTGACGCTTCTCACTTTTCATTTTCGCGTTAAAGGTCATTAATTGTTTTCTGTGTGGGCATGCCGCCTATTGATCCTAACCGTGCTTTCGATAAACTGGTTGACGCTATTGTCCATTCTTCATCCAACCAGCAGCAGCAGAATAATGCCGGTTATAATCACCGAGGAAGGGGTGGCGCCCGTGGTGCTTACCGTGGCAACTTTCGTCCGTACGGCAGAGGAAATCATCGGAATTTTGGAGACAATAACCTCCGTCGCGGAAACGATAATTGGCGTCGTCAAGGCCGACCTTTGGCAGCACCGGAAGTTATTGAAATACCTGATGGAGCTCCTCACGCAGCTCCTCCAGTGGAAGTTGCCGCCGCAGACATGGAGGTTGACCTCCCGGGAAACCAAGCGCCGAATGCACCGAATCCGGGCCAAGGCGATGGAGTTGTGGCTCCAGGTCAGCCCCATGGTGTCAACGTTGCTGTCGATCTTCATGGCCCGCCAGCCGTAAACGTTGTTGTCCCTCCGGCTATCATTCCGCCTGCACCAATGCAGCAAAACGTTGAATTTCCGGGTCTTCCACCGAATGTTTTGCCGTTGCCGGCTGTTCCGATTGTCCGTGATGCCCGTGACCGTTCTCCAGCTGATCGACCGCGTGCGCCTTCTGCGCCTTCTGGTCCTGTCGGTTCAGCTGATCACAACTTTGTGCCTGGATACTTGGCTCAGCAACAGCAGCGTGAACTGGATGCCGATCGTCGCCGACAGATGGCTGCCGATGTTTCTCGTCGCTTAGATGCCGCTGCAGCCGCATCTGGATCTGGTGGCATCACTGGTCTCTTCTCATTGGCCCCTAATGCTGGCAAGTAACCTTGAGTAACCTTTTGCTTTGATCTGTTGTTTTTCTCCTGATCTCACCTGTGTTACTGCTTCTGTGTTGTTGTGTATTACGATAATGCACTGGAGCCGTATTATTCTTCTATTACCGTTGTTCTCTTGTTGGTTTCTATTTTTGTGTCGGTTTATTGGTAATCTGCACCTATGATTTTCATGGCATTATTGTTAGCTTGTTTGTTGTTGTTATTGCTGACCGTGATTATTTTTGCTTTGGTTTCGAGAATTCGTAAGAATACCAGTTGGTTGTTGCTTTTGTCTCACTTCGCTTCGGCTACAATACACTTACACATCTTTATAGTTTTTATTTTTCACATCAATTCGAGCTTTATGCCGTACACAGTACATACAAACATCGTCTCAGCCGGCATACGCAAATTAGTAATTCATAGTTCGCCCTTCCTGGATCCTTGGACCTCCGCCCTGCTCAAACCCGTCGACTTCGGGATGCCATTTCGCCAAGGATTCCACACTAACTCACTTGGAATCGCGGCGTACAGTCACATTGGGCATCGGATGGACACGTGGATTGTGCGGTGGAGCGGGATCAGGATGGATGGAGGTGCACAATCGCACTGGGATGTTGCGGGATGGATTGTTTACATTGGCACGGCCAAGCATCGTTCGTGGGGGTGACGTGTGGGAGTAGGATCACACGCCGGGATGTACGTACGGATGCTGACTGTCCGCCTTCCACCTGCAACATAACAAGATAATCTAGTCAATCAATGCTGTGATTTGCTATTCTCTTTTACTAGCAGTATATATGATGTCATAACGCAGAGTCTATATAAGTTCCGGTTGTCATTAATATCGGCAGCAGTCGCTATTTTGACTTCTAGAGACTGTTTCTAATTACGATTTCCTTGTGTTGTGAACTGTGTTGTGAATTGGATAAAGAGACAGCAATACTTGTTCCTTCTGATGTACATGATCGTTCCCGGATTATTGCATAGAATACAGGTTTGCTCGTGACACAATCGTCCTAGCTCTTGCCGATCCTCACAGAACTTGCGACCGGAGATTGTAGTTAGTCTTCTTCGCCAGGGATTCCTGATTCGTGTTCCTGATTCGTTCGTATTTCCGCCGTAGTTATTCTGTTACAGTTTGAGATGAGAGTTGCCTACCGATTGAGCATTACAGGCGTGGAAGAGTAAAGATTGTTCATGGAGCCTTAACCGGCGTGAACGCTTATACACGACAGTTGAGTAGATACAATACTAATCGAAATGGCTCATTGCAAACTGATTGTAGAGAAAACGTTGACACAGGAATTTTCGCTACATGTACGTTGAGGTTTTTTTGCATTCCGACATAGGTAATCACAATATAGATTTATCCGAATGGCGATATTATGCTGACTGCTCCAATTAACAATAACTTTCCAGAATTGATTACGTGACAATTATTGTTTCTGTGTCAGCTTGTTCACCAGATTAATACAAAATAATTATTAAATTTAAATGTCGAATAATGCAGAAAATACCGTGTATGTGGTCCCAATCTGGTGTCCGGTACATTATTCTGTATTGCAGAAATGTCAGGGATGCTCTCCAAGTATCTAATTAGTTAAGTTTGTTCTTAAAAAGATGTAACGTTTTTACTTGACAGTTAATGTTTTTATGCCAGCTTGTTCACAAGATTATTAAAATATTAAATTTGCATTTATTAAAAAATTAAATCTGGAATTTTGCAGATGGGCTGCGGAGACCTGCGACATTCGTAATTTGAAGCTTTCACGGGCTAACCGGCGCCAGGTGTTAGGTCCGGTACTACACGTGATACGATTCCCACTGATGACAGACAAGCAGCTGGCAGACGGTCCCATTGGCGTAAGTCGAATTCACTTAGCCTTCGATTGAGATATGAACACAGACTGTGCTCTTGAGCGATTTTCTAAAATGATTAAAAACGAAATGAAATGGTATTCGAAACAGAAAACATGGCTGTTTTACCTTATATTTCCGAGCACAGCGTTGAAATAATTTATTCTAATCAAACGATAAGGCGGTTTATATAGTTCTTAACTTCTTATAGTATGTTTGATGATCCAACATTATTGTAACTGCTATTATTATTATTCCACTACAGTGGCCAAACTCCTTTAACAGAGACTTTTTACCCTCAGGTGGACCTCAAAACTTTTGGATTTACCAGGCTGCTGGAAAACTGTTTTGCTAATTTTTTTTGAAAATTTTATACTTATTTGGTTTAATTTTCTGAAATAAAGTAGTTACTTACCCACTTAGGAATCGCAACTAGGATTCAAACCCAGGACATACAGTCTTAAAGCCGGACGTGTTACACCAGGCTACGGAAAAAAAATTGATTTAATAGATAATAACAGATTTCTGTTTGTACACATAGAGTGGCTTGCTGACGTTGCCCGAGTTAAAAGAAATCTACCTTCACAAGCACGCCACAACGCCACCCCCGGTGCCACCTGGCCTATTCCCCACGCAGCCACGACAGCCTCCGTTGATCCGTGTGGCTGGCATGGAATTCAAGCACAAGGAGGAAATCTTTGTGGAAGACGGAATACAGTGGTGCCCTGCTGAAGTATTAGGGGCACATGGGTCAACTGTTATCGGGTTGTCTCTGTACTCGGATAAGATCGTCAGGACCGAACCGGAGAGGGTTATTCGGGCCTCGGACATCCTAACTAGTGGGCAATCAGTCCTGTGGTCGGAGACGGGCTTATGGGGGCGTTGTAAAGAGGCAACGTACGTACAGCCGGATGTTGATCACTGGCATGAGATCGGTTCGGCAGGCAAAGAGCGTACGGTGCAGCTCCATGACATTACCTTAAGCAATATCCAAGTGGAAGCATGGAAAAAAGCGAAAGCCGCCAGCAGCGAGGGAAACAGAAGTGGAGGTCCTCAGTGGAAGCGTTCACTGGATGCGGCTAATCTTGTCTGAGTTGTGGATTTGATCGCTAAACTGTCGCGGTTTACCCGTTAATTGTACTGTAATAAATATACTATTTTGAGTACGAATGCGTCATGCGAGGATTAATTGTGCTGTAATAAACATGCTATTTTGAATGTGATGTACGAGAATTTGTAAAAGTACGGAAATAGTAAAAATAATTTTGTATGGGAATTACTGTACCCTCTTCAAGTGGAAAGCCTACAGCTCTAGTTCAACATACCGAAAAGAAAGACATAGCTTCCAGTCAGGAAGCACCTGTTTTTATTAAGTTTGTCATTCTTGTGATCCGAGTATGTAAATTAATCGCTCTTTAGCGTACAAGTACTTGCGCCTACATACGGAAACGGAGCAGAGATTCACAATAAACGTGCAACGCAGGAAAAACGAGCAGAAGAGACTTGTAGTGTCCTTTGCAACGAGGCTGCGTTTCCTTTAAGCTAAAACCATAGATCATCATCGAAGTAGATGGCACATACAGTACATGGGACACATTCAGGATATGCTACATATTATCGCTCGCAATTAATCCAGGTAGAGAAGGGATAAACACATTCTGTTTTTGACATCAGCCACGCGTATGGGAGAAATTCGGGAGAATGCCGGCAGGTCGGGCAGACAATGCAAATGGCCAACGGGATGGTTAATATGCCGGGTTGTTTTGTTTCATTGCGTGTGTTTCTCGGGAAACCGAAAAACCCGCACTATAGCTCTGCGTTATTGATCACCTTTAATATGCATTTGTACTTCTTCATTAGGCGACACTTGCTCGTACGCGGAAGTTTGGGGTGCCAACAGCCTAAAGAAACTAACCGAAACAGGGCGTTCTTTCAACTTTTTTGACAATTTCCGAAATAGAGTTAGTTTTATGAGCGAAACAAACTTTCCGGCTCAGGAACATCCACGATTTTCTAAAAGCTGCCGCACGTAGGCGGAACAGCATACGACTGATACGAGTCACCTCCTGCAGACGGCGGTCTGAGTGCATGCTCTGTTTCCGGCTGCATTTTTCGTTTTCGAACAAGCCACTAAGTTCTTTGCCACTTGATTTGTGTTCGAGTTTTATGTGTCGCACGTCATAGAGATTCGAAGGTTCGGTTAACTTTCGTCTGGAAAATCCTGCTCCGTCCTCTGTAATCGGGAGTCCGACTTTCTGCTGGTTACCTGGTCTTATATCCAATCAGCAACCGTCGCGTGGAGCTCAGTATGTCGGAAAACTCGTCTTCATCGAGCCGAGCCGCCAGTCCGCAACGGGAAAGTACAAGTGATGGGCTTGCGATGCGAATGAAACGGATGCTGCGAAGTGAAGATTCAACCGATGTGCAGTTCGCAGTAGGACGGCATTTCGGGCCAGCGAAGATCATTCGCGCACACAAGTAAGAATACGCACTGTCTCCATTTCGGAGCTTGTTGATGCTTCGAGGTTTCTGAAGCTTGGGCATGATGGAGCTGCTACATTTAGACATTTATACGTGATCGAGAATGCTGCATGATTTTTGAATATTACAGGTGTATGCTGAGCATCTGCAGCGAAGTCTTCCACACCATGTTTTACGGCAGCTTGCCCGACAAGTGTGAGGCTCCCATCGACATTCCTGATGTTCTTCCGGCCGGCTTCGAGAGGATGCTAAAGTGCGTACAGATTAAGCAATTCGTGCACAGGATTACTTGGCGTGTTTGGATTCACACAGCCGCAAACTACCTCGCGCTAATGGTGTACCGTGTATGTTTCACCGCAGCTACATCTACACGGACGCGATGGATGTTACTACAGACGATGTTTTCTCCACGATGCAGTGCGCGGACAAGTACGATTTGCCACACCTTCGCGAGCACTGCTACGATTTCATCCTCGACGATCTCCAAGTCAAGAACTGTCTGCAACACGTGGAAAATGTCTGCTTCTCCAGCATACTCTCATCGCTGCGCTGGTATATTTCAGTTTGTTCGTTACAGGCGCTTGCGTTTCCGATTGGAACGGAAACCAGTATCGTGGAGAACTGTCTGCACTTTGTGGATGTGCGCTGTGAGCCGGTCTTGAAATCAAAAGGTTTCAGTGAGCTGCAGCACAGCACACTACATATGATTGTCAAGCGTGATACGCTTTTTGCGGACGAAAACCTCATCTATACCGCGGTCGATAAGTAAGGATTTGAACAAGTTGATATGGAAATGGAAAATTCCGAAGTTGTGGCTATTTTGCTGACGGTTCTATATTCCGCAGGTGGGCGGTGGCTGCCTGTCAACGGGATAACCTAGAGCCGTCGCTGACCAACCGGCGCAAGGCGTTGGGCGACGTTCTGCACTTGATCCGCTTTCCACTGATGACCGACAAACAGCTGGCCGATGGTCCCGCCGGCGTAAGTCAGTCTGATTTGTTAACAAGCCGCTAACTTTTGCTGCCACGATCTCTCGCGCTTTATTTGATCGTTATTTAAATCATTAGTTTTCCTCACATTCCGGGCTTGTTCTTGGCGACTGGGCTATTGCCCGATATATCTCAAACAGTGTGGTTCTGTATTTCTGTAGACTGGTCTGCTTTTGCCATCTGAGCTGTTAGAAATCCACCTTCAGAAGCACGCTACAGTGAAGCGACCGCTGCTCTTCCCCACGCAGCCACGCCAACCCCCGTTGATTCGTGTCGGTGATATGGCATTCCAGGACTGCGAGGAAATCTTCATCGAGGGCTCACAGGTGTGTACTCTGCATTACTCACTGTAGGAAAAAATGCCAAGTTGACTCGATAATACAGTTTACTGATGCATTTTGACGCTGGCAGCTCACGGTTTACCATAGGCAAAATTATTAAATCGGCATTAGTAAAACTTTCTCTCACTTCACTTATGGGTCTACGACCATTGACTAGTTTAATTAAATTGATTTTAGTGTAGCTGACCCCTGGTAAATTGACAAAAACAAATCCAGTACCTTTTAAATATCATTCAAAAAAACGCGAGTGATTCTGTATGTGTCTTCAGAAAGTAGCAGTTTGTTTAACGGAAAACAGTACTAGCAGCGTGTTCACTGAAGGTTTGTTGTTCTGCTACGGCCCAGTTACACTGTTGGCATTCGAGTCGGATTTCGACAAGACTCTCGAAACTTGAATAACTGTTTTCTTTTCGTGCAAGTTGCAGTGCACTTCTGGAGCTCGTGTTTGTCGGAGATTTCATACATGCCCACAATGCTCTCCACGCCAGCCATACCCAGATATTTATATTTGGCAATAATATACTTACTCTATATTTCTCATTTATACCTTTACATTTAAAATACGAAAAGCCATTTTTATCTGTTCACTCGGTCGATTGCTTACAGCGGCCGACTATAGTGCGTCACCAGATTATCAAGGTCTATGATTGTCACGTCGTGTGGCTTTGGTACTTAGTGAGCCACCTTGATGGCCGGACCACAGACGTAAAGCCATCCTTTTAGTCAGTCGATTCCTGTACTCCATCGCAGCTTTAGTAAAAATAAACTAGGACTGTTATGTTGAAATACTTACTCTTTTGTTTTGAATGTAGCCCACCGGTCAGCTGTATCTGACTTATCTAAAACGTTTTGAAAGTAGAATAAGACAGCGCTACATGTTCCAGCTCGAGACAGTTTTCGTGCAAACCTGAACGTTTCACGCCTCATATATTCACAAAACTTATTAAATGCGAAATGTCTCTTTGAAAAATAGCTCATTTTTCCTAAATTTCTCACATTTTCAAATACAGCAAAGCATCGTCAGCTTCGCGCGAAGTATACGAGCAAGTATCCGTAACCATTTGATTTAATTGCTTCGCTTACATAACTGACAACCCTTTACCGTTATAAGAGATTACAAGCTCTTCATTTATAGTTTTTTTATTACATTATACTTATAAGTAATGCTGGGTTTGCAATTCTACTGGGTTTGCGTGACCCCTTTATCGTAGATTCGCGAATATACATTTGGACATCCGAAAGTCCGACCAAGCAAGCCGGTATGAAATACCAAGCAATTAACCAATACCCCCTCTTTGCGAAAATTAAATATGCTCACCTAGATTTCGAAGGTTTTAGGGTCCGCAGGATTCTGAGTACTGGTTTCCAGCCGAAGTGATCGGTGCCCGCGGAACAGCCGTCGTCTGTGTGTTACTGATTTCCGACTCCGAGCAAATCGTCAAGATAAAACCGGAGACACTTATTCGGGCCTCGAACATCCTGACCAACGGCCAAAGGATTTTGCTGTATGAAGATGGTTACGGCGGCCATATGCACGCCACGTATATGAGGCGCGATGGTGACGTCCATTACGTTTATCCAGCGGACGATGATGAACCTGACGAGGTCGCGAAGTTTGGGGATATTATTATTAAGGACGAAATAGTGAGAGAGTGGAAAAGAGCGCAGGTGGAGGGCAGCGAAAGGAACACACCGGGAGCTGCCACTCTAAAACGTTCTCTGGATGCGGCCGATCTGAACTAACTGACCGAGTCAATGGTCTTTTACAGAAGTGCAGTTTCCCTTGAATATGAAATTGTTAGTCTGGAGCGGCGTTTGGTTATCTATCATTCCAGGAGACATTTTTACAATTTTTAAATTAAATTTTACGGGAACATTTCTGGACAAATACTGAAACATAAGTATTGTAAATTGTAGAAGTATTTTTGTTATACCCTGTTCTGTTTTTGTTTTATCAATAAAGTATGTAATTAACTATGTATTCCGTCTCTGCGTATCTTATATTAACCAAATCAAAGAAGTTATGCTTTATAATACGAACAACAGTATGATTTCGACAATTATGAACGCAAGTACTGCAAAATATGAAAATCTGTGGATTACCGTACGTGAAAATCTGTGGAAACTGCATTAAACGCAGAAGCAAGTGACCCTTCCGAATGATACGAAATAGTTTAATTCAGGGAACGTCGTTAACCTTTAAGCACCCAGCGAATGATAACTGCAGATTTCGCTTGAAGCGACAATGCTTGAGAATTCCACAGGTGCAGTGTGCGTTGCTGTAGGTATCGACGCATCGCCACATCGATATTTCCGTTTGCACCTGACTGCTATGCATAGGTTGGTGTTTGAATTACATCGCATTTACAATGGACAAGAAGGCGACTTCTTCTTAATCTTCAATCGTATTCTTCGTTCTTGATCTACGTGGAACGGAAAACCAAAAGCTTTTAAAATTGCTTAGATCTGCCATAACCTCTATCGTATCTCGTTGGGTTGGTGACAGCGAAAGCCATAGGAATGTGCGACTGGAATCTGTTAAGTTGCTAGGGCACTAACAGCAAGCAGTTGTTAATGAGCAATGGCAGAGTACTTTTTGGCGCAGCTGATTGATGGGGAATTTCTTATTCGCAGATAGATCCGAACAGATGAACGAAAGGCGCGGGCGATCAGGCAAACCTGCCAACCTGGGTCCGTTCTTTTGCAAACCAGCGCCGGCAAACCAGACTCACTCTTCACCGAAACATCTGGTGCCAGATGCGGCGTAATGCACTGCATCTTGTTCGATTTTCGCTCATACCCAGTACGCAGCTGGCTGATAGTCTGGTGAATGTTCGCCTTCAGCGAGACGCACCGTGCTTACTGTCGCATACTCTAGCCGTCTTCAGGAGAAAAGTGGCCGGGTTGTGTTGCAAAACGGTTGCCTTAGAAAAACTGGACACTAATCTGTATAAACATGTCGAAATCAGGCCGCTATTCCATTTCCGACTGAGTTCGCATACTTTAGGTTGTCCGGGTCGGACAGCTCTGGATTTCAGCTGAGTGAGGTGATCGTTGTGGACATGGGCGATCATTGTCGACGCCTATCAGGACCGGCGCTAACTGTCGTTGTTCTGGAAATGGCGGCACCCAGCTAATTAAGGCTTAACAAGTCAACCGTGCTGCCGCTATTCGGACGCCCTCACACCGAATTCTGTTTCGCAAAGGGTCAATTAAGCCGGCGTGAAGTAACGTATGAGATGCCAAAAAACGGTTATCAGCTGGTGCGATCTGGCATTCAGGAGGAGACGACGCAATTCAGAAACATCTTTCGCCGCACGGATTAGGTGACCCAAAACTGTACTCAAAAGGTTTGAGTACAGTTTAAACCCCTTGAGTACAGTTTTGGGTGACCGCTTGCAGGGAAGATGTCCGCCGAAGCACTGCCAGATTTAATGCGCAGACGTCATTAGACTGATGTGCCGATTTCATGGCCTTGGCCATCGTGCACAAAACCGATGTTGAAATCGCATGTACAAGCTTGTCCGGTAATTTCCTACGTAAAGGTACAGCTAGCGCGAAATTTGCGCTTAAAATGATGGCCACGTCACTACGCTTATCTGATTGTCTAAATTAATGCGCTCCGCAGTTAGATTGTCCATTACCACACCGACCGTTTTTTAGCCACCTTACGCCAGGCAGTTCCTGTTATTCTCATTGAATTATGTGGCGTGTACCAAGCCACCAGCCAGCCCAATGCAAGTTACGTGCTCAAACAGTGTGGCGTGGCGCGCCGTAGTGTGAAGTTTGGCGTAACACGCAAATTTGTGTAGTTCGCTGTATTGATTCGTCAGAAATTACCGGACAAGCTTGTACAGTGATGTACTCGTAGATGTGTGCCGGAAATCTCATCGGTAAATCGGAACCCGAAGCAGTATTTATTTCGTTTCATTGCCGCTTATTATAACTATCATAACTTTTGTACAAAAATTGTAAATGAAGTAACAGTCAAATTATGGCGATTAATTTTGTACAGTCTTATCCGATAGGATTGACAAAAAATCGTATGACCAATAAAGCCAGCAATACAATTTTCATAATCGAATGACACAATCCACACACAATTTTTATCCGCACAATTTTACAATCCGTATGAACAATTCAAGTGACATCTACATAACAGTGATAAACAATTAACCCTGATGATAAGTGACTTATAGTGGAAAGCGCTGCCATGCGATGATAATCTCGAATTTTAAGGCGGTTAATCTGGCATCGCAATATAATCTTTTTGCCAGGCCCTGCACCAAGGTTTAGTGTAATCTTTCCATCGAGATGACTCTAGGCACTTGTTTGATTCTGGTTTGCGTTGTTGTTTGAAAACAACTGTAGGAATCTTTCCACTGTGGCTTTCTTTTCTGAGCAGTCGCTAAAGGTGTAGCCGGGATCACAAACACACCGACCACAATCACAATGCCCGTGTCCGTCACCTAAACAAGGGCGAGGTACAGAAATTATGTAGCAGCAATAATAAAACTGTTCACAACTTAGTACTACAAATTTTTTTGGCTTCGTCTTATGAAAATCACGAATAATTCCTCTGCATTATGCACAAGAAAAATAAAAGGCGTCAATGCAAGTACAAACAGAGTTGTGTATAACTTATTATTATGGTTAGCATAAAAATTTGAATAAAGTGATATTAATTACAATAATAACCACTTGACGGTGTTGTACTACACATAAAATGTTTAAATCGTATTATACTGTAATATAACAACGAGGATGTAAGTTTTTAGCACAATAAATGAGAAAATACGATACTGTACGTGCTAATGGACTGCCACGGACAGTTGTATTACTGATGGTGCTATACCCGCAGCATGCGGTACTGTACTCACACACTTCCCCGTTGATAGCTGGACAGCTTATGTTGTCGCATTCGCAGTATTTGCCAGAAGTTTTGATGACAGGCGGACGTTTTTTGCTGAACATTCCACGAGTCCCCTGTATTCATATATAGTATAGCGAAAAGCCGATATAATTTACTTATTTAGCAATAGCGAAGTAACAAGTGATCGAAGGATCGAATCAAAGCCAGTATATTAACTGCAGCATACTCCCTAATGGCTATACGCAATTAAATAATTAGTTATCTGTAGCGAATAATACGAGTAGAACACAATCGAACGCCGCGAAAAATTACCATACTTTATATTACTGCTTAACATTTGCGAACTCACTTCCCACGTTCGACATGATGTGCACTGTCCATCGACGCAAGTGCCCCGACCACTACAGGGTTCCCGTTCGTCTGTAAAAATTTACGAGTATAATTCGTTTTCACTTTTTTATTATGTTATGGCTTTTCCGGTCTCGATGATTCAGATCTTTTTGTAGCTATGCTCGAGCGAAACGAATCGAAGGTCACCTATGCACAAGAATATAGGATTTTTGTCACGTTGTTCACGTCCTAATAATTCTTCGGAATAAAATGGAAATAATTATAGAAATAATAATTTCCGTATAACGGATATTAGTAAACATCACCTGTTAAATAAATTTTTATGTAAATTATTTAGTTATCTTGGTAGGGAGTGATAATGATTCAGTACTATACTACAAGCAAAAGCGGTGCACTTCCCTAGTAAAGATCTTGTTCCTTTGATAAGTAAGTACATATTTGTACTTTGCACCCTACAATAATATTGTAGGGTGTAAAATACAGTACCTACTTACTATATTGATATACAGTACAACACAACACAGGCACACAAGCCTAGTAGGAATAACTGGTAATAATTTAAACACACCACTACACCGGTTTACATTCATGTTACATATTCGTACTTTATAAAAGGTAATGATAAAAATTGCAAAACTTATTAGCACCAATATAAAATGCACTCGCATGGGTATGCCAAGATGAAATTGCGGTGCTCTTGAAGGTATTAATATTATGTAACATCACTTACAGAGTACAATAAGCTATATTTACACCAAAAGCGCATTACCGTTCAAAATTTTTCTCGAGAATATTGTGCTTCTAAAAGCGATGTACGAGTACATAATAAATATTTTTATATAGATATAGAAGTGTACGTACTGATATAGAAGTTGAAGTTTCGATTTGGGGGATTGGGCCTGGAATTAACCACAACAGAGTGTTACGGTCAGTGAAAACTCATTGATACTTAAAGTCATAACCACGTTGGCAAGGCGCTTCCTGACAAGAACGTTTCGTTGGGCACGAAATGTTTAGAAATACTGCAGTAAATGAACAAAGAACATTCCAAACGTAAGTTGCCATATTTTGCAACTAAAACGCACTCGGCATTAATAGCCATGCTTTAATACGGCTACCGACGTCGCTCATATTCGTACTACTATACCGTACACTCGTTGGGATAAAAGAGAATATCCCTTGTATTACAAATGCACAACAAACAGTGTAATGACCTTGGTTGAAAGTAACAAGAAATCACTCACTCAATGCAGGTGTTATTTACAGGGTTGGCGAAAACACCGTGATGGTGAACACAGGAAACGAAGAGTATGACCGCGAAAGTACGCAGCATTTTGCAAATTACGGCGTAAACTTAGCTTAACAAAAAATGCACGAGTTCAGATTGATGTTTAAAGGTACTCACACCAAGTTTGCTATCTGTACTGAGCTGATCCGTGCTGTATATATGGACACACGTTCTTCCATGCCGGTGTACAAAGATCACAGAAATAATGCATCTAGGGACGCGTCGATAAGGAACTGTAGCTGTGAGTGCTTGGAAACAGATTAATTCTTCAGATTTCTTTGCAGGTACTTTGTGACTCATAGTCCAAACTCGAAAGTTACGAAGCCAAACACAACTAAATAAGAGTATAAACACATCTCCAAAGGAGATTGTTATCTTAGTTCGGTTGCTTTAAAATTGACAGCCAATCCTCTAATCAGGCAGGTAGTAGTATTACTTTTTGGCTTGGCTCCGGGATGTTGTATAACTCGATGGGCTGATATTTTTCTGACATTATTTTTTCCAGAAAAATCGTTTGCCAAATGCAACACAATATTGTGCAGCACTTCGCTGCAGCAACCTCTATCGGTTTGCGGCTTCGGTATCAACTAGGACGGCTGCAGCTCCCGCATAACGCAAAAACTGCAAATTTAGAGTTATGCTGATTGTTAATCACTGTAATTACACAAGCGGCATAAAGCAGTACTGTAGAGATACAGAATTCTAGAAACTTCTTCTTCTACACTAATCGAGAGCAGCTTCCTTGCAAATCAAAAGATTACTTCAGAACAAGCGTCGCACGGCCTTTTGCTGACCATGTGATTGCTTCACTGAACGATCGATTTTGGGACACTATTCAACGGGCACTAGGCAGTGGTTGAAAATATGTACTACTTGTTTGTTTGTTTGTTTGTTTAATGAGTAATCCACTAAATACTACTGTTACTAAATCATTTGATCACGTCGTAGAAATATATGTATTGGTAGATTTACCGGAACAGGATCGTACATTTCGGGCTGAAATGGAGCGCTGGAATTGCCGCTGGCATAGGAATCCGGACAAATGGCGCAATTAACAGCCTCATAAGTCACACAATTACAGACTAATCCACCCTGATGATTAAGCTTTGGCGTTGCAGGATTGAAAATACCAAATCCTAGGGTAGAGTACTCCTACGCTAATTGTAAGCGCAAAAATCGTTTAAACAGAAATGCATTCAGAATACAATATAAATGTAAACGTTTAAGTAACACGGGTACTCTGTAGTCTGTACGTAAGCTTGCTCGACCAAATACAAAGATACTGCCGTAGAAACACCAGAAAATTCAAAAGGCAGTAACAAGTACTCGTACGTATTCAAAACGTAAAGGAAATAACACAATCATGCACCAATTTTCGCATGAAAACGGAAGGATACTAGATTTTATCCAAGTCTTCCTTGGGTATTCCTTATCTGAGCAAATATCCCGTACGCATGTCTCCTTGACAGGAACATACGCAGTGACGCACTCACCAACCCGGCTTTCGGCCGCACCGGTGACGGACTGACGGATACAATAAAAGCTGACGATGGAGTTTTGTCGCCCACAGGTGGCGGTCTGAAAGAAAAACTGTGGCATTTCCGTTGCATGTTTTGCTTTTATTACAGTACTTTCGCTACAGGGTACATGCCTACAGTAGACAGTAGTGAGCCTCAATGAAAACAGTGGCTACCGTAAGCCCTGTCAGAGTTCTTTGCGAATTTTGCGATTGATTTTATTATGATTACTGAACAGTTTACAGTACATCAAATTATCAAAGCATTGATTTTCCTGTCGAGAAAAGCATCTGCAATTGGCAAATTCAACTTTTTTTGTGAGTGTGGGCTATTATCAAGCTCATAATGCGCGGGAAACTTGGCATGTCGGAAAATTCGTCTTCATCAAATGGGGCGCATAGTCCGCCACCGAGAGGCGCACTTGATGGGATCGCGGATCGGATGAAACGCATGCTGGAAAGTGGAGATCTGTCTGATGTACAATTTGAAGTAGGACGGGACTTCGGACCAGCGAAGATCTTTCGAGCCCACAAGTGAGAATAAAACATGCATGGTTCCTCTGGCAGCTGTTCTAGTCCGTCATCCACATCAGTGCTGTGGAAATTTGAACATATTTTTCGTTTGCGCAAGAAGCTGCATGTGTTAATATTGCAGATATGTGCTAAGCAGCAGCAGCGAGGTGTTCTACACTATGTTTTACGGGAGTCTACCCGACAAGTGTGACACGACCATCGACATTCCTGATGTTCCTGAAGATGCTTTCGCGATCATGCTCAGGTGCGTTGAGGTCTCGATCTAGTTGAAATGGTTGGCTAATTGGCAGACGAGTGTTCTATGCCTAGTGCCTCCTGCTAATATCTATGCTTTTGCAGGTATATCTATACGGACAGTGTGGATTTACTAGATGAGGATAATGTTTACCCTACGATGGTGTGCGCTGACAAGTACGACCTACGACGTTTGGCCGATCACTGTTTCGACTACATCCTCGCTGATCTCAGGGCAGAAAATTGTCTGCATCATCTGGAAAAGGTATGACCTTACCAAACCAGTTGCATCGCTTAGCCGTAATGCTTCGCTGAAGTTATTGCTGTTGTTTTTCTAGGCTCTTTCATGGGGCACCCCGACCGCACATATCGTGGAAAATTGTCTGCATTTCGTGGATGTGTACTGTCAAGAGGTCTTGGGATCCGAAGACTTTGCTGAAATTAAACACAGCACATTGCGAAGAATTGTGGAGCGCGACACGTTTTTCGCGGAGGAAGACGTCATCTACACGGCGGTGAGCAAGTAAGCAGGACGCCGAATCAACCATGATTGAAATGTTTATTATCTTATTGTTAATTAAATTACAGTTGGGCGCTCGCGGCCTGCGCCCGCAGTAAGTTGGAGGCATCGCCGGCCAATCGGCGGAAGGTGCTGGGACAAGTTCTTCACCTGATACGATTCCCGCTGATGACGGACAAGCAACTGGCAGACGGTCCCGCTGGCGTAAGTTAAACTCAAGACTTCAGACTGAAACACGTTTGATTTTAAAAACACCTTTTAGCCGTTTTTTGAAACGATTTATACTGAAATAGAATGGCATCTGAACCTAAAAAACGCTGTAACAAATACTTGGTTCTAAAAAACGCTCGGCGGTGCGCACGACCACCACGGCAGCAGCCAGAACAGTGTTTTATGCATTATAGGTTATAACATAAATAATAGTTAAATACTGCCAGCAGTGAGTTGCTTTTTGTAGTCGTTAGTGTGTGATTTGACGATGCAGCATGAGCAGGTAAAAGATTTCCGTTTGATACAGAGCGGTTTGCTGAAATCATCAACGTTAATGGAGATTTATATTCACAAGCACGCCACGGAGCAACGTCCTGTGCCGTCTGGCTTATTCCCCACGCAACCGCGGCAATCCCCGTTGATCCGTGTAGGCAGCATGGAGTTAAAGCACAAGGAGGAGATATTCGTGGAGGACGGACTGCACTGGTATCCTGCCCAAGTATTAGGAACACGTGGATCAGCCGTCGTCGGGCTGTCGCTGCACTTTACTGACAAGATTGTCAAGGCCGAAGCGGACCAGTTTATTCGGGCCTCGGACATCCTGACCGCTGGGCAACCGATCATTTGGTGGAATACATCCTTGGGACCTTGGGGGCGTTGTAAACCCGGAACGTACTTAAAGCCGGACGTCGACCAGCGGCATGCTATCGATGCGGCTGACTACGAACTAAAGCTGCGGCTCCGCGATATAACTTTAAGCGGTATTCAAGTGCGAACGTGGAAAAAGGCGAGAGTTCACAGCAACGGGGGAGGCGCACAGGGAAACCCTCAGAGGAAGCGTACACTGGATGCTGCTAATCTTGTCTGATATGCGGATTCTGTCGTTCCATTGCCATGGTTACGAAAGCCCATTAAGTGTATAATTTGCCGTTTTTCGCAGAAAAGTAAAAAGATGACATATATTTTTTCAAACTGCTTTTAAATACGTAATCATTTTCGATACAGGCACATTAAATCATGGTCATTCCATCTCAGTTAGTTTAGCCGCTGCTGTGCGGAATACGATTTCCAAAAGGTGTCGTTGTTCAAGATTCGCGCACCAGAAGGTCTGATAATGGACTGTTTCGTGTGCACACTGCAAAGTTATACTGAGCTCATTAAGAAACCATTAAGTGGCACTTAACATAAAAGATTCACACATACATCAATCATTGACATAACACGTTCCATATTGACAGTTTACCTAACTAAATGATATCAGTTACACAGCTTCCGCGTGGTACGTAACACCATGTACTCCGGTGGCCCGCGTCAAACAGCTGGAGTTCCATCCCCGTGAAGAAGTGTTCGTTGACTTGTGCAGCCTTTGGCAGCTGGCACCCAGCGTTCGTGAGCGGTGAATGCAACCGGCGCTGGTTATCGTTGCGCTGGAAATCTCTGCAGTCTTCACAAAGTCTTTCAAGTGGCCGCTCTTCTGACTCGCGACCGCCGAATTCTGTTTCGCAAAGGGTCATCTAAGCCGGCCAGAGGCGACATGGAAGCCACCTCTTGGTGCGACCGGGCATTCAAGAGAAGATGGTGCAATTCAGAAACATCTTTCTCCGCTCCGACCAGGGGACAGCTTGCAAGGAAGGCTTCATTCGAGATACTCCCAGATTTTTATGGCGCAAACGTCCACGATACGGGTCTATTTGTGGTTGATGCGCCGAATTTCGAGACCTTTAGCTATAAATTATAATGTACAAAACACGAGCTAGAATCGCTTGTAGATATCTTTATGTGTGTGAACCAGCTTGAGTTACTTGAATACTATCGCGTACTGTAGAGCGGCAAAAGATTTTGTTCACCAAATAGCAAAACACGCCGATAATGAATAGAAAATTTTGTTTCCTGCTTGGTATACAAGTGAAATAAAAACTGGGACGAACATCAGGTGCATTTAAAGGAAGACATGCAGTGTTGCCCTTTGATTTGTTCGTGCCCATCCACAATCCAGTGTCTGTCCTTTCTTCCGTCCATCCTTCCGTCCGTCCCAAAGGGATCTTACCATTCCGATGTATGTACAGATATGAACGTGTTTTCCTATGTTGTTTTACGGTAGCTCGTTTCCTCACACCAAACGTTTTACTAACTGCCACAACCTTTGCTGTAGCATGAAATAACATCAAGCCGAGCGTGACAGGACAAAGCTGGCAAAAGTCTTATAAAACCTTAATTACAGGTTTTATTAGACTTTTGCCAGCTTTGTCTGTACTACAAGCTAACGCCAAACTGCGATTCAAGCGCGTAAATAGTGTGCGGATACAGGCGCTAATTTTATTGCACATCCATCTGTTCGTACATGTAGACGCTGCGGCGCCGAATCGATCGGACGAATACATCATCATTTCTTCGCCATGATTACTTTTTTCTACCAGACACTGCCTGATCGGTATGTTCCAGCAGGTGCTTTCTTAGGTGCGGCATGCTGGGATGGGATCTTGGGAGCTGGTGAGGCATTGCCACAGTTTGGGGATCCTGGCATTCAGCAGTTAATGCAGACAAGGTCGGCGAATCAAGTGGCTTTCATACAAAGTAACTCTTGTCTCTGAGATCCACCGTTGCACCAGCAGGCATTCTCACTGTACTGAACGCTACAAGAGAAGCTTCTTCCCACACCACCGTATTTCAGAGCAAATACTTCTAGGCATAAGCTCCAAAAAATTCAACAAACTTTTTTGCATACAAAGGCTTCTCACTGCACTTGCGCCCGGCGCGGTACTGTTCGCTGAGGGCGACACCTGTTTATAGAGGTTAGATGATATCAGGCGGCAGTTATTGGGGGAATGCATGGACGCAAGATTTTTCTAACTTGTAAGTAGCCTACTCAGTAGAAGAAAAACCCGGTAACAGCATTGCTATCGCTTATGCGACGGTGGATGGCAGTGGGAAGCTGGTACAACGGTGCATAAATATGTTGCGTGATTTTGGCAGAGAAGGTCACGGCACGGCTAAACCGGCCGGTCGAGTATGCTAACGTAGGTATAGTACGGAAATGTGTGCGCTAATGTTAACGAAAGAAACAGCAAAGTGAGGCGGGGAAGTGTAGGTCGGACTGCAATCCGACGAAAAAAATCGAATGTGCGTAACAAGATAGAAGTGTAGAATCAGTAGAAGTGAAGTGACGAATCAGTAGTTGTATTACCATAAAAGTGAATCAGCAAGCTAAAGTAACTGATTGAAAATGTCTACGTGACAAATACAATCAAAAACAGACCAGCATCCTTTCTGAAATCGAAGTTTTAATTTACACGCTGAGAAAAGTCACGTTTTCCCAATGAGAGTGCGCTAACGCGGGACCGCCGTTACGGAGGCGATTGCACGCAAGACAGTCAAAGAGAGACTTTGATGTACCACAGGTGGCGGTCCGAACTCAAGCTCTGGCTACGCAGTTCAACAAGTAGTACTTAAATTCTTCGAGAAGCCTATGCTATTTTTTGTTTTTCGTAATATTATCTGCCAGGGATTACTGTCCGTCGAACTTTCTGTGGCTTCTATCGGATCCTAGCTGTGCCAGACTGCCAGTGCGTCGAAGTAATGTCGGGAAATTCGCCTTCATCCACTGTAGTATCCAGTCACCAACGACGAGATGCAGTTGATGGGCTCGCGCAGCGGATGAAACGCATGCTAGAAAGCGAAGATCTGTGGGACGTGAAATTCGAAGTAGGACGGCATTTCGGAAAAGCGAAAGTCTTTCGAGCACACAAGTGAATACTCGACTACTCGTACTAAGTTGACTACTAACTGCAAATTTTAATAGCGCCTGTAACCCTCCTGGAGCTCCTATCAGTTTTTATGTAGCTTATATTTTTCGAAACACGAAGCTTCTACGTGATTTGTGGAAGTTGCAGGTGCATGTTAAGCAGCTGCAGCGAAAGGTTTTACACCATGTTTTACGGCAGTTCACCCGTGAAGTGCGCTACTGCTATCGATATTCCGGATGTCCTACCCGCAGCCTTCGCGAGGATGCTCGAGTGCGTTGACGACTTGACGTACAATAAGTCCTGCGCACATTACAAATGATCGCCCTATATTTAAGCACAGTGCTTAAAGTGGTTACAGTTTTCTTGTAACCACTGGTTTTTAATTAACCGTACTTATTGCACGACAGATACATCTACACCGACGCGGTGAATGTGACTATCGACGACGTTTTCCCCACGATGCAGTGTGCCGACAAGTACGACTTGCCCCGCCTGGCCGATCGCTGCTACGACTTTATCCTGAAAGATCTGCGCATCAACAACTGTTTGCTGCACGTAGAAAATGTCCGCCTACTCCATTACAAACTCAGCGCTGCGCTGGTTTAATCAGTTTATTTCTCGTAGGCACTGGATTGGTCTATTGATAGTGACCCCGACAATAGTATTGTGGAGAACTGTCTGCACTTTGTGGATTTAAACGGTCAGGAGGTCTTTGATACCGAGTCCGAGCGCTTCGCTCAGCTGAAACACAGAACAGTGCGAAGGATTCTAGAACGGGCGACGCTGCAGGCTGATGATACTCTCATTTATGCGGCTGTTGATAAGTACGCAATTATCAAGTGTGTCTGCAGGATGAAAATGAAAATACTGTAAAATGTTGTACGGCGGAATGGGATACATTCAGTTTATACGTATCTACGACAATTTCGTGGTCTACCTTCTTAAATCCGTCTGTTTACTTTCGTTTATTCTAAATAATCGTTCTACTATTGCGAAGGAACCTTTTTTGCTCAGCTTCAGGAGTGAATATGTACTTCGGCGTTTTTCGCTTCCGGATGCTTCCGCAATACGGATTCGCGTAGAAGCACCAGGGGCGCAATATTCTATGGATTGGTCCACATTAAAAAAAGTCATTAATTTTTTTTATTAAACTCGTGCACAAGCTTGTATGAAAACACTAGAGTACTTTTCATCGATTCAGTTTTCGTCCAGTTTTTCTCATGTGAAATAACGCGGAGAATAACGTGGCTCTGGTGTCTGGTACGCGAATCCATACCGTGAAAATGTCCGGAATGCGAAAACGTTGATGTACGTGAGGCCCTTATTCGTAATCATTACCGTCTTATCTGCAGGTGGGCGATGGCCGCCTGCGCCCGGAATAATCTGGATCCGTCGGCGGCCAACCGGCGGAAGGTGCTGGGCGATGTTCTGTACCTGATCCGCTTCCCGCTGATGACGGACAAGCAGCTGGCCGATGGTCCCGCCGGCGTAAGTCAGCGTTGATTTGTTGCAAGCCTTGAAATTTTTAGTTAAAAAAGTTTCGTTTTAATTTGACTGAGATTTTCACTCATTTGTGGATTCCGGATGGTATCAGGCTGCTCCGGCTGCTTGGTGAGTTACATACAAAATTTTTCATGCGGTGTTTGTGTAGAGCGGTCTCCTGTCGCCTTCGGAATTGTTAGAAATCCACCTTTACAAGCACGCCACAACGAAGCGGCCCGTACAGTTTGCCACGCACCCCCGACACCCTCCGTTGATCCATGTCGGGGATACGACATTCGAGGACAGCGAAGAAGTCTTCCTGGAGGACTTAGTAAGACATATTTAAGGCTTAAGGGAATTAAGTATTTTTCGACGCTGCAAGCGTGCTCTGACCAAGAAACTGGCCAGGTTTCACTCATGGTTACAAGTAATACGAAGTTTGTGCAGCTCGTTTAAATGGGAACGACTATTATAAATAAATCAATCCCCATTAGGACCGACAGTATTGGTATCCGGCGGAAGTGATTGGAGCACGCGGAACAGTCGTCATCGCTATGCTATTGCAGTTGCAGCAGATCGTCAAAGTAGCAACGGACAGGTGTGTTCGGGCTTCGGACATCCTGAGTAGTTGTCCAGAGATCCTGGTTGTCGATAGACTAGGTCACCGTCACGAGGCAGCGTACATGGAGCGGCAAGGTGACTTCCATATGGTCTATAACATTAGCGATGAGGACCACGATACGGCATCGTTTGAGAACATTATTATTCGATGCGACAAAGTGGAAGTGTGGAAAAGAGCGCAGGAGGCAAACAGCGAGAGGATCACGCAGGATGCTCCCTCACGGAAACGTTCGCTGGATGCGGCTAATCGTGTCTGACCTAGGGACTGCCATTATTTTATTGAATATCCATTGGGAAGTAGTATCAGATTCGTGTTTGAATTCAAGTGGTTTTGGTTTTCTGTTCGACTAGGCAATAAGAACGATGGAATACTTCCGTGAAGTTGTTCCATACTGCATTCGTTAGAAGATTTTATATTTTTGACCGGAAAAAGAGCAGTAGTTTTGAGTTTACATCCGTTCCGTAGCGCACCAGATCATCTTCTGGTATGAACTTATCATTTGAGCAACATCTACTTTGAAGAAAAACACTGAAAATTAATAGCATTGATTTTGTATAAGTCTCGATGTGATTTGTGCACCGAGGCTTCCACTATTTTCACTCGCACGATGGTGCATGACTGCATGTACTAGTGCGAGCATTTATTCCGAGTTTTAGTGGCGCTTAACCCGATCTTTTTTTGGCATTTTTGAACAGTAATATTAAAGTATTAAACCTATTACATGTCCAAGATTTATAAGAAATCAAACATCATACTTTCCGAGCCCAATTTGACCGAACAGATTCAACAGAAAGTCCAAAACCAAAGAATTATCAGAACTAATATATAAAATGCGCAAAGTTCAAACGCGGATTTACTTACAACGTTTTTTACCCTCGACATACAGACATCGAACGCAAAACCGCGCCCGTTTACACGTCTTGCATGTAGGTATGTACGGGCTAAACTCGACCGCATGCGCACAACTGTCATGACATACAGACTGACATCATGCGTGCAGTATTATGCTTCTAAATTGTATCACCACATTTGAATTTCTAAAAATATAACCTGTTGAAAAGTATCAAAACAAGATGCACTTGAGTATCGCTGCGCAATATCCTTTTCAGTTAAAAATAAATAAAAAGACTGCGGTTAACAATACTTCTGGGTAGCCAGACCAAAGCGGGAACCCGCCACATGGTTAACCAAGTACGTATACAATCTTCTTTCTTAAAATACAAACGAAAAATCAGAATTAAATTTATGCGACCAACAAATTATTCAACGCATACTTTGCTAAATTAACATGGTATCAAAAAATAATTTCTGACTTACGATGGAAGGCTGTCCAGCAGTATTAGTCGAAGTCGGGTATTAAATTAGATTAAGAAATCAAGTACAGAACGGGGTGTATTGTAAACAGCACCAGCAGCTGGGTAGCCAGCGCGCAGGGTTCCCTGCGATACGACGGCAGTTCTACATGACAAGTATACCACAAATTGTTAGAGACAGCCACAAGAATTTGTGAACCTTTTGGCAAGTCGAAATCAATTTGTAATATGCTAGTCAGCTGTAATGGAATCAAAAATAAATTGAGCAGTTATCAGACAACAAGTAATCAGTAAACAGGGGCACATGGCCCAACACTGATCATGCGCAGTCCAATCTGGATTCCCAAAATGCAGGCATCCCTGCACTATAGATGCATAAGTAATGCCACAAAAATTATCAGTTTTTACAATTCTAATTTCGAAAACAAACAAGAAGGCAAGAACCAAAAACAAAAAAAGATATAAAGCCCTATCATTTTATCGTTTAACCGTCTCCGTAAGCTCGAAGTATAGAGAAACGATCACGTGGTTTGGAATTTTGCTATTGGCGGTGGGCAGCCTCGATCTAACTCAAAATGCAGACCCGCCAATCAAGATCGCAGAAACACGAAGTTTGTAAGTCGCTGGGCGTCGCTTAGACCCGTTACAAGGTACGCCCATGTTGGTAACGGTTTTCGTCGACGCCCACCGACAGACATCGAGCGAAAAGCGACTTACAACGAAGCCCAGCCAATTGAGACTTGGTACGCCTATTTCTCGCTTCGATGTAAGTCGCAGATTCTCGATGTAAGTCCGCGTTTTGACTCTGCGCATCCTTTATAATAATGCAACTGGCGCACTTATAAATGCGAAAGCTGCGCGTACCGCAACGGGCGACGGCGTGCCAAGCATGGCCTAGTGACGGCTCGTGCAGATGTTGCACGGATGCGCGACACAAAAAGCAGCGAACTGTAAAATTTTAAACCAAAAACTTTCAACTGTTCAGTGTTCTGCTGAAGTTTTATGTATCTGTTTTGTGAAGTTCCATAGGTTTGATTCCTTCGTTATCATTCAAAATTAGATGACTGAAATTCTGGCTCGCCTGATCGCATATGAACATCTGGTTCAACACGGAGTGTTTAATTTCTTTGGATTGCATGTACCTGCGCACGCACCTGCTTAAGCCTGCGTTTGAGCGTGGTTAAAAAGTTGGATTGTAAACCCTGTCCGATCGAAGTGCGAACGGCGTCATGTCACAGAGTTCTACACAGTCCTCTAGTTCAGGCGACGGCGACGCAGTCGCGCACCTTGCTGATTGTGTGAAGCCCCTGCTGCTATCCGCAGAACTGAGTGATGTTCGCGGTGGGACGTGATTATGGCGCGGTGCAGATCTTTCCAGCTCACAGGTAAATGTGCTGCTGGTTTTATCACCACAGTGCGTAGTCCGTTTGTATTTTCTTCAGGCTTATCATGAGCATCCGCAGCGATGTCTTTTGTACCATGTTCTATGGAAGTATACCAGAGAACTGCACTGCTCCAATTGACCTGCCCGATATTCATCCCGAGGCTTTCACTAATATGCTCTGGTATGTCGCTCAGTTTTTCGCTGTGAATACTGGATACGTGATTAAACAGAAAACTGAAGGAATGGAATAAATGTGTACTGTGTAGTTTCATGTACACCGACGCCGTGCCGCATCTCAGCGCGGATAATGTCTTTGCAACGCTAGCGAGCGCTGACAAGTACAACTTACCATTGCTGGTCGCCAAGTGCGTCCGTTTCGTCTTGGATAATCTCAGCATTAATAACTGCCTGGATATTCTGGACAAGGTTGTGTTACTGTTCAGGTTCATCGTGCTGTAGTTCACTTAAACATAATATTCTTGTCTTCTGTGCTTTAGGCTCGTCACTATATACTGACAGCAACGAGCATCCAGGAAGAGTGTCTGCGCCTGATTGACGAATCTGTGGAAACTGTCTGGCAATCGGATGAGTTCTTAGCCATCGGGCAAGAGACGCTGCAAAATGAGTGCAAATCATTCTTGGACGGGGATCACTGACGGCAGATGAAGCTGTTATCTGCTCCGCGGTTGACAAGTAATAGCATAATTATGGTATATATTACTTACATGTTGTGGTATATTATGTATATATCAGATAACGAATAGCCGGAGGGCTAAAATTTGGGGAAAGAAGCGATAATTTTTTTTCCGTAACTGGTTTCTCATTGTGCGGATTTTTTTGGCAGATGGGCGACGAAGATGTGCAATGACCAGGATGTTGACGTATCTCCCGTTAATCGGCGTGGAATGCTAGGTCCAGCATTGCATCTTGTGCGATTTCCGCTTTTGACGTGTGCTCAGCTCCTGGAAGGACCCGTTAAGGTACGAAATGCCAATCCAGTAAAACGTGCTTCTCGAGTCAGTTCACCTCTTCACGATTACACTGGTTATATGTCGTATAACCGGCGTTTAAATATTATACGAATAAAAGTCTAAGAAAAGTATTATTTTTTTTCAGACTGGTTTGTTGCTGCAGTCAGAGCTTTTGGACATTATTCACTATAAACATGGTCCAGGCAAGCCGCAGCTGCCATTCCTTACGGAAGCCCGACAAAGTAATTCTGTTAGCTAATAATTACTGTGTCAGTTCGTTTTTGGATGCTGTTTGCGGCGTGTGTAGATGGGCGCGCTGAGGGTGTTATTAATTACACCGTTCCGGATGTCAGAAAGCTCACTGAGGCGACTCCTCCCCTGAGCGATCCCATAGCCGTAAGGAAACTGCCTTGGTGAGTCGGAGCCAGCGTGGCCCGTAGTCAACTTTGTCATCGTGCTCGATCGTCGCTACACTTTTACATCACGTTCTATCTGTACTTCTATAGGAGGATCATGGTTATGCAGTGGTCACAATTCGGACCTTCTTGGATGTCGTATTTTTTGAAGTGCGGCGCTAATCCGAAATCGACATGCGCAGTTAATGGAGAACTACGCTTGCTGCCATGGAAAGCGGAAATTTCCCCTTTTAAGAGAAGTAGGTTTCGTTGTGTACGGTTAAAGAACATAACAAAAAGGCATTATTTACGAGGATTGCACCCTGCCTAACGGTTTGATATAACCAGTAACTGTATGCTCCCTTAGCAATATCTACGACATTTCCGAACAACGAAAATGACTGGGGTTTCAAGAATTATATCCTTATGGAGGTGAGTTATAAGTGCTGCTTTAAATGTGGAATATATTGCTTGTACTTGCGATGCTAGTGCGCATTTGTCTTTAAGGACTTGCTGGATCCAGCGAAAGGCTATGTCAATCCTGATACTTTCTCTGTGAAACTACAGCTGCAGCTCAGCGCTGACCTGCCTGTGGAAATTGAATAGATGCTGTATGGGTTCGGATAATTTACGGAGAATTTTGCGAAGGGTGTAGTGCCTGTAACACAACCTTTTCAAATGTTTAGATTTGCTGACATTTCTTTAGTTGAAGCTTCCCGTTATTTCGTCTTTCTTTTGTAAATGAATACCAGTTTGTTCCAGTAGTGTGTCTGCTGTGTCTCCATTTCAGATCATCCTGTTACTTGGAATGTTTTCACACCACTCTTTTCCATGTAACATTAAATTCTATATGACGCTTTCGGATTTTTGCGTCGATAAGGGTACATCCCAGTTTATTCAGTGTAAAAACAATTTTGCGATTGGGTGGTTTCTGTACAAATTTAAAATAAAAACACCTGAACGAAGGTTTATAGACTAGTTATAAGCTAGCTAATCGACTCCGCGGTTAGCGGTCGACTTACCGTGGCGGTTCACCATGGACGGATGCTGAAAAATGCATTATCCCTTGTCTAGCGGCTGGGTATCCTTTAGTGTGAAATGGCGTTCATTTGGAGATGTGGAAATTGAAGAATACCTTCCTCCGCTGCGATCAGGTGACAGCATAGAAGGAAGGTGGCAATCGAGGCACTGCGAGATTTTTATTACGGAAGTGTCCATGATACGGCGCTAATCGTGATTATTCTGCCGAATGTTTTCCGACCTTTTGGCGATCATCACAAAGCCGGAGTTATGAATCTTATGATCATGTAGCTTGTACACAAATAATATTATTGAATCTGACCAATTTGTCATATAAAACCATATTATGCTTGTATGAATAGCAAAATAATAATAAATAGCTTCCTTCATGCGCACTGATTACCGCTCCCATATAGTCGCTGGTACGCGTTGATGCACGTGTCAGACACGTGAACTGTTTGCACAATAAGTTGTTAGGCCGAAGCAGAGGCCGGAAATCGAGGACCGTGCTTTTGGATAGGACCAGGAACAAGCGACTTTGCACATAGGGCTAAAACTCCACAAGCATCGGGTAGTACAGAGTGGAGTTAAGTACTGTAATCATTAGCTGTACAATGTATATTCTACCCACTGCTACGGAAGCAGACTTAGCAGAGTAAGCAAACAGTAGCAATAGGGAAGAGCGAATTAATTGAGACTGCAACCATGGCAACCATTGTATAGATTTTCAATAGCAGTAGACCATGCGACTAACATACTAATGCATGCAGTTTGGATTACCGATTATACGAGTAATATTTGAATAATAAAGATTTCAACTTTCAAGGTTTGCTCATGCGGTACTCGTATGCTTGCAAACAAGCCAACTGTACCAGCTAACTTTACTGCTAACTGAAATACGGTATCCCACCAGAAAAGACTAGCCGCACCATTGAGGATGAGTGAACGTTTCGGCGAACCGTGACCGACCAAGTCGTCGCAGAAAATCTCGTCGCGGGACACTTCGTCGGCCTCATTTGGGCGCATGGACATTTAGCTTCTGGACAAATCGTTGCTAGTCAACTTGGTCGGGGGACATTTAGCCGCGAGACATCCGGTAACACGGAAACACCGCGGTCAGACAGTTCGTCGGCAGGACAGTTGGATAGCCAATTAATTTTAAAGGAAAACTTTTTTTTCAGTTGAAAAACGCCGTCGTTTGACTTCAGAATAATTTGATTAAGACCGGTGTATAAGACTAAACATTTCAGTGTAATTTTTAATTTTTAAACCGTAGAACTACCGTTTTCAATGAATCATACACAGACTCGGTTGCTAATTTGTACAGTACATACCCAGTACCTTTTTTATAGGAAATGGCTATTCGCACCACCACTTCTTACCGTATAATTACAACGCAAGACGCAACATGTTAATGTTTAATTGATTTCCTTCGTGTTTAACAACAATGATTATATAGATATACTACGGTTACAAGTTCCAAAAACAACCAAAATCACTCCCTTCCTCAATTTTACTTCTGCCCGGCAAAGTCCCTAAAACTGCGGCAGCGTTTCCCTGCATTATCGCAAGACCAATGCGCCCAATGCGCTGTTTTAAGAAGGCGGTAGATCGGCTTTCTCCTGTCTTTCCGCGAATCAGGCGTCAAACGAAGCTGACCATGTCAACGCAACATGGTCACCGCAGTGCTTACAATTAGTGCTACTGCTTACCACCTACGGGAGACAGCACGAGTACTATAGAAGGACTTACAGCTGACAAGAACTGTCAAAGTTTGTGTGATGATGATGATGATCAGCCTAGATCAGGGCTCGTGAGTTGTTTTGATAATTAGCGTTTGTAAGTATTTTCCAGTTTCAAGAAACGTCGTTTAAATCTACGAAATTCTTGCTGGAAAAATAAAAGAACTTCATAATTTTATTGCAACAGGCAGTTTTGTGGACAGGCACTCTCCAGATTCCCGCCAGCCGTGAATACGTGCATTCTGTAATCATGTCTCAGAGTTCGACACTCTCCTCCATCTCATGGTCAGACCGTCGCGGAGGAGTCGAGAAGATCGCTGACTGCATGAAAGAAATGTTAGCCCGTGGAGAATCGAGCGATGTACAGTTCGCGATAGGACGCAGCTATGGCGCAGCGCAGGTCTTTCCAGCTCACAAGTGAGTGCTCGACACTGGCTTGTGCCATATCGTTCTGTAACTGATGGAAATCTTTTTTTTGCAGACTGATCATGAGTGCCCGAAGCAATGTCTTCCACCAGATGTTCTATGGAGCTCTGCCAGAGAAGTGCACGGCTCCCATCGACATTCCCGACATTCTCCCTGATGCATTCGCTAACATGCTCAGTTGCTGAACATGCTGAACAGTGTAGCTGAAGAAAAGTACATCACTTGTAGGTCACAGCATCGCTGATAATTATAGTACTATGCTTTTACTATAGCATTTCTTCTGATAAGATTCTTCACATTGCACGCATACGAACATTCTGCAGTTATATCTATACCGATGCCGTGAAAAGTCTAAGTGAAGATAACGTTTTTGAGACGTTGAACTGCGCCGATAAGTACGATCTGCCATCGCTAGTGGACACGTGCACGCGCTTCATCCTAAGCCAACTCAAAACGGCGAACTGCCTGCAAGTTCTGGATAAGGTTGGTTCTTGTTACTTCTCATACGTTTGGCTGTGCTTGCTGCCACAATCTCCGCTTCGTCCCTATATTTCTTCGCATCTTGCTTGTTATAGGCGGTTCAACAGTCATGTGCGGCGCCGGTCATCAAGGAGGAGTGTTTGCGTCTGATCGACGTGTCCGCGGGGACTATCTTGCAGTCGGATCAGTTCTGTGCCATCGGACAAGAAGCGCTGCGAAGTATTCTTGAGCGGGATACGTTTGACGTCGACGAAACTGCCATCTACTCATCGCTTGAAAGGTAGAAGTACTGTAATTTCAAAGCAGCTAATTGCTTTTGTTGGCGGTCTGGGGGGCGGTTCACTGTCCCTTAAAATTTAAATTTGAGGAAATGCAGTACATACTGTATATCATATTATGCATCTATTTCGAACTCGGCGATGCCATGTACAGTAATTTGCTGTAGTAAACTGCATGTTACCGTGCCTCCCAAATTAGACGTGCCCTGCTGTTTTATGAAAAAAAAGACGCCGTCCCGAACTTATCGTCCGGGGCGCCTCAGTCACTTTCTGCGCTTCCGGTTTGTAGGTGTGCCGTACAGTTGAAATGGTACATGGTGCTAGCAAGTAAAGTACTACAGGTAAGTTGAAATATTAAACACCCTCTGTGGTTTTGAGCGCCCCTCCACGCTCTCGGAGAGAATACAAACCCAAGGCGTTTGGTATCTAATGTACGGTAGAACAGGGCGTTCTTGATTTGCCCCAGCATTTGTTCGGTGTGATGATTATGTTCGGTATGTGTGATGAACATTATCACTGTCGCATTGCTCCGCAGGTGGGCTGCGTATAACTGCAGCCAAAGGAACATCGATGCATCGTCCGTCAACCGACGGGAAGTGTTGGGCGCTGTGCTGTATCTTGTTAGATTTCCGCTACTGACAGATGCCCAGTTACTGGACGGGCCGGCTAAGGTACGTAGTAACGAGGGAGATACCCGAACACGTCCGCGTCAGATCAGCATACACTTGGTACCATTAGAATCCTTAGAATTTCAGCTATTTTCTTTGATAATCAAAATACCCCCAAGTAAAGAACTCGAGTTTAGGGATCCCTGAGAAGCCAGCACAGATATGATGGCTGATTTCCATCGAAACGTCAGCAGACGCCATACAGAGCTATACGGCGCGCCTGTACGGATGCGAGATTGCGCAACCGTCTTTCAGCGAAGTTAAATAGCGCTTTATCGATAGCTATCGCAGTTTTTTAACTCATTAAGCGCAGCAGCATCGACTAGCTGCATAGAGATCAATGCAACCGCGGATGCTGTGCGCGCGATAGGGCAAAATGGGTGAGACAGCCGTCAACAAAACCAATACAGAATCAACAGATTGCAGTCAGACTGTGCGTAACGCATGGCGTATCTAGGCTGGACAATGCGTACGGCGCCTGCTGACGTTTCGATGGAAGTCAGCCATCATATCTATGCTGGCTTCTCAGAGATCCCTAAACTCGAGTTCTTTATTTGGGGGTGTTTTGATTCTCGAAGAAAATAGCTGAAATTCTAAGGATTCTGATGGTACCAAGTGTATGCTGATCTGACGCGGACGTGTTCGGGTATCTCCCTCGTAAGTAGTACGTAATCAAGTACGACATGACTTTCCTCAGGGCCAAATAAACCGGAGCTCGGACTGAAGCCACCTCGGAGACAAATGACAACCATACACGAAACGAAATATTTATGTTAGTGTAGACTGGTTTGTTATTGCAATCGGAAGCATGGGACATCTTTAACTACAAGCACGCCGCCATTAAACCGCAGCTCCCGTTTCCTGTTGAACCCCGACAAAGTTAGCGTGTTCATACGTTAAAATTAAAATTTCCATTTGCGTCTAATATTCCGCCGGTTCCAGGTGCGCGCTCTGGCGTTATTAATTATACGATTCCGGATCTGAGGATGCTAGACGTTGCATGCATACTTAGCGATCCAGTAACGGTTAAGAAATTGTCCTGGTAAGCCGATGGCCCGGTAGTCTTCGCTGGTGCAGCGAATTTTGTTAAAAGTCTACAGCGGAGTCTTTTTACAGGCGGATCTCGGTTTCAGTTACGCCGATGCCGCCGCATGGTGTTCGTTGTTTGAGTTATTTCCTGCAGTGTGAGGGTAATCCGGAATCGCTGGTATGGACGTCGCAAATTAAAGGGGAGCTGCGTGTGCTGCCGTGGAAAGCAGAAATTGCACCTGTTAAAATACGTATGTTGATTTACTGTAGTCCTCTTGATATCAATCGAACACACGATTACTGAATTGTTCGTTGATTATTAAATTGTTTGGTATGTGATTTTTAATTAAATAGACTTAATTTTCTAGCCATCTCCCATTTGTTCTCACCCAAAGAACCTCGTGGAGGATTCAACTTTTATATGGAGCTCATGGTGAGGTACTACTACAGATAGTACGTTCGGCAGTACTACTTCGATTTTTCTCATATTTCGGTCACTTTAACTTTTTAAGAATACGGTTTCATATTTTTGGTCAATGTCACTTACAAGTTACTACATCCCAAAGAACACGAATAGCTGCTGATCGCACAGTGTGCTTTGTTATTTGTTTTGCACAGGTCTGTAGTCATCAAAACAAAATTAAAAATGTCGAAATTTAAAATATCTAAAATTTACAAAAATGGAAGAGCGGTTACGTTGCACTCGATCCAGTTCCTGCTCTTCAGTTGGTTATTTTATAGAAATTCCTTTAAATTTATACTTCGAAATTCATGAGTTTTCACTATGAAAACTAATCATTTCTGGGATTTTCGTTTGTCAGCAAAACTTTATTTACACCAGGTGACCAAAATATGAAAATGTGCACTTGATGTGACCGAAATATGAGAAAACCCGAAGTACGAGTAGAAGCATGATTATCGCGTCTGCAGTTGGGAGTACTTTGGTTTTTATTCACTGCTCGCACACTTCAACAACTGAGCTGATGACAACAAGATTGTCAAATCTTTGCTATCAGCGATTCTGCTCAGCCGACCTGCACTCGCGTAGGCCAAGATCTGACATAATAACTGTAATGATGCCAATAATTTCCACTGTTTCTCGACTACGTCTATACGGAATCGTGTTATAACTTCTACATACGCTACAGCGCCGTTGTACGTGATCAAAGTAAGAGTTTGTACTGCAGAAGCTGTTGAATCCGGTGAAAGGTTACGTCAATCCCATGGACTTCTCGTTGAAACTGCAAGCGGAATTCACTGCTGAGCTTCCGTCTGGAAGCTGAATAAACACGGTGCGCGTTAGGATGTGGTTTACGAACGTCAATGCAGTGGATGTGCCAAGCGTTTGCGATTGATCGCCCACCCTGAATCGGCATGTTACGAGTGTCTTGGATTTTCGTATCCGTGCCTTTTTCTAATTTGCACAGTTTTGATCGCGCAGCATTTTTACAATTGATTTCTCAGATACTGTAGTGCATAATTCTGTTACTGCGATGTACAGATACCTTCTTTTTCAAGATATTTTCTCGAGGGGCTTTGTTGATACCTGCCAAATGAGCATTCAAAATTGACGAGTCTTCCAAGTAAAGCACCTTATTTCTTGTTCCAGCAAAACTAGCCGGAAGTAGAACTTACTGTCGCCGCTTAAGCTAAATTCAATTTATTTGCTTAAGCAAAATTCGAACAGTGTTCGAATTTTGGCCTTCTTAACTAACGTTTAGCTATCGTATTTTTTACAAACTGTTTTACTCGGGACCCCGAAATAAAGACCCTACTGAGGGGTCGTTTTTACAATACTCCCTCCCCCCTTTGAAAAAAAGTTTTCCACGAAATAAAGGCCCCATCCAAAACCCTTTCGAAATAATAGTAACGCTGGGTCACTATCTGATAAAATACGGTAATCGGTTTACTCAAGTCACGCCGTCCGACGTAGGCGGAAAGAACGATCTGTTTGTAATGGACATGTTCAACGTCCAACGTACGTACAAGTATAATGCGATCGAGGGCGATTCCGCGCAGAACAGTCTGCCACGTACACTCATCTACCGCATCCGGCGGTTTAAATTGCATATTACGTTACCACAGGGTTGCATGCCGCTTAGGTCTGCATGCCGGTTAGGCGGTTATATAGCTCACAGCACGATGGCGATGCTATGAGAATGCTCGATAACCAGTTAGTTATTAACCATAAAAATATGCCATTTTCTGCTTTCGAAGTCTGTTCAGCGTTTCCCTTGTCTCCTGTTAACGGGTGTCCGGATTAAGTACTTAATTTTGCTCTGGCTTCCGGTTTGACTACCACAACAGAGTGTCGGAGTTACAGCTGCCAAACGGCGTGCAAATAGAATCACGGCGGCTGCAACGTGTGCGAGCATTTGCAGTCGGCATAGTCCCACAAACAGCAGTGTATCCCGGCAATATTTCACTGTATAGAACATTAAAATGAGGCGATGTTGCATCATGCATGTTAAAGTGTAGCATGTGCATCATGCAATTGCATGTTATGGTGTACTCAATATTGCAGCCGTGCTGGTTAATGACGAGCGATAAACTATTACGGTCTTACGTGTATTACGGTCTTAGGGGTATCAAATATACATGTATGCACCCATAGTTAGTTCACGCGGTTTTCTAGCTGGATGCACTCTACCCGGTTTTTCACTGTTTTGCTCTTACACAGGTTTATAAAAGTACATTTTTCAATATACTCTGACATATCTGAATAACTTCCCTTTATTTTAAAGTGTATCTTGAGCACCGATATTTTCTTAGTCGAGATCAAGGTGCTGGTGAACGATTGGTTTCCTGACTTTGTAAAGAGAACAACAGGTACGTGTCAGCTTGTCAGTCTTCCGGAAATCCAGCATGTCGCAGGATGCCAATGTACAGCGACGCGGAACTCTTGCTGGCCTCGTCACTTGTATGAGGGGCATGCTGGCGACTGGTGAACTGAGCGATTTTGAATTCCACATCGGACAGGCTCATGGAGAGATGAAATCGTTTCGCGTACACAAGTACGGCCTTTGATGTTGACTGTTGAGCAATGTATACGGTGATGAACGTCGGAGAACCGCGGACGTTAGTACCGTTATTTATTAGGTACGTTCTGAGCATGCGCAGCCCGGTTTTCCGGGCTATGTTCTATGGAAGTATGGCTAAACCCGGGCAGAATACCGAGGATATTCCCGATATTCATCCAGAAGCCTTCGCTAATATTCTGAGGTAACTGCAAACATATAAATGTATTAATACTTATCTATCTCAAAGCGTTCAGATATGTATGTCTACATGTCGACTATATGCATACCTTTTGTCAGCAGTACGACACACTACATTAGAAATTTTTCAGGGCGCGCGAAACGTAACTTTTATTGTTTGTATGCTAATCTGCTCCATGGACTTGACCGGTCATTTCCGGCCTTCGTTAACCCAGTTAATGGTCTACACTGGCGTCAAAAACGCTTTAAAATTTCAACTAACAGAGATGCAATATTCGTATAACTGATACTGATTTATTTTGAAGCTTTATGTACACTGACAAAGTGGACGACCTCGACCCCGACAACGCCTTCGCCACATGGGTCGCGGCTGATCGATATGATTTGCCCTTGCTGGTGGAAATGGCTTCCAAATGCGTCGTGAATACGCTTAACGTCTCGAATTGTTGGTACTATCTGGAGAAAGTTCGTCACGGCTCTAATAAATTATTATTATAGAAAGATCAACGATAAACAAGAGGACTGCACGCTGGGAATTACTTGCTGCTCCTTTTGCAGACCGGTCGTCTGGCAGCTGACTGTGAGCGTCTGCAGAAGAAGTGCTTGGAATTGGTGGACGTTCACAGCGATGTCGTTTTCCAATCGAAAGACTGCGATACGCTACCGCTGACTTCTCTGAAGCTGATTCTGGAACGCGATACTTTGACCGCGGAAGAGAATGTGATTTACCAAGCCGTTGAGCGGTAACCTACAGTTCCTTTTGAACTGAATTTTGGTTTTCGGAAGCCGAGATTATTTACGTCAGATGGCGTTGTATTAGATGGGCTAGGGCGGCGTGCCTCCGAAGTGACGAAGAACCTTCGCCAGCCATGCGGCGCTCCAAGTTGGGAGATGCTTTGCAACTCGTGCGCTTTCCGCTTCTCACTGATGTTCAGCTGGCTGAAGGACCTGGCATGGTAAGCTGACCTTTGCTACAGTGTGTATTGTTTGGCATTCGGCTAAGACTAACAAATTAATAATCCGGGCGATGAAGGCGACAATCTGGGCGACAGTGTGGGCTATGGGCGTTTTGCTGAATGTCGTCAAGCAGAACATAACCTTCAGGGCGAAAAAACGTTTTCCGAAAAATTTTACCGACCAAGGTTTTATCCCATATTTAACCGAATGAATTTCAACAACATTGTGGCCGTAATTTTAAAATCCTTTTAATGTTTTTCGTCGCAACTTTATTAAAGTTAATGATGTCATTGAATGCTGCTAATATTAACTGGTGACCACTCCGTTCGCAGTCTTTCTCTCGGTTTCACAACCGTCTGAATTATCATTCCTAGTTAAGTTTTCCAGACGGGGACGTTGGTCGGCATACGAATTTTAATCCGTTTCTTGTGTAGACTGGTTTGCTGACCGAACAAGAGCGCATCACATTCGTTTGTGCAAGCGTCTCGCTAACAAATCGCCGGCCCAGTTCGGGACCAAGCCACGCCAGCACCGAGCCTGGAAGGCCGGCACAACTTCATTTCCCGATGGAGAGGAGGTATTTGTTACTCTCTGCGCGGAATCCGTTGTCTGGGAAGCCGCGCGGGTTGCCCGGAATAATGTTTCGCGAGCAAACTTAACGGTTGTGTTGCTGGCAAGACAGCCCAGCGGCGACGCAGCGGTTGTACACCGTCCATACGAAATTGTTCGTGCTGGGGATATCCTGCAATCCGGGCGGGAGGTGCGTGCCAACGTGGGCGAGGAAGACGCTCCCGTCTGGGTGGAAGCCATTTATCAATGCGGGCGTGCATGTCGTCCAACATGACAACCGCGAGTACAGCGTCCAGTTCCGGGATATGACTATGCGAACCGGGCAGGTGATGGCCCGGAAAGCCGTTCTCCTGGGATAGTCATTGACGGTATATTGTTAGGCCAGGTGGATGATGCCGGTACGCGCACAAAAACTGTCGTGTTTTCCATTTGGGCAACAGGGCTTTCGACAGCCGGTGCGAATTGTTTTCGTGTTATGTTAGAGTGAGATTCGTGGATCATCATAGTTATTATATGACTTCATTTGTGTGTCCACAAATATTTTATTTTATCGCACACCAGGAAATTACGCATGATAGACTTGACAGTCAACGGTTTAGAGTATTTTGTCAATGTTTAAAATTCAATATAATAAATAGTGTGTAAATCCGCGCAAGCGTATTAGCTTATGTACAGGCTGTTGCCAAATAAAAGTCCGATTTATATTTGTCTTTTTGTATTTCTGTTAGCTGTTGTGCTTATAACGCAATAATAAGTTTTTGTCAAAATTTGTAGTGTATCTACTCACTCTCGGTTAAAAATACGCTGGGAGAAAATAAGATTAAAAATTTGTTATAGGAAGTTTGCAGCCATTTCCGCCTGAATCACCGGCATGCTGGTTTCTGTTAAAAAGCAGCTCGGGTGCAAAGTGGTGAGCAGGTAATAAAGATTTGCCGTGAAAAGTACTGTACAATACAACACTCGTACGTACAGTATCTTCACTTGCGATATCTGGGAATTTTTACTTTGTCTGCAGGATGCACGTGGCATAAGCTGTAAAAATGCTATTAAAATCTTCGAGTAAAGATTTTAAGGTGTAGATTACCGTTCAGATAACGCTTCCGACACGAGCAGGAACATGCAGAAAATACCTAGAGGAGTTACATGAACCCAATCAACGTAGATTACTCACATCAATCAAATTAATTTCTTCATTTGCCGTCTAAAGAAGGCAGTCACTTTCTGATTTGTCATATTGTGGTGGTTATTCACCTTTCTGATGATTCCGAAAACATATACATATTTCTCTCATGAAATTATTAGTGATATCTGCCAGTTTTCCGGTTTTCGATCGTGGCAATTTTGTTTTAATTTGCAATATTATTGTCTTGCCTAACCAGTTTCTCACAATTATACAAGTATCTGAGCTTGAAAAGAGACTAGGTACATTGGTGTATTCTGACAATTTGCGCAATGTACACGTATCCTGCTTATAGTTCAAATACGCAGTACAATAACATTTTCCGCCATATATGTTGAGATAAAGCTGCCACAGCTTCCGCTGCACTTTTCGAAACCGTATTAGGTATTTAATAAGTGAAAATTTTTGCGTGAAGGGTCAATTTATAATCATATCACATAAACAGGTCCCTTTGAAAATCCGTTGGGAAAAAATTAACTCACGGAGGAAGCTAGTACATAACAATAAAGAAAACAACAAACTTATATTTTAAACACGAAATGTCCAAACAGGTTCATAGCGAGTACCGGTACCCGGTAAACTGGTTCGCACGGAAAAGGCTAAGTCACTCATGGATAAGCGCTACCACCTCCAGTGCCGGTTCCGGTGCTGGTTCCAGTTCCGGTTCCGGTGCCTGTTCCAGTCCCTGTGCCAGTTCCGGTTCCTGTGCCAGTTCCAGTTCCGGTTCCAGTTCCCGTTCCAGTGCCGGTTCCAGTTCCGGTTCCAGTTCCGGTTCCAGTTCCGGTTCCAGTTCCGGTTCCAGTTCCGGTTCCAGTTCCCGTTCCAGTGCCGGTTCCCGAAGTCTGATACGCCAGCACTTGCTCGTAGCCCGAAATATGGTTCTGCATGCAGGTTGTCGGCGGCACCTCAGGACAGTATGGTTTATCAGCGGTATGGAGATACGCCGTCACATCATTGGCACTGCATCCGAAGCTATTGAAGAATTTATTTTCCACCGCGTCATACGCCGCTTTATCAGCCGCCGACAACTGTAGGGGATTGGCGCGAATACAGTGCACCACTACCGGTGTATCACAGACACCGGCCTGCAAATTCTGCTGACCGCAGCCGTAGAATAGGATCTGCTCTGGAGCCGCGTACAGGAACATGGACGTATAGGGCTCTACAAATAAAACCAATTTTTAAACACGTTAAGCTTAAGATTAATTAATAAACAGTTAGTTGTTAAAAAATTAAAGCATGAGAATGTTGAGGCTTACGAATTGCGCCGTCGCTGGTAAACGGGATAATTAAACCGTTCATAGGACCGTTGTCCTGGACTTGTCCGACAAAGAAACCGCGCACGCAATCAGTCGAAGTGACACTGGCATAATTGGTGTATTCCACCCACATGGTGCGTGCTGTAGCGTTAATCAACGGAGACGCGGATGGGCCAATATTGTGAAAATCCGCAATCATGTTCACGGGACCTGGTTCCGGGGCGAACATGCGGCGATACACGAAGTATGTCCCGTTAATCTATTAAGATATACAGAAAACTGATCCAGATATTCCAACGCGTATTACAGTTAATGTCTCCTTGTAATAAAAAGCAGAAATGTATTTCTGAGCGTGTTACCAGCGTGCTGTTGATTATTCCCGGGGACGGCATCGCATTAGGCCATTTGCAAGTTGATGCTGTGTTAGTGTTTCCATAACTCGTTGCCGTAGTTGTCGGCATTGGAGGTGGACCTATTACCAATACAATTTATACTTCAATATACTATATAAAACTCAAAATATATGAAATTAAATAAATGGTCTACGATACATATAGTATTTAAGCGGCTTTCCCCCAAATTAGCAACTAATATTGCTGATTTATTGTTTCAAATGGTCCAGGTTGATTACTTGTGGTGTTGACAATGGTGTTCCTCATTCCCTGAATATCTGCAGCAATGCAGGACGGTGGGTCCATCGCGGTGCAGGTGCCCTTTGGTCCGTACGTATCCTTCGGGATATTCTGCACCGTAATGCAATATTTGGAGAATGCCGAGTTGATAATGTTGTCGAGACTGTCCATATCCGCTTGCGACAACTGGTCGGGTCGCTTGCGAGTCTGGGCGATGATGGTGGGCGTGGCGCAATGGACATTGTCCGCCATCGTCTTATTGCATCCGTAGCTGATCATTAGGTTCTGGTAGTCATGGTACAGAATCACGAAATCAGTTGGACCTGCAGCATTCGGTCACGTATTTATTTTTTTTTAGTAATCAAATACTTTTATTTTGTGTTTAGGTGTTTGTTCTGTTTCCGCATATATCTAGAATCTAGGTATTCATACAAATCTAGGTAAGTATCTAAGTATTTGTAGCTAAATTCTGTGTATTTTTGATAGCTGTGCATTTATATTTTACATCTGTGAATTATTAATGTAGGATTGTGCATTTACGTACTTATACGCATGTTTAGTTTATAACTGTATAATTCCATGCATGTCAATGTATTTACGTATTATTATCTATTTATGTCAAAAATATACTTTGGATTTATATTCGTTTGCACTTTCTTCGATCCTGTGTATTCGTCTTCGCCCTAGCAGCGTATACTACAGACGTTTACGTTCTTTTAATTCTGTGAATGACAAGCTTACGCATAATATAATTGTCGGCGGATCCACCCAAGTCACCGACTTGAGCGCCCATCGTAGTGTACGGTCCGGTCCAGTATTGGCGGGAACAGGCTGCACCGGCTGAATCCGGGAAGATCTGCCACCATTGCAGATATCCCGGTGCACTGGTGACCGGGTCGGAATAGGGTGCTACGCTGGTAATCTAGATCTGCGATGCAGTGGGATAAGTCCCGCCCATTTGGCGGTATGTGTACCATACCCCGTCAGCCTAATAAACCAATAATGAAAATTTTTAAGTACTGTAAATTAATAAAAATTATTACGAGACTTCTAAATGCAGAATTCTTCAGCAACTTCAGTTGGAAGAAATATAGATAAATAATTGTGTATTCTACAGATTCGACGCGGATTGCTAAATTTATCTCAACCTGTTGAGGAACATCTCCGCCTATTCCTTGCAGACTGGTGGGAAGTGACGGGGAACATTGTTGCGCCGTACATTTCAGGAAACACCATGAAGCTACGAAACAACAACACGGAATGCCGGATTATCATAGACTGCATTTGTTAGGCGGCAACAACATAAAATTTACTTATGTAAAACGGATAATAACAAAGTATCACTTGAATTTCTTACCGATACAAACAAGGGTCACCAGAGTCTTCATTTTGAACGTAAAAAAGTGAAGTATGCCCAGATCGTTTTTGAGAAAAAGGGAAACAAGCAGCGAAAAAAAATGAGAAATGCACTAAAGCAACAAATTTTTATTGGATACTGGTGCTTTCTTTACGGTATTTACAGCCGCATATACATTTGTACGTGGACAACACACCTACGCGATCGACGTGTAAGCATTAACTGTACGACAGTGATCGATGCGAGTGTTAACCTACAGTAGAAAAACAATCATTAAAAACCTGTCGAAGAGTGCCTTTACGTGGATGGTGGGGTGGGGATACTATACGTACCTGTTTGAAACCCCTATACGTGTACGGCGCCATTTACAACCCGCAGCATCTCGGCCGGATAATTAGACCGGTTGGGTACGAGAAGATGACACAGTAGGGGGAAAATGAGATTTTAACTGGATGTACCGGTATGATACAATTATCTGTATTACGAGCACTTTTTACGTTGCCGAGTTAATCGACAGAGTACAGGTGAGTCTGGCTCTTGAGCGGACGTGGATTCAGTTATTTCAACCCAAGAAAACGATTAGTCAATTTTTCTAAATAAACATATCTGAACAGTAAACAAACAGTATTCCCTTTTTTAATCTAAAGTAGAAAGCTGCTACGCAGTTCTTCCTAGAAAGCAAAAAATAAGTTCCCCAAGTAATAAGCATTTACATACAGATGTAGTCTGGGAAAGGCCAATGTCAAAACGACGGCGGAATTTTATGCCGGCGGAAATTTTTTGTGGTCAAAACGCCGGCGGAAATTCTCGTGGTCAAACTGCCGGCGGAATTTTCTGAACGTGCATTTTTTTGTGGAAATCGCAAATTGATACAAAACCAGTCAACATTAACAAACGAGAACTACAACTTTAAAAAATTTGAAAAATTAAAAAAAAGCACAAGCAAACAAAAACACAATGATAAAAGAATGTACGTACGTGCTCGAATACCAATCAGCTAATCTGCCGGCAGTTTGACCACGAGATCTCTGCGCGTAGAGATTCTTGTTCTGAGTTGGCTGTGCCAGTCCATATTCAGAGAAGTTGTGAGTCTTCCCAGAAAAGGCTCCAAAGGGATTAGGCTAGATCACACCTCAGTGTCATCGCCGCAGTGCCATCGTCAAACACCTTGTTTGTCTCTTTTGCGCGGCTCAGGTATTCTCTTGAACGAGCTTGTTCGCTAGTTCTGTGCAAACTGCCGACGCAACAACGCCCATCCAGACTGAACATACATGCGGCCCGATAAAGAGGTTTATATTGATAACGGTGCGCCCGAATCTATGTAAGGTACATTGTTCTTGCAAAATTGTTTTTAACTATGCACAGTAAATGAAATTAAAAGCTACAAAAATTCCGCCGGCAGTTTCACCACGAGAATTTCCGCCGGCGTTTTGACCACACAAAATTTCCGCCGGCACAAAATTCCGCTGTCGTTTTGACCACAAAAAATTTCCGCCGGCAGAAAATTCCGCCGTCGTTTTGACATTGGCCTCTGGGAAACTGCACGCGCTGCAACAAAACCATTTTTTTTGAAAAAGCGACTAAAATTACGAAGGAAGTATTTAAGAATAAACTGGAGCTGCCACGGTATACACCGCGTAGATATGTACCAGTGAGGATCGTTTTTCGTCGGCTTTGTAATCGTTTCTGGATATCGAACAATTTTCATATGTAGTATGTACTGTTATACTGTATATGTACTTGGTTGCTTCGATTATAGTGCATCTTTGGAGCTAATCATGTTAGCGGCAGTCGGCAGAAAAAAGTACTTTTGCAATCACGGTAATCAGTTTTAGGAGTGAACACCTAAAGGCAAAGATGAATCAATAAAAGGTCACTCACCGGTTTACAGCAAAACATGAATAAAATATTGGAGTATTTTAACTTTTTCCAATCAAAGATGGTCAAGTGCTACTAACCATTTCTGTCAGGCGTTACACCTTGGATTATTAAAGAGAAAAAAGGTTCATTTCTTGTCCAGCCGGCTGCGCCTGACCCTGAAGCACCAAGCGCTGTTTTCTGTTTATACCATGAATTCGTTTGGAGCGCCGAAAATGCTGCACTTTTCCGTGCCTTATGTGGCGTGGATGCTTCATAAAAAACTTGACCTTCTTGATCGACCAATCGCTTATGGAGAAACCAGAGCGGCTCTTCAGCGGCACCATTGATTCTGCTTGGTTACAAGTATAGAGTACTGCGATTGCGATCCGTTCGCTTCGCGAGCTTGATTATAGCACGGATCAAAGACCCAGCTCCTTCAGTTTCCTTAGTTTGCCCGTCTGGCATCGGCTTCCTTTCGTGTTCTGCCGCGGAAACAAGCGAAAATGCAGAAAGCACAAGCACATAACGTATCTCTCAACCACGCTAGAAAGAGTTCTTGCGACAGCGTCCATCCAGCAACGCCTACAGAAGGAATGGAATGCGCTAAGCTCTTTATAGGCACTTCGCTTGACGCCGAGATTTAACTGATGAAGTATCTTAGTTGTGACTGTTATTATACAAGATTCCCATATTAAAGTATTTTAACATACTTGGCAGGTAACGAAAGTTTTGCTGGGGCAAATGTCCATAAAAACCAAACTTTCCTGTAGAAAAGTTTTGGAAATTTCAGCTCAAGGCGTTTTGGACAGTTCGTTTGTCTGTAAAGGCGTACGCCGTAGCGGCAGCTACGTGGTGTCCAATCGCGCGAGTGCACACGTATGTTCTCTGAGTTCTCCTGCATGTTTCATTTTTGAGTTCTGGTTTCTCTGATAAATTTAATTTCTGTAAATGTAAAGTGGCAGTGGCACCTGCCACACTGGCAATTGCCACTGGCAGTGGCATCTGCCAGTACCGGGTCTGGCAAGCGATAAAACGTGGCAGATGCCACAACACTAAAATCCGTCGTAGGTGATTCTGGTCGCGTCCGGTCACTTCGGCAGCGTTAAATTTCGGGAACACGCGAATCACGTTTTGTCCAGTGCCCAAAATTTGGTGTCAAAAAATTAAAAATTTTGTAACGCTTCTTGGGGAGTGCAAAAGGTCGCAATATTTGACTCGTCAGATCCTTAGATTATTTCTGTTTTTTTTTTAAATTATGCACTAGCTGTAATGTCATAAAGCAGTACAAGAAAGTGTTTCCGTCCGACTACAGATATTTCTTCGCTTGGGAAATTCGAATTTTCCAGACACCAAAGAGTATAACACCATCGTATCTAACCAGCTGCAATCAGTTAAAATGGCTACAAGATTTGTTAGCGCGTTTGTCCCCCTTCTGGGGACAGGAGAACAAAGAGACATCCGAAAATATTATGAACCTTAAGATCAGCCCATTAAATGTGTTGGTACGAGAATGGGTATGCTAAGAAACTGCTTTTTTTACTTCTATAGTCGTGTGACAAGCTTTCTGGGTTTATCGTCTCATGGTTTCTCAGGTGCCTTCGGTTCTTTTTTTTATATTTTAATTAGGTTAACAAGATCCAATTTTCGGTTGACAGAGACTGACGTTTTGCGGTTAGGTTATGGTAAATGCTTACTTCACTGAGTTCCCCCTACCCGACTTTTCACTGAAACTGCGAATCCGGATGATTGCTGACCTTCCCACTGGAACTGAGTGATTGAAGTGCACTCTGAATGGACTGAAAGGAGAAAGCTGCATGGATGACAACTTGAATTAATATATTTTGAAACGTTATATTAATATTGTGTGGTTTATTTTCGTGTTGTGATAAATTTCGTATTAAATTTTGTGGCCAATTTTTTTAGTTACCCAAGAGCTCATAAACTGATTGGACGGGCTACTGATAAATAATAATAATTGTGTACGTTCTTGTGTTTCCGAAGGCGCTCTAAACTCCTTAACAGACTATAGGCGGCCTCATAGTTCACCGAAAACGGATTGGTCGACTGCACGCCGACGAATAACATAACCTCCAGAAAACATCCGATTTGATGAGCAAGCAAGCAGACGAATCGACAATCACAGTCTGCGCATTGCACTGTATATCATTATCCTGCGCACTGCACTGTACACCGGTAGGACGTACTACGCAACACTTTTTGCTGCTTTCCATGCCTGAACCTGCTCACTGGCAATCCGCAGATCCCGAAATCTTACAGCATGTTCTCGATCGGAGACGCGGACGATATACTGGCCAGATGATTCTGAATCATATACTGCTGGGTAAAACACCTTGTCGACGCGCACCAACACCGGCAGACCGTGTTGGAGAATATCCACCGCGCGAACAGTTTCCTCTGGGACGGCTTTTTCGGGAACGGCTGTATCTGTAAAACCCGATAGCTCCATATCCACCCGATAGTTTCCTGTAACGATGGCCGGTAGCCAAAAGCCGCTGACGCATAGCATGAAAATCTTTTCACGGAGGTTGTAAAACGCCTCATCACCAATTGGGCAAACTTCCGCCGCGTATGTCCGCGGCTGAGTGTTAAAGTCCAGTGGCTTTTCTGTTGCCTTATTTCTCCACATGAAGATGCCACACATCTCAGTGGCACTCAGGAGACCGCTCTACGGTAGAAATACAAAAGTTTATCTGAAAGTATCTTTAGCTTCGGGCAGGAAGTAGTCCCGAGAACTTCCCGTGCGGTCGTCCGGTTGGCCACCTGAAGTTAGTAAATGGGCAATGACCTTTCGATCTGGCTATCGTGAATCAAAATTTCAACTAAAAGTTTTTTCCCGGTTTTTTCTTTTCTCGGTAAGCATAATGTACTCTTTACAGTTAACGCAGTATTTGGAATCTTTCCAAAAACTTGAACCGATCTCCTGCAACTGCGCCGACGTTAAATACTGTAAATTAAATCAAATTTAAAAAATTTAATTACATTTCAAAAGTTTCAGGTACCCTACTATTAAAAAGTACGTTCTGCTTAGCTGGGTAAAAAAACCGGAAGAAAAACGGTTTATAGAAATTTTAATTTCATGATGGATAGATCGAACGGCCTTTGCCCATTCACTTACTTCGAGGTCAACCGAACGACCGTACGAGTAGCATTTGATAATTCTTACTTTGACGGGACCGTTAGCCAGCTGTTCATCGGTCATCAGCGGGAAGCGGACAAGAGAAAACGCTTCTCCCAACACCTTACGGCGATTAAATGCCGATGGGAGCGAACGGTTGCGCATGCACGCCGCCGTAGCCCACCTACCAAAGCACATTAAAAAGAGCAGTGCACTGTTCTACGCTATATTGAAATGTTGACAAAAAAACCTGAGATCCATTAGCAGCTTTCTCAATCGTGCAAGCGCAACGACAGATACTTGCTATAAAATGGATATCCAAGCTAACATTTAAAGGTGACTTACTTTTCGACTGCCTCATAGACGGTATTCTCCTCTGCCGACAGGGTACTGCGCTGGAGAATCGTGAATAATGTGTTCTTTCCGATAGCGGAGAAGTTCTCGGATAAAAAAACGGTTTTACTGAATTCATCGATGACGTCTAAGCAGTCTTCTAGAAAGCGGTCGCAGTGCGGGCTCCACTTCAGTACCTGTACGATACAACAGCCTGGGTCACTGGTTAGTTTAGTGTGTCACTGCTCAGAGACCTACATTTTCGAGAATCAACAGGCAGTTATGGGCACTCAGCTGCTCCCGGACAAATTGTTTGCAATATTCTTCCAGCCACGGCAACTCATATTTTATGGCGCAATACAGAGTTGGCACAACATTTTCCGGTGTCAAACTTGTCATGGTATCAGTGTAAATGTAACTGAAAGCGCAAAACTGGAACAAATTTGTAATCACTTAGTATTATCAGGACCCCAATCAAAATTATTAACAATCTTAATGACATCAGCGCAACATCCTAACATGACATCCTAACATCAGCTTAACAGGATTAGAAAGCTGTAGAATCACGAACGTCAAGCGAAATTACCTCAACATGTTAAAGAATGCTTCGGGGGGAATATCCGGAATATTAATGATATCTCCTCGTTCAGCCGAATCTCCGTAAAATGTCGTGTAAAACACATCGCTGCTGATACCTAAAATCAGCCTGGAAGCAAAAAGAAGTGTGGATCGAAGACGCTTTCCGGTGCGGATTTCCAAGGTCATAATGCAGGTAGTAAAAACGTACACCCTGTACTTTTTACGTACTTGTGGGCTGCGAAAATTTTCACTTCGCCGTGATCGCGCCCAACAGCGAGTTCAATGTCGCTCAGCGCACCACTGGCTAAAATGTTCCGGATACGACTGCTGATTGCGGGAACGTAACCCCGAGCCTCTGCGCTGCCAGTACCGGACAATAATGAGTGCTGCCTTTGAGACATTTTCGCTGCCAGCTTCGAAACGGAATTTATAAAACATAATCTTAAAAATCAGTCGATCATATCAAAGCGGGCTGTACGTCACTTTTACAAACATTCGCAAGTCTCTCTAATTATTGGTCATAACTCATAAGCAAACCGCCATGAGCTAAAGTGCCGTTCTTTACTTGATACATCGGTAACTATGCATGAAACATTAAATACCGCAATTTAACGGCATGATGTCACAATTATTAATCTCGTTATGCGATAATAGTGTTGTGTGGACTGAAGAAGATAAATTATATCTTCTTCAGTCCACACAACCTGTTCAGTTTTCTATATAACTGACAATCATGATGATTAATCTATTATAATTCAGCTGTTATCACTGTTCAATAGTAAAGGCGATAGCGATTAGTGAGACCAGTTAATACTCTGTTACGTAATGATAACCACGAAAGCAGATACGGTGAGACCGGCAAAAGTCGGCAAATTCATAAAACCGGCAAAAGTCGGTTCGATCAGTTTCGAACGTACTCAATACGTATAACATGTTGTTTGTTGAACTGGCGAAGAGTGACGCAGTACCATCTGGATATGCGTGCTAAATAGTAAATACTACGAGTATTATACTGCACTGCTCGTACCACAGGTCCACAGTCAATATAGTTAACACCTTTGTTTTTGACTTCCGAGTGGATGATTATGTAAAAATGACGAGCACATCCACGAGCACATTCATCTACGGTAGCTGCCTGTGTGCAGTACTGTTGTGATCTGTCCTTGAGATTGACTTGAGTGCCAATGTTCCCGGGCGACCGTTAGCAGTATGCCTCAGTACTCCTGTTCTGGCTGCGGTAAATTGTTACAGGGGTGGGGAAGTCACAGACGTTCGTGTCCCAGAACCCTGTCTCAAGAGCCGGAATTGATTCCCGTCCTAACCCAACAGCCTCCTGCTCCAGCCCCTTCTGCGCCGATAACAGCAAACCCAACTGACGATCAGTCTACAGGCAGACCAGCGCTGGTGAAGGAGCGAATTACTCGCAGGGTGCCACACGGCGCCCGTCGGGCTGTGGCAGCATCTTTCGAGAAAGCCATCAAGAATGCCGTGCACCATAATGATGAGCAGCACTGGGTAACGCTCCTGTCCTTTGCATCGCAGGTTTTAGCTGTTCCAGAAAGCCCGGATGGTGCTCGTAAAGTTTCCCTCGCCACTTTGATGAAACAAGCGGTAGCGGACTATGAAAGCGGAAAGAAGCGTCCCCTGCCACGTCGAAAGAAGAAAAAGCCCAAAAAGCCTAAAGATCCCAACGGCGACCTAGTGCGACGTGTTGGAATCAAGATTGACGACGGTGATTGTTCTGGAGCCGTTCGCATTCTGATGTCCACTGACGCCATAGCCGAAACGTCGCGCGAGGTTCTGGATATCATGGCGGACAAACACCCCCAGTCCCCCTTGCCTGACAGACCCGGAGTTACCGCATCAACACCATCAGTTACAGCGGAGGAGGTACGTCATGCAATCCTCAGTTTTCGACGCGGATCAGCTGCAGGACCTGACGGCCTATTACCTCAGCACCTACTGGACATGTTGGGGAAAGTTCAGGATGATGTCTCCGCTAGCTTTTGCAAAAGCCTGGCCCAGCTACTAGACATTATTATCCAAGGTAATATTCCTGACTCTGTTCGCCCGTATTTTTTTGGCGCAAAACTCATCGCCTTGCGGAAGAAAGACGGTGGCCTGAGGCCTATCGCGGTCGGTAACACTTTGCGACGGCTAACGGCAAAAGTCATATGCCGCCGCGTTAAAGAACGCTCGACAGCTGCTCTTCAGCCAAGTCAACTGGGGTTCGGTATTAACGGGGGCGCCGAGGCGATCGTCCATTCCGCTCGGGAATTCTTGAGCAGCGATCCAGACCAGGTGAAGGTTCTTCTGAAGATAGACCTAAAGAATGCCTTCAACTGCATTTCCCGCGCCACCGTCATGGAAGTTGCGAGCGTTCACCTTCCGAATATGCGAATTACCTTTACGCCTGCTACGGCCATTATTCGGAACTGTACCTCGACGATGAAGTTTTGTCATCGCAGAGCGGCATCCACCAAGGCGATCCACTAGGTCCGCTTTTATTTTCTCTGGGCATTCTTCCATTTACATCCAAGCTCAAGGCAACCTTCAATGCGTGGTTTCTCGATGACGGTACACTTGGAGGGTCTGTCGAGACGGTCGCTGCGGACTTCCAGACTGTCATCGATACAGCACATGCATCCGGACTGAGCGTCAACATGTCCAAGTGTGAGATTTTTGTCTGTGGAGGGACCTGCGTTGAACGGGAAGCAGCTGTTAAAACTTTCCTGGACCGTTTTCCAACTGTTTCAGTCGCTGCCCCAGAAAACCTTTGCCTTTTGGGTGCTCCACTGACGAAAAACGGTATCACGTCAGCCATACAGCAGAAAACAGAAGTTATGCGCCTAATTGCCAATCGTCTCGATCTGTTACCCAAACACCAAGCGTACTTTCTACTGAAATGCAGTCTCAGCGCGCCAAAGGTCATTCACCTTTTACGTTGCTGCCCAACCTTCGAAGCACGAGAGAGTCTCTGCGAATTTGACGACGTCTTGAGACAGTCGTTGCAATCAATCTGCAACGTACGCATGGATGCACCTGCGTGGCGTCAAGCTTCCTTACCAGTGCGCTGTGGTGGGCTCGGGATCCGACGGGTAGAAGAATTATCATTGCCGGCCTATTTGGCCTCGATTCACGCTACCCAAGGCCTGGTTTGCCGACTACTGCCGCATTCAACAGGAGTTGCCGTGACGGATCACGTGGCCCTTTGGAGGTACCTGTCCGGCGATGCTTCACCTCCTTTACCCGAAAGCCGACACCTACAACGCGCATGGGACACTCCGTACTGTTTAGCGGAGCAGACAGCCATGCTGCACGAGGCTTTAGATCTCGCTAGCAAAGCTCGGCTGTTAGCCGTTTCAACTCCGGAGTCAGGCGCCTGGACACACGCACTTCCATCGTCCCCAATCGGAAACCTTTTGGATGATGAGGCTTTTCGGATTGCCGTCGCAATTCGACTTGGCGCACCCGCTTCATCTGATCACCAGTGCAAATGTGGAAGTGAAGTTGCTGCAGACGGTCACCATGGCTTGAGCTGCAAATTCTCAGCCGGAAGACGCCCTAGACACGACTGCATTAACGACATCTTGCGACGGGCTCTTGGAGCAGCAGGCATACCCGCAAGGACTGAACCTAGAGGCATGCACCATGAGAACGAAACACGTCCCGATGGCATCACCACTTTTCCATGGACAAGGGGATTGTGCTTGGCATGGGATGTTACCTGTGTTGACACTGTCGCCCGTTCGTATTTGGACCAGACCAGTGTGAAGGCCGGAGCGGCAGCAGACCATGCCGAAGCCGAGAAAGCAAGAAAGTACAGCTTCCTTTCGGGGCGATACGAATTTAAGGCTGTTGGTTTTGAAACATTCGGCAGTTTTGGTACATCTGCCAAAGGATTTGTTAACGAGATTGGGAAGAGGATTTTGCTACAAACCGGCGAGATTCGTAGTCTGGAGTTTTGAAACAGAACATCTCTTTAGCAATTCAACGTGGTAATGCTGCTTCAGTAATGGGGACCGTCGAGAATGTTGTTTCGTTTGACCGTAATTAGATCTTGATATTGTTAAAAAACTAGTACATAAATAAAATATGTCACATTGTTTTTCTAGTCGCCTAAACGTGCTGGCGCGAATTCTCTCATGTGTTCTGCTGACAAACCGAAATACTTACTAGGCAGGAAACAATATATTTTGGAGGTTGTTGCTTCTAGACCACAGAGACGTTCAGCGTACTTATTTACGACGTCAAAGACAGTTCATGACTCCATAGTCATACCAACAGAGCCGCATCGGAATTATTCTCATAGTCTTTAATTCAACGTAACGCGGATAAGAGTATCGTACGCGACGTAATGCCGGTTAGAAGTCCAGATTTTTCGACAGTGCTGATAACAGAAGCGACAATAAATTATTCTGCGACATTACCTCGTGAATTGCTAAAGAGATATTTTGTCTCAGATGCTCATGAGTAGGATTGTTGTATGAATTGTTCTTGGCACTAATTTTTAGTAATTCTTGGTCTGATTAGCTGATTAAATTAAATGCTTAATTAAATAAAATTCGATAAATTGCGCCTCCCAGACAACGTCACCGGTTCGAGCTGAAGCCGACGAACGATCGGAGTCAAATCGTATCTTAACGCCCGGAATATAATAAGTACGATTAGAAGCGTAATTATAAAAGATACAGTAGAAACACCGAGCACGTTTGCCAAAAGCACGAAGCAATCGACATCGCATTAGTGTCAGGAAATTAATTTTATCCAGCAAACGTCCCCCACCGGACTAATACCTAGGCGTATAAACTGCGGAACAAGCCCAGTCGACAAAAAACCGCATTCCCAATCATAAGTTTCGCTAACGGGCTACAAGATGCACGAGTCGCATTCAGAAATCGTAGCTCCCGGGTAGTTGTCGCGAGCTGGCGCGGCGTGCGCGATCGACCAGCCCTACAGCACCGCAGCGAGACGACTTTATTTGCCCGGAAATGGCGCACCCAACCGAAGAGATGTCGCAGAAGACTTGCTCGACCAATATACATACTCCGCAGGCGACCCGGCCGAATAAGGATCACCGACTTGTAGTCTTGTAGATATCCTGGTTTCGGATTCATGCGGCCCATGCTCAAACTCGGACTTGGACTCGGACTTGGACTACTAAAACTTGGACTTGGACTTCACTTGGACTCTAAAACTTGGACTTCACTTGGACTCTAAAACTCGGACTTCACTTGGGCTCTGAAACTCGGACTTTACTTGGACTCTAAAACTTGGACTTTATGACTTGGACTTGGAATTAGGCGTTTCTTATGTTTCTGTGTCTTCTTACGTTTCTTCATGTTTTCTTAGGTTTCAGGTTTCAGGTTTCTAGGTTTCAGGTTCTTAGGTTCTTAGGTTTCTTAGGTTTCTTGGTTAGGTTTCTTAGGTTTCTTAGGTTTCTTAGATTTCTTTGGTGTTCTTAGGTTTCTTAAGTTTCTTCGGTTCTTCGGTTATTCTTAAGTTTCATTGGTGTTCTTGCTTGGTTTCTTAGGTTTCTGTTTTCCTTAGGGTTTCTTAGAAAGATTTAGTTTCTTTTAGGGTTTTAGGTTTTAGTTTTCTTAGGTTTTTAGGTTTTAGGTTTCTTAGGTTCCTTAGGCTCCTTAGGTTTCTTAGGTTTCTCAGAATATCAAAGAATACCTAGATAACCTAAGAAATGTTAGTAACCTCAGAAACCTAAGAAACCTATGAACACAAAAAAAGAAACCGAAAAAAACCTAAGAAAGCTAAGAAACCTAAAAAAACCTAAGAAACCTGAGAAAACATGAAGAAACGTAAGAAGACATGAGAAACCCAAGTCCAAGTCCAAGTCATAAAGTCCGAGTTTTAGAGTCCAAGTGAAGTCCAAGTTTTAAAGTTCAAGCGAAGTCCGAGTTTTAGAGTCCAAGTGAAGTCCAAGTTTTAGAGTCCAAGTGAAGTCCAAGTCCAAGTTTTAGTAGTCCAAGTCCGAGTCCAAGTCCGAGCTTGAGCGCGGGCCGATTCATGCTGGTCATACGGCTCGAATGTAGCGAAAGAACGGACGGTGAAAGAAATCGGAGGCCATGCTGCCACTCCGGGTGAGGACATAACATCTTAAAACTTGAGCGGCTCACCGCCCACAGGTGCAGGTGCAGGTTATCCTAGTATACCTAGTTGTCATATCGGGATGGCTCCTTGGGCCTTCGTAGTTTAGCTTCGTATTTTTCGTATCTTCGAATTTTAAACGAATCGTATACTGCTATAATTTCTAACGTTTAGATCCTTAAGTACCATTTGTATTCTGTATCGTGAAGATACAGCCTGTTAGGTGGTTAGCGCTGCACTGGATGGTTCGTCTTAGTTTGGACCTCTGCTGTTTTGTTCGCCAAATTCATTTCTGTCGACAAACTGCTGCCAAATATCTGAAGATATGTCTGAAAATCCGAAACAATGTTCGCACTTAAAAATTCAGGGCAGGGTTGCGAAGATTGGTGATTGCATCAAGCCCCTTTTCGGCTGTACAAAAACCAGCGATGTTCAGTTTGCGGTGGGACGCGATTATGGCGCAGCGAAGCTGTTTCCAGCTCATAGGTGAGAAGTAAAAGAGGAGTAAAAAATTTTATTGCATTACTTATTCATGATTAAGTTTTAGTAAATCATTTCGTTGCTCTTTTTGTAGCTGCCTTGAGTATAACTGACAATATCCCGATATTCGAAAATATTGTTTCCTTTAATCGAAACTGTTTTCGCACTTTCGTAAACAAAATTTCAAAGATGATCTCTTATATGCAGGTTGATTATGAGTGTGCGCAGCACAGTGTTCGATACACTGTATTATGGGAGTGTACCAGAGAACTGCACTGCCCCCATCGATATTCCCGATGTCCTTCCCGAGGCCTTCGCGAATATGCTCAGGTGTGTCTGCATTTGATTATTCTTGCAACGAATAATGTTCATAAGATTGATAACTTGGCAATTTGTTAAAGTTACATGTACACCGACGAGGTGACGAACCTGACCCTGGATAACGTGTTTGACACGTTGAAGTGCGCTGACAAGTATGATTTACCGCTGCTGCTAGCAATGTGCACCGACTTCATACTGAGCAAGCTCAATATCACCAATTGCCTGCATATTCTGGACAATGTGGGTTTTCACGATGCCGAGTAATTATTAAACTAAGCTGTCGAGCAGTTTTGTTTTCTAGGTGGTGAACTATGGAGATGCTGCGCCGAGTATCGTGGAGAAATGTTTCTGCTTAATTGATGAATCGGCGCTAACAATCTGGCAGTCGGATCAATTCTGTACAATCATTAGATTGTACAGATGCATCATTAGATTGTACAGATGCATTAGATTGTACGGATAAAATCATTAGATTGTACAGATGCATTCTGTACAATCATTAGATTGTACAGATGCGTTACGAGCCATCCTTCAACGGGATACTCTGACAGCTAACGAGGATACCATCTATTTGGCGGTTGATAAGTAAAAGCGCGTCTCTCTGCTGCCGTGTTTGGCGGTGTTTTGACATTCTGTGGCAGCTGTTCATTAAGTCGTGATATTTTTGTCAGGTGGGCTGTAAACACCTGCAATCAAAAGAATATTGACACTTCCTCCGGTAATCGGCGGGAGGTGTTGGGCCGAGCGCTGTTTCTCGTCCGATTTCCGCTCTTGACTGATGCTCAGTTGCTGGATGGACCGGCCAGGGTACAGATCATTGCCTTGCTAAAAAAAAGCCTTTTCGTCTTTGGCGAGTTGAACAGGCCTTCTCGCTCGCCTCGGCCAGACGAAACATAGATCTCATGAATAAACGTCACTTGTGTTTTGGTTTGTTTAGACTGGTTTGTTACTGCCATCGGAAGTACTGGACATCTATCATTACAAGCACGCCGCCATCAAACCACAGCTGCCCTTCCGTACGGAATCCCGACAAAGTAGGCGCGTTCACTGCCAAACATACCCAGTTATCTTTCAGATAACTTTCTATGTAGATGAACGCGCTGAGGGTGTCCTTAACTATACGGTTCCGGATGTCAGGGAGCTGCTGAAAACGCCCCCGTTCAGCCGGCTCAGACTGTTCAGTGAATCCATAACTGTCAGGAAACTTCTTTGGTGAGGAATCCATCGAAGTGAGAAGCGAAAGTCGGAGGGTGACGCTGTTGATATGCTTGATTTTGCAGGAGCATTGACGGTGAGGTGGAGAAGAAAACTGACGATCAGTCTGTTACTCTGGGCTTCTTCCTACGGTATTCCGGTAGCACGACATCGGCGTCCTTGAAGTGCCAGGTTAATGCAGAGTTCCGCCTGCTGCCATGGAAAACGGAAACTGCACCAATCAGCAAACGTACGCTTTCTTGTGCGATCATTGATAGACAATCCTAATATTGGCAAAGGTATTCTTAACTTTTGCAGAGACATCCCACCTGTTTGACCAGGCTGACTGTGCTTGGGGGTACTGGGCTTATATTTCTATGGAGGTAAGTGGTTTTTTCGTAGAACCTTTGGCTGTGCATGGAATGTCAATTCGTATTTCCAGGAATTAATGGATCCTGCGAAAGGATACGTCAATCGTAATGACTTTTCCTTGAAGCTGCAAATCAAATTAGCCGCTGACATTCCTGCTGGGATCGAATGCATGCATCGCGCATGCGGATGTACCAGCATGAAAAATAGTCATGCGCGCTAATTATTAACAAAACTGTATATATAGTGGTAGTAAAGTTTCTCGCGCACCTTGAAATGTACCGATCTTTGTCGCAGTCTGAAAGATTGTGTACCAATTTTTGTTACGAGAATGGGCTAAAAGAAAGCTGTTTGTGCAAAAGCTGTTTGCGCATGTTCAGATACATATTAAACTCCCGTTACCTGTTTATCAGTCTATATGTGTAGTGACTGTGTAGTGTGTACTGAATGTATCCCTAATGATCAATCCTCGCCCATTCGTTATACATGTAGCTGTTCCTCCTACGTGCCTCCAGTGCATGCACTTTTGCACAGCCGTCTCATCGCACGCTGACCGGTGGTCATTTCTTAACAGTTCACTTCTGCCAAACACTTCATCTAACCCTTCATTTCCGATACAGTGTACACGCTCACACAAGCTGCCGGTTGCCGTGTTCTTATAATTCAAAGAGCGGCCGCCGAAAGAGGATCAGTACCAGGCTGTCACGTGCGGGTGGTAGACGCAGCTTGCTTTCTGCGCGGTTGGCCGCCGTAGTTGCATCGGACCGGTATTCGGTGGAAGCAGAAACTGCAGCTACTTATAGATAAACTATCATTGATAGATAATGATAGCTAAACTGAACTGAAATACGTAAGTCAGTCAGATGCAAAAACGTACTTAATTTCGCCTTTTCGATTGTTTTAAGTACAGTACTTTTTAATCATAATTGTCAGATGATTTACGAGCACACCATATCTTGCAGAATTTTGACTGGCAAAACTCCAGTGTACTGGCCGACTACGCTTTGTCCTGTTTGTCCCTGTAAAATCTGATTGTAATCCAAACGTTCACTAACTGTTACCAAATTCTAGCAGCGATGTCTGAAAATCTCACAGTCACGCCGTTGTCGAACTTGGAAAATCCCGGTTCGGTCACAAAGATTGGCGATTGTATCAAGCCCCTGTTGGTCTCTGGAGATCTGAGTGATGTTCAGTTTGCCGTGGGACGTGGTTATGGCCCAACAAAGATCTTTCCAGCTCATAGGTGGGAGTATTAACTTGGAATCTATAAATGAATGCACTATATACTGTGAATGAGAATATTAACTTTGAATGCGCTATTACTGTATTTCTTTCCAGTTCTTTGTAATACTAAAGGTATCCTGTGATTACAATGCATACTATCAGGACTCTTTTTGATTGTCTCTAGAATAATGGTCTGACTGTATTAAATATTCTAAATTACAGTACAACACTTATATGTATCATGTCGGCATCTAAATTCAGGTTGATAATGAGCGTCCGCAGCGCAGTGTTCCGTGCGATGTTCTTTGGAAGTATGTCCGATAACTGCACGGCTCCAATCGACATTCCGGACATCCTCCCTGAGGCCTTCGCTAATCTGCTGAGGTATGTCGGCACTCTGTGTATAGGAGTGCGCTGTCTTTGTGGTGCATACGGTAAACCACATTAATATGTAGCTACATTTACACCGATGCGGTGGCGGATTTCACAGAGGACAACGTGTTTGACACGTTAAAGTGCGCTGACAAGTACGACCTACCGCTACTGCTTGCGATGTGCACTAGCTTCGCCCTGCAAACGCTCAACATCAACAACTGCTTGGACATTTTGGACAACGTAGGTCATCCTTAGTGGCTTATGTCAACCTCGGCCTCACCTGTCGTGCGTTTTTGAAAATTTCTTGCACAGGCGGTGCAGTATGCAGCTGCGGCGCCGAGCATTCCTAAAAAGTGTTTGCGTCTAATTGACGAGTCACCGGAAACTATTTGGGAATCGGAGCAGTTCTGTGCAATTGGACTGGAGGCTCTACGCCTCATTCTCCAACGAGATACGCTGACCGCCAACGAATGTACCATTTCCCGGGCTGTGGATAGGTGAATAATTTTGAATAGCCTTTCTTTTAGTGACACAGAACGGCGAACCCGTTTTGTCTGGGATTCTTATCAGCTGCTTTATGGCAGGTGGGCTACAAACATGTGCACTCAGCGGAACATGGAAGCTTCCTCCGTTAATCGACGCGAAGTACTAGGCCAGACACTGTATCTCATCCGGTTTCCACTCTTAAGTGACGCTCAGTTGGCGGATGGACCGGCGAGGGTGGGTACTTGTGGCCTTGAGGAATGTTTTACTGGTTTGTTTTTTTCCAGCTTCACGATCGCGACGTTTCGCATGCTTACGACTCACGGTGAGGCGTGTTATCCGCGGAAACACACAATAGCACATAAACACTTGAAAGATTCTTTTCAAAATAATCAAACTTTTCGATTTCTCGTACCACAGGGTTATGTCAATTTTAAGTTTGACAAATATTTGGCATACCAACATGTAAATTGTCCAAACATCGGTGTGCAAACTTTGTCCTCAATGTCAAGGAAATTCAAGAGCAAAGTGCTAAAACTGTTGCAAGACTAACAGTGGATTGATTAAAATTATATGTGCATGCAAATTTCTTGTCGCAGATGTCCTGAATGTATCCCAGCTAACAAGAAGTAATGCCGTTAATTTCAAGCTGCAATCGAATTTGAAATTTTGAAATATAATAACATTTCTGTTTACTGACTAGGAAACTGGAACCAATAATTATCAATGTACATGATGTTTGTAACGGATGTACTGGTATAAGTTGTAACTTGCATGTATTAAGTACTGTATGCGGTCGAGTAACTACTTTACCATAAATCTTTATGCCTAGAATGATATCGTAGCCAGGCAGGGAAAGAACCATTTATGTAGTTAGGAAAGAACGTAAGCGTAGCTATAAAAGAAGAGAAGATTGTCAAAAAATTAAAAAATAGGATGGACATAGGAAACCACGAAACTGCATAACCATAGAAGTATGGTCACAGCTTTCATCAACTGTTTTGACGGCAGTTGAACTCAGCGTTGACCGAGTAAATGAACCGCTACAGTCAGACTGGATCGGTAAAAGTTGTATTAATTAGATTGGTCTATTGCTGCAATCCGAGGCATTGGACATCTACCTCTACAAGCACGCCGACATCAAACCGCAGCTTCCGTTTCCTACGGAGCCCCGACAAAGTTAGCAGACCCATGGCTTTGCTGCTTCCTGCAACCTCGCTATACAAACTGCTGTTGCTTTTACAGATGTACGCGCTCAGGGCGTTCTTAATTATACGATTCCGAATGTCAGAAAGCTGTCGGAGGCTTCCACGTTCAGCGAGCCAGTGGCAGTCAGAAAGCTTCTTTGGTAGGAGATTAAGGGAGCAAAGACAGACAATAGGTGAAGGCTAAGTAAAACCATTTCACATTTTAGGGGTATCAGCGCTAGAAAAGAAACGCAAGGTGCTGATGAGTCTGCTGCTCTCAGCCTCTGTCTGTGGTGTTCTGGCTATCCGGAATCACCTTCGTGGATGTGTCAGGTTAATGCCGAAATGCGCTTGCTTCCATGGAAGCCGGAAACTGCACCAATTAAAAGAAGTATAATTGCTTGTGTGACATTTCAACTTCCGGTCTACCCTGATGATCTGTTGCATGGAAATTTTGTAGAGTTTGCCAAAGTGTTCGGCAAGAATAGACGCTGCTGGGGCGGGAAATATGTCTCTATGGAGGTCAGGGTTTTGTGCACGGAAATCATAAGTCGCTTTAACTGACTTACTTGCTGGTCATATACGCTTGTATCCGTAGCAACTGCTTGATCCGAAGAAAGGCTACGTCAATCCTACCGACTTTTCGTTGAGACTGCAGGTACATGTTGCTGCTGACCTTCCCACTGGAATCGAATGAATGGAGCGTCGACGCATAAAAAATAGCGACGCTTGTAAAAGATAAGCGTCTTCCGAAAGAGTTTTAGTTCCGCCCTTCATGTTGCTGCCGTGTAAATGGCTGCAGTTTCTGACGAGTTGTGTACCGATTCTTTTGCTAGACTTATCGTGGCACAAGAGAACGTAAGCTGACTACCTGAGTGAGATGCTAATAATTTATTGGACTGTGTGTAGGGATGCCGTCTGTTCCACACAAACGCTTTTTGTATTTCCCGCAAACACGATTTTCTATTCGCAGTACGTACGCAGTACAGTGTTTACCCTAGCTTCCGCAATATTTGCAATCGTAATGTGATTTTGTTTTTATCTGCGTATACTGTATTAACTGAGTGCCCAAAAAATCAAATGTTTGCTTAACGTCCTGCAGCTTATGCAATTTGATATGGCCTTCGTGATACAGTTGCACTATACCAGCATTTAAAAATTCAGAAAGATACCGTTACAAGCGAGCAACTAGAAGATTAAAAAAAGAAGAAGATGATTTTAATCTAAGTACTGAGCCCCGTTTGCCATATTCTCGTTCATGCCACCTCTAAACTGATTCGCTAGAAAAAGAGCTGCGGTATGTCTCAGTTAGTTCCGTCGGATCCGGCCAAGGCTCCAGAGCCGGTTCCCACATTCAAGGCATCCAACACTTGTTGATATCCGGTGATATGGTTCTGCATACAGTTTGTAGGCGGCCCCATGGGACATATTAGTTTATCAGCGGTACGAAAATACAGCGAGACATCATTGGCACTGCATCCGAATTTATTGAAGAATCCATTTTCCACGGCGTCAAACGCTGCACGATCAGCCGACGTCAGCTGTAGTGGATTGGCGCGAATGCAGTGCACCACCACCGGTGCATCGCAGACACCGGCCTGCGCATTCTGCTGGCCGCCGAAGCGCTAATCAGAGGAGAAGCAGATGGCCCAATATTGTGGAATTCAGCTACCATGTTCACCGGGTCTGGTTCGGGGGCGAACATTCGTCGGTACACGTAGTAAGTTCCACTAATCTATCAAAAGTTTAAAACCAACCGGGTACAACTTCGGTTTCTGATATATAAGGTAAACTGATTCGGGCTTTTACCAGGGTGTTATTGATTACTCCTGGGGAGGGCATTGTATTTGGCCATTTGCAAATCGATGACGTGGTGTTACTGCTTCCATAGCTCGATGCCGCAATGGTTGCTGTTGACGATGAACCTAGAGTAGCCAATACGCGCACATAATTACTTTCAGATTCAAGTAAAATGTTATTTCAACTGTTATTACGATATTAATTTAATTGTCATTTAAATTCAACGCACGGTATTTAAGTACACGTTATTGCGATATTATTATTTGACCAGTGGTAACTGCGCAGTTACGCATTAGTTTGGGCGTTCGTTCAAGCGGCTTCCGCGGTTACTTACTTGTGGTGTTCACAATGGTGTTCCTCATGCCTCGATAATCCTCGCCAATGCAGCCCGGTGGCTCTACCGGTATGCACAGGCCCTTTGGCTCCCACTCATCCCTGGGTATACTCTGTACTGTAATGCAGTATTTGGAAAATATGGAGTTAATGATGTTGTCAAAACTGTCCATTTGCTCTGCCGACAGCCGGTCTGGTCGCGTCCGAGTTTGCGCGATAATGGTGGGTGCCGCGCAATGGACACCGTCCGCCCGTGGCTTACTGCAGCCGTAGCTGACCATAAGATTTTGGTAATCGTGGTACAGAACCACGAAATCCGTTGGACCTGCGACATTCGGTTACAGTAATTGCTTTAAGAAACAGATTGTCAAAATTACAGTAGATTGTACGGTAGAGCGGTAATGGTTTACCGCATTTGTGCACTGAAGCTGCTACCGTATGGCTGCATCCACCATATCTCACAACTGAAACGGCACCATGAGTCTGCGATAGATGTGTGTGTTACATCACTCTACGCCGGTTATAGTTACACCGCCCTTATACGGGTCGCTCGTTTTCTGGAAAGGCCTAGCTGGATAAAGCAAAAGCACCTCGAATACGAAACATTGTATTGGCGGGCATTTTATGGTATTTTTAAGAAGTTATATCATTGTCAGGTTTCGAAAAACTGATTTTTCAAATTGCTCATACGGCAAGAATGCTGTCTTATCTGTAATCGAGAACCACATGAGTTCAGTATGGCCGATAGCGAGTTGCAAAAAAGTTATTGATTGTTATAAGCTGTACAGTAACGATTCTGCTGTCAACGTTGTTTGCATCGCGCACAAGCGATTCTGCCGCTCAGACCAAGAACACGGTATAACTTCTTCTTAAGACCGGTCGCTTTTAAGTGTTACTGGCAAGCATACGCACGCATAATGTAGTTGTCATTGGGTCCGCCAAGGTCTCCGATTTGTTGTCCACTGGAAGTATAAGATCCTGTCCAGTGCTGGGTTGGGCAAAATGATAAACTGGATGGGTCGGTTGAATTCTGGAGACGTCTGATCTGCCACCATTGCAGATATCCCGGTGCGCTGGTAACCGGATCCGCATATGGCGCTATGCTCTGGATACTTATCTCTACTGTAGCGGGATAGGTTCCGCCCATTTGACGGTATGAATACCATTGGCCGAACGCCTAATAATAACGTGAAGCTCCATTAAAAGCCAAATTTCAATAATGCCAATAATGCCAAATGCCAATAACTCCAGATAATGCCATTGCTTAAATTAATCCTACTTGTCGGGGATCATCTCCGCCGATTCCTTGCAGCCTGGTGGGGAGAGACGGTGAACACTGTTGCGCTGAGCATTTTGGAAAGCCAAATGCAGCTATTAAGCAGAATAGTGCATTATTGATTCGATGTCAAAGATATTTTCAAATATTTTCATACCGACACAAAGAAGGGTCATCACAAAATTCATGTTAAATGATAAATTAGTACATCCAAACCAGGCCGACTTTAAGAAGAAAGGGGGTGCTGCACCGTACATATAATATTTTGAAACGCACCGAAGTTAAACTGTTGCGACTGCTGGTGTACAGTGCAAGACATAACCGCGTGCACTTTCACAACAGTCATGCGATCGACGTAAAAAAATACCTACCTATGCGGCAGTGATTAATGGGAGTATTAACCTTAATTGCTGTAGTAGAATAACAATTCCATCAGAACCCGTAACGCATAAATAAGCCTTAACGTATGGCTGCCTGCGTATGCATGTTGCATACTGCACTGCATGCATGATGCCCACCTTGGCATCACATGGTGACTGTAATTGGGGAAACTCGGGAAACTCAGAAGTATATAACGGTACTGCCAAAAATTCTCCGCCAGTCGATCAATCGCAAACTTATGTCAATGGCGCGTAATCCTTTAAATTTTTTCTCTTGTTTTTAACGAATGCTCTTGTACATGTTACAGGTCCCTGCAAAGTTGAGCAAACTGTGCGCGCAATACGGGAGCGAATCGTAGCACTGGATGTATAGCATTTGCTCGATTCGGTATTAGGTTGGGAGGTACATAATAATAGTATTAATTTTCATACTTCCAAGGTTTTATTGATTTTGCAAAATAGAATAACGGCAGCCAGAATGTGAAATACAAACTACCGAGGACGCAACAACCATGGATTACTGCGGCACAGCAGATCGCAGATTCACAGTAATCGGAAAGCTGCCGTCCGATAAATCCATCCATCGAAGCGATTCGCTAGATGCTATTCGGAGATCCATTGCGAAATACCCGATACCGCAAGATGTCGCACTCTAAACTCATGCTTTCTACTGCAGCAACGAAAAGTGCGCGTACGTCGAGCGAATACAACAACGCTTGATCGCTGGGCGTTGGTTATTTTTACAGTAATGTCTCTACGCAACGAAGGGTGACTGCCATAACTTTGGCTTCCTCGCCATAATTAGCTTTTTCAATCGTAAGAATATCCCAACGTTGCGTGCTGGGGAACATTGTATTAGGATATTATGGTTACCATCTTGAGCCCAAAACCCGCGCTTCAAAAAACCTTCCATATGAGGAGCGCTTTCTCCACAAATACAGCACCAACCTTCCCATATTCCTGTAGGGCATGCGCTTTATATTGTACTTGCCAAATGTCGGCAAAGAGCCACGAGTGTCGGTGCAGTGTTCAAAGAGAGGCCGCCGAACACCAATCAATGCCAAACTGCCACTTGCTGGGTGATGGCAACTACGCATTAGAGTTCTGGGTGGTTGACCGCCCGCAGGTGCGGGGCACGATTCGCTGGCAATAAAACTGCAATATCAATACGTGTACGGTGTATCTTTGACTCTTTACTCTTTAGTAGTGTTAGTTTCTGATTTCCGATAATTTCTTGAGAAAGTTTATCCAATATCCATGGTACGAGGAGTCAGTAGACTCAGTACTACAGATCTTTCTGAATCTGGAATGTGGAGACCAGCAGTGTGCGCTGCATAGTGAATCACTGTTGCTGCGCTTTTGTGCATTGGATTTCGTAAACTGGCTGTGTTCTGAACGTTAGCCAGTTTGATCACTCATGTCTGGAAATTCCGTGCCATCATCGTACCCAGAAAGCCGCGGTGCGTTCGCGAAGATGGGTGAATGCATCAAACACCTGTTCCTTCGTAGAGAAATGAGCGATGTTGAGTTCGCGGTGGGGCGTGATTATGGCGTGGCGCAGCTCTTTCCAGCACACAGGTGCTTGCTCAGTTGCTGGTCGAAAACAGTGTGTTAACTCGTCCCATGATAATCGCTGTGTGTGTAGACTTCTCTTGAGTGCGCGTAGCGAGGTGTTTCACACCATGTTCCATGGAAGTCTGCCGGAGACTAGCACAGCTCCCATCGACATTCCCGACATTCATCCCGAGGCCTTCGCTAATATGCTCAGGTAGTCTGACGTAACGATATTTCGTTGCCAGTGCAGCGAATGTTTCATAACGAGGCAGCATATCGTACAGCTACGTCTACACCGACGCCGTAACGGATTTCACCCACGAAAACGTCTTCCACACATTAATGTGCGCTGACAAGTACGATCTACCGTTGCTGGTAGTGCTGTGCACTGACTTCGTCTTGGGCACGCTCAACTCCCACAACTGCCTGCAGATTCTGGACACGGTAAGTTGTATCGATGGTTGGGAGCTTTTTGCTACACTGAGCGGTTCTGCTTTCGCAAGAACCTGGGTTTTTGTAGGTGATGCACAATGTCCTTGCCTCGCCGAGTATTCTCGAGAAGTGTTTGTCTTTGATTGATGAATCAGCGACAACCATCTGGCGGTCGAATGAGTTCTGTCAAATCGGACCAGAAGCTCTTCAAGCCATCCTTCAACGGGATACTTTAACCGCCAACGAACATACCATTTGTTCTTCTGTTACCAAGTAAGCATTCCCAATAGCTTTTTAGAGATCCGGAAAGGTGAGCCTGTTTATCTATGACCGATCAGCCGTTGTCTTGTAGGTGGGCTACCAACATGTGCACGCAAAAGGACATGGAAGCTTGCTCCGCCAACCTAAGGGAAGTATTGGGCGACATGTTGTATTTAGTCCGATTCCCTCTTTTGACCGACACTCAGCTGCGGGATGGGCCTGTCAAGGTGCGGTCTTTACCACTAGGGTAGTATATGTAATTGTTTATTGGGCAATAGCCGCCATAACAACAAAAGTGCAAGCGCGGGCACACTACTTTACAGTTAAAATTTAAACATTAAAAAAACAACCAAAATCTCTATCCATATAGTATATAAGGATAGAGATAGTATATAAGGATAGAGAGGGTAGTATATATAAGGATAGAGAGGGTAATATATAAGTTTTCAGTTTGTTGGAATTACCCAAAACATGCTGGAACAAGGCGTGTGTTTTAGAGCGGTTTGTTGCTGTATTCGGAGGCAGTGGACATCTACCTCTACAAGCATGCCATCATCATACCCCAGCTGCCATTCCCTACGGAGCCTCGGCAAAGTAAGGATCGTGTGTGCGTTTGATAAAATTGCATCCATGTTTATTAACATCACTTGGTGTCTAGATGAACGCGCTGCGGGTGTCATTAATTACACAATTCCCGATATCAGAGAGCTGCAAGAAGCGTGCTCGTATTCGTTCAGCGAAAAGATAACCGTCCGAAAGCTGTTTTGGTAAGTGGCGGTTAGAGTTGACTGAAGGTGGCCGCGATTGATACGCATCGTTTTGCAAGTCTGTTGGCGCTGGAATGGGCAAACGCGGCGCATCTGCTGTTCTGGAGCTCTACCTGCGCTGCAGTGGCGGTTCGAAATTGACTCCCTGGGCGTGCCACGTTAATGCAGATGTGCGCGTGCTGCCATGGAGCAGGGAAACTGTCCCAGTAACGAAATGTACGCTCACTTACGTGGTTATTTATGTCTGAGATAACCCAGAATGAAATTCCCCGCAAGTGGTCTTCGAAATTTTTTAGCCTTCTCCCTGATGTTCGACAAGGAAAAACGCTGCTGGGGCCTAAGGTTTATCACTATGGAGGTCAGGATTTTGTGCGCGGAAAATTTCTGTCTTCTGTCGCAAACGCATAGTTACAGGTTGCACACGCACTGTATTCGTTGTTCATATAAGTTTGTCTCCCCAGGAATTACTTGATCCGGAGAATGGTTACGTCAATCCTAGCGACTTCTCCTTGAGACTGCAAATTCAGGTGGCTGCTGACCGTTCGGTTGGGATCGAGTGAGTGCAATTGCGTGTTTGGACATATGAGATACAGTTTTCTTAGCATCATCAAGGTTTTCCTTCATTCGCGCATCGAGAAATGGAGTAATCCTTTTGTCTGTTTGATTTTTGTCATTTCTTTGTGGGATATTTTTGGTGACCCTGGAGCTCGTGAGCTGATCACAGTTAATTAGTCTTCGTTTTTCTGGGTAAATTCGTATGTTTTCACCTTATTTAAGTAAAACTAGTGAAAATAATGTTTCGCGACCGGAAACGGTACACATGTGCCCACTACTGTATACAACTGCTCTCCTATGCCTTGGCGGTCGGTAGCGACACCACCAAAGACCAACAAAGCACCAATCTTCCAGTGGAAGCTTCAAGCTTCCACTTTCGAGTACATAACTCACTTACCGATGCCAGACCGGTCATATGTGCAGTTTGCAAAGAGAGGGCGCCTAAAGGACATTGGCTCCAAATTACTGTCACTTGGGGGTGATGCTGACGGTGGGTCTGTCTCTCTTGGCGTCTTCCTTTATTGTTATGGCTACCAGAAATCGGACCCTGTGGCATGCCAGGCCACTGCTGAACTTTGCCTGCTGCCGTGGAAAATGGGAGTTGCATCGTTTAAGAGACGTATGCACACTGCACATCAATTTCCTTATTGTTAGACAAGCTTTGTTACAGTCTATGTAGTGAATCTAGTATCTACACAACGGAGTCTTTATTAAACTTTATCATTTTGCAGAACTATCCCACTTGTTCGATAAGAATCCATGTGGCTGGGGATACCCGCAGTTTATCTTTATGTATGGAGGTGAGGTTCTGCGCAGGGAAACCTTTGGCTATCTATTGCTGACATAGGTTGATTTTCTAGAAAAATCCTTCTGACTCTTCCCTGAAACTGCAAATCCAGATTACTGCTGAACTTCCTGCTGGGATGGAGTGAATCGACTGCAGTGCTGGATGATCGAGGGGGGGTAACGAAGCGCTTAAAGGATAATGTACTCTTAGTTGTTTGGGGAAGCGTTTTGAGACCGTGCATGCGTGAACGACGCACCCTGTTGACGAATTTGTACAAGCTCTTGCTGCTAGATTTTCTGTGGCATAAGAGCTAGTTATGCTAACCTAATTAGATAAGATGGGTTCAGCTGTAGACTCTTATGTTTCTGGACAGCTTTTGTTTTTGGCGATCCTTTTTTGGCAGAGTGCGGCTTTCATATGTGTGTCAAGTTTACAGTACTGTATATCAATGCAGCTTATTTAATGTACATCAGTACAATGCGCTGGTCCTTTTACTCGTCTAAGCACCTTGGCCCGAATTTTGTCATAGTTCTAGTTAGTAAATCATCTCAGACGAATACTATATCAGACGTAACGTTCAGGTACCTAATTGCACTGCACTGCAGATGCGAACACATAAGTAAAGCCTGAAAGAGTTTTTGTAACGTAGTTTCTTCTGTAGGGAAAACTTTTCGGCATGGAGTTGACAGAATTAGGGCGCATGCCATGGAAGCCCGTGCGCATTAAATTTATTGTCCGGCACATTTGTTCGTTATTGTTTCAGCTGTAGTTTTCGTTCGCTTGAGCCAATAATTTTATCGCCGTAGAACAAGACTCAAAGTGGCTACCAGTAACTGCTTCGATACGCCAGGTTTTAATTTTAGACAGCGGTAAACTTGCTCATTCAAAATTGTGGACATTCCAGACTAACCGACGTCCGCTACAGGAAATATCCGCAGCACTCTGTATAGTAAATCAGGAAACAACAAACACACAACAAGCTAGGTATAATCAACAGCAAAAAAATAGAGACGATTGATGTTTTCTTTGGAGCGTGTATAATATTTCTACCTTACTAATAAAATCAAAAACAGCAGCAAAGTGCACCGCAAAGTATCACCATGAAAATAAGATCAACGAAAAAGTGCAGGACTAAGTGGGTAATCCAAGGACGCTACATTACAAGGGGGGTTTGGACTTTGGACTGTAAACGGTTAGAAGGAATCTTCATCATCACTGGCTGCTTCAGCTTCCTCGTTTTCGTTTATGGGCTCCTCGTTCACTTTAGCTTTTGTCCGGTACTCCTCGGGAATGTCGCTTAAGAGAAGCAGTTTGGCATGCTGCCACACAAACCACATCTGCAACATATTATCAAGTCAGACAAATTAAATCAAATATCAAAAGTTATGCCTTACTTATCTGTACTTCCTTAAGGGAAGTGACCCGGTAAATGGTACTAAAATTCCTGTACATGTACGGAAAATCTTTATTTTCGCGCACTTCCAAAAACTTTTGCCTTGTTTTATGATTATTATGATTGTAGCCCGACGATTTGTATACAGATGGCGGGAAGACCGCTTATACGCGCGACATCCCGTTGGGAAGTAACGGTTGTCAGAAAGTTCCAAAACGTTACGCAAGTTCCTTCAAATTTTAAAATTAATTTCAAAAACATTACAACAAATTCCTGAAATTTAAAAATCCTTTTAATTTTGAAAAAAATCTACAACCGTGGTGCGGTGTAAAAACGATCCTAATACTAAAGTGGGCACAATTACATAAATCGGCCCACAATAAGACTTTTGGTACACATGAATGCGATTAAACTTTATACATAGAATGCATGAACAGTGAACACCAATGCCTTACTAACCGGATGCTGCGCGCACAAACGTTTTTCACGCCAGTATAAACAAATCTTCGGGCTACAGAATGGCAGAAAACAATGACAAAAGTTCTGCTGTGAGTGCGAGAAAGCAGGTTCTCCTGCATATGTACACGAAATGCATGTGCGAAATTTGTGGCATGTACTGAGTCATGAATGCAATACAGAATGTTTTATGAATCACACTGTGTACTTAACATACTTCACATATTTCGAATGTTCCAGGGTTTGAAGGCAGAGATGGTTTGCAGTCTATTTTACATGGGCACCCCAAACAAACCCGATATGTGTGAATATCAGTGTACAATTATGCATACCTCAATAAAGAAACACCAAATTCGACCGAGAATCAACATCCACAGCACCCCGTACTCCGTTATTCGCCACAACTGCTCGTAAATGTTGTTGCCCGGCAGAATACTGGACTTGGAAACGGCACGGGCGGCGGGGCCGAAGAATAAACGAGTCAATAGGCGATGACGCCGGATGAACAGCCACACCGGAAGGACATGCAAACCCGCTATCGTAAACACACCCAGCCGACTTCGAAAACCTAGAAAGCAAGGATAAATAATAAATCAATCCTCAAAGAAAAATGGATCGCCCATACCATTCTGCATGGTACAAGCCACCGGCGTGGGAAGCGACACGGCTTCTTCGGGATGGGAGGATTTCCACGCTGCTCCCAGTTGGTGTGTGCAGACAAACACTAGCCACTCCACGCATCCAACCAGCCATCCATACTACAATGGAAATCCATCAACAGAAAAACCGGAATCAGAATTATCAGATGCGAAATATGCGTTTATTTGTATAGCTCTGTTAAATTGTCCACAGAACATAAAAACACAAAAATAATACAGCTGTTAAATTTAGAAAATCAAAACCTTTTGTCAGGATTATGGCTATGGACGAGGCAATTAATGCTGACCTTCGATACGCGGCTCCAAATTAGCTGTCGTCCAATTATGTCAATAACGACATCCATCTGCAAGCACAGACAAAATGGTGAAACGACTATATAACAGAAATACTGTACTTGTACTGATAAGTACAAATGCGTACAAAATACTAATTACGGCATGCACACATTTTGTATTTCAGTAAATGCAAAAGTTCAAAATTTAAAACTATACACGTACGGCATAAAAAATCTGCAACTAATTCTTTTACCATAAGAATTTAAAAACATTTTAGAATCAGCAGCCCGCAGTACGGGTACGCCAAGAAAAAGTAATACGAATATGAAAATACTTTACCAGTAATTATTACAGTAGTTAAATAATTAAATCCTGCAGACAGTGCAAAGCAAAATTCGATGCAGCTCGTTTTTATAAATCTTCTTGCCTTACTCTAGAAATAGGCATCCCTGATTTTGCCAAATTTTACTGTCACAAGTTCGACCAGATTCATAAATATCGTACGTACCCAAGCTCCGAATGTTGATGCTTGTTTAAAATATCTCGCAGCCCAACCGTCGATGCCTAAAGAATAAAATAAAATTTCATAAAATCATGAATCCATAACGAAGATTTCGTTGTTGTACGCGTATCGTAAACACATAACACGACTTCTGATATTATCAGAAGTCGTTTTGCACATTACGAATGCAATCAGATATACCAAAAAGTACTGCAAGATGCTTCTTGCAAGTTATAATTAGAACTGCAAAGCGAGTTCTCTAAAAGTAATTTAAATAATCACAATAACTGTGGCTGAAACATGACAACATAAACCACAGCTTCATCATAATGATAATTCTTACACCTTTTCCAAATTTTCGAAATTTTATGCTTTCGGGCATATGTTTGTTGAACTGTAATTATTCCACTTCTTGGAACGCATAAGGATTAACAATTAAACATGCTGAATTTTAATATAATAATTCCTGTGGAACAATAAGTAAAAATCATATTACACCCTTATTATCGAAATGCACAACAAAGTGCACAAGGAGATTTATCGATTTTTCCCCAGTGTGCATTACACGATACTTCACCGGTTACAGCAGCACTACAGCAGCGGAGGAATTTACCATCAAGGATTATGGATGCGCAATAGAGCAGGATGAAACTCCACGGCGAGGATCCCCTGAGCCAAGCGATAACCAGCAGCACAATCCGAACATAGCCGATCAGGTTGGGAAAATATTGCAAGATCTCCCCCTTCGATTTCGGGGCTGGTGACTGCATTGCACCACCAACGTGCTTAACGTGTTCGTTCCACTGGCAGAACCAAGAGGATGGATAAAACCAAGCAAGGTTCAAAATTAATAATACAGTCAGCTGAGAGAGGACGGCATTCGAAATGAGCTTCGGAGCGACTTTCTCGCGCTACAGCCAGTTCCCACCAGAAGACGTCGGCCTTCTCGAAATCCTATTGGAAAATAAGCCAAGAAAAATATGGTTTGTCAGCAGTGCAATCGTAGGCTCTTGAGGAAAGATTACAGATCAAAGAGTAGATTGTTACTTATAACTTACTAGTACTAGTTAGTACCGTTCGAGAATCCCTTCGAAGAAATTAGATTGTGTTCGCAAGCGCAAAAAGGCTTACGATATGCGGTACGATATACGATAGGCTCTTGCACGTCATCATGGCGTACCCTTATCGGACCGTTCGACGATAGGATTGACGATAGAAAGCAAAGCTATCGTCAAGCTTACCGTTAAGCCCTGCGAAATAGCAACCGCTCTTAGTGGCGATTGCATCGACTGGCACGGCTACAAGTGCCAACTCACGAAACTTTTGAGGTATCAGAATAAGTTCGAATGGTTTTTGATTAACAAACGGAGTAAATCAGAAGAAAGACAATATTAAAATAAGTTTTTTGATACCACGTGAGGGCAGTTTGTTCAAAAACCAATGGTTTTGCAGCTGTTTCAATTTACCATGCAAAGCCTACGGCGTTGTTGGAGTACTCAGCGCGAACTTTTTACTCGAACTCCGTAGACGCCTGTTTTAACTTCAAATGTTCATAACAACGCTCACTGGCGCTCAAATCTAGCAGCTTTGGTGTCAAAACAATAATTTATAATTTAGTTTCATCGGGTTCACAACTAAAAGCAGTTTAGCACAAACAAGCCCCAAGGGTTACTGAAACTTTTTACATTTCACTTCGGAGGCAACATTCGACCGTATAACGTTTATCGTTTGTCGCCTGTGATGAGAACGAACACTATAAATTACCGACGATATGCTTACGGTACGGTGCTGCATCGTATCGTACACCGGACCGTCTTATCGTTGTGTAGGCGAACACAATCTAATAGATTGTGTCGTAAATCGTAATGCGTGTTGAAACAGAGCATCGCACGAGGGCGGTACACCTAGAGACACTTCCGCCGGAAACAGTGTGCGTTTTATGTAGCCGCCCGCGGTAGGCATTTGCACTAAGTATGGGGTAACACCGTACTATCTGTTCTGTACGGTACGTGATGTACTGGATAACTTGGTTGCCATTCACAATAATTAGGTCTGGGAAGTTAGCTCGGGATAGATGCGAAATTCTTAAAATAAAACTGTAACCTTCTGATTATATGAGCCGTAACTATCATTTATAAAAATTGATGCTTTGCTGATAAAGTAGTAATGGAAGTTACACAACAAGTTGAAAGCTACCGATGAAACATGTTGTAGGATGATCGTATCTGCTGCAACTACATACAGCGAGAAAATCAAACCGGCTATAAAGGAATAGATCCGTCCGTATCCGAAATAGGCTGGACTGGCCGGTGGTGTCCTCCGGATCGCTAGTGTACATCCACGCTCCTTCAGGGCGGGAAGACGTGTGTATTCTTCATTGAGAAGAATTACCGTACAACGGTTTTTCACTTTTTTGGTGGTTTTTTGTAGTGCTCAACACTGTTCAACTTTCAATGTTTTGCAAAGGTTTGCCTGTGCTTTTCCTTTGTTTTTCATGACCGAGAGAATTTTTTGATAGCAACATAATAATTTTTGTTTGCTTTCGGTTCCGTGTTTCTACAGTTTCCAAAACATATGCGCTTTGACCTTTAGTCTACAGTACTCTCTCTATTCGGCTGTGCATCCTTTTTGCTTTTATCTGACTTTGACTTCAACGCGAATTTCTTCTTGACGGTGGGAAATCGCGGAAAGACAAAATTTAACTGCCACACTCAATCGATCTTTGCGTAGTAGTTTTTACAATGGAATGCTTGAATTTGCATTACACACTGAAATTCTAGAAATGTGTTAAGTATCAGCATTTGTCCCATTCGATCGGACAAATATCTCCTCCACTTGAATTAGTCAGGATATTTTACTGTATAAAGCAGCCACGTCGGGCCACTTGAGAATTTTTTCCCGGAACATGTCGGCGCGGAATGCGAGTTCTGCATGAGCGTAGTCAGCACTACCACTCTAAACGGTTTACGGACGTTGAAAGCACCATCAGAGTTGGGTGCGGAAAGTTGGAAACTTTACTGCAGATATAAGCGAAGATGTTCTGGCCGTTTTCTGATACTGCGTGTGGTACATTTATCTGGTGTGATTTGTCTGCAGTGCTTTAGCGCAAATCTGGAGCCAAACTTTGTGTGGGTCCTGTCACACTACCCTGTGCCCCAGAGATCAAAATGATTGTGCGTTTACCGAATGCGGGAATTTTGGGAGTGTTGATGCTGCTGATTTTTGGAGCTCTTCCACGTCCCGGTAAGAGCCAACTGCACAAATGTGCAAAGGTCATATGAGCGTAATTGTAAGAGTGATTTCTGGATGTTTATATTGGACAGCGACGGCTTTCTCATCAGTCTTTCAAAACCCGGATTGCGTAGCCACACTTCCGACTGACTGCAAGCCGGTATATGGTTCGACTTGCAGCTGCTGCCCAGCAACATGGCCATCAGATGACTGGTACGCGTGTCTTGATGCGGCCAACAAGCCGCCCACCACTCCCACTACCACCATTCCTTTCCCAAAGAGTACAACGATGATTGGTGGCCTGGTCGATGATTTCAATAAACGCCACTGCCTTAATAAGCCTCCGCCTGCGCGTTATAATCCTATGGTGTGCGTGCCGGAAACCGGTACCAACTGCTGCTGTTGTCAGGGTCACGAACGTTTTCAATGCTATCAGAAGAATGTTCTTGCGAAAAACCCTTGGAAATGCGAATAATCCTCTAAGAACGAATATTGGATTTGTAGCAATATGTCTAACAATGTAATGTCCCGCTGAAAATGTTGCAAGAGTCGAATACATCCTAGGTTATATTATATGGCTTCAGTAACGTAAGCAGTCAATTAGGTTATACTTTCATGAATGCCTTAAACTTATCGTTAACAACAGTCTTGTTACCACCATATCAACAAAACTTGGTGCGCTTAGTTAGTATTCCGATATAAGTAATTAGGAATGCAGTTTATTGACAAAGATGTTTATTGATAAATATCACAACGCAAAATAAAACACCTTTAAATAAGACAGTGGTATTCGGTAATAAATTTTGCAACGCTGTCGCACATGGTATACACACTCGGATAATGCAGTAATTAAAAAAGGACCACAGAATGGCGGTTACGACCTTTGCCGCTTAGCTCGTGAGGCCGTTAATAACCGGCGATCAGAACACTGCCGAAAATACTTACTATCACAAACCATAGCAAGATTATGCAGTTAAATCACTGCTCCTTTACATAACATTTACTGACATCCCGTCTAAAATCGTCATGGCAATTGGACATACAGGAAAAGTAAGAAAAAGGGAACAATTATTTCGTACGATGGTGCGCGAGCATACCTAAACGTTTAGTGGCTTTTATTGTTTCTAACAATTATTCATATTTAGTGCTCATTTATAACGTTTCATGGATCGTGCCCTTGAGCAACTCGTTTACTCATCTCCGGTGTAACCCTGAATAGTAATAGCGAAAAGTGCGCAGGAATGGCAGGATTAACGTATCCCTTCGCCGGGTCCAGTAAACTCTACGGGTACAGTACAAATTTACGTGACAAAGTTCAGCTTGAAATCATAGAGTAAAAAGCCCAAGACACCTTACCTCGAACGAAATAAATTCCACAAATCCCCAGTCAGCCTCTTTCTTGCAGAGCGCATGAGATACTTGGCCATCATGAATTTGGCCATCATGGCTCATGAGCGAGGACCCATCAACTGCTAACACAAATCTAGCGCTCACCTGTGAGCTGGAAAGATCTTTACCGCGCCGTGATCGCGTCCCACCGCGAATCGAATGTCGCTCATGTCTTCGCAGAGTAAGATGTCCTTTACACGGTCGGCAACCTTCGCCACTCCGGCGCGACTTTCCGTAGCCGTGGATTGTGCGGAATTTTGAGACATAACTGGAACGATTGTTGACAAAGGAACGATTGACAAAGGAACGATTGACAAAGGAACGATTGTTCAACTAAAGAAAGTCATGTAGCTCTTAAACAATAAAGAAAGAAGGTAAGAACATAAATAATTATGATTCCTCTGTGAAATACTTTTATGCATTTATGATACAGTACCTGTATCTTGTTTGTACTGTAGCTTATATACAGTCTGACTAAATGAGGAGGCTACGGTCTATGTTAAAAAGCCAGCGAACAGCCTTTTTTGCCCGCTGAGGCAGGTTGATCAGTGCTAGCTTCCTTTCTTGCTCGCATTGTATACTTCGAATACTGCCTTATATGGGCTCCCCTTATATTACTCTCCCTTATCTGGGCTCCCGGCTAGTTTGCAATACCCGTCAAATTTAATTTATCGGATTTATAGCAGAAGTTGACTGCAGAACCCTTTTGTACTTCTTTCAGTCGGATTTACCAGTGAGCACACCAAAGAATTCCGAAATTTCACATCCGAATTATATTTATAAATATTATTTATATATATTTTTCATTAATTTCAACCGGATTTGCCAATTAACAAACTGAAAAATGCTACGAAAGTACTGGCAAAATACGTATTTTAAATAAATAAAAATTTTCAGTCAGTCATAGCAGTTAACACTGATAAAACTGCGAAAGTGCGAGTAATAACGTAACCGCCCATGTAGAGGGTTGCTCATATTGCTCGGGGAGCCCAGATAAGGAGAGTAATATAAGGGAGCCCATATAAGGCAGCATTCGAAGTATCACTGAAGCACGAACAAAATGTAACACTTTTATGAAAAGGCATGGCGACACATGTGACACTTTTAGCCGATGGTTATAGGACTCAGAAAATTGATACGCTTCTGCAGAGAATACGGTGCTGTATGATACAGTACATACAGTTATTCACCGGTACCACTTCCCCTTTCCATGGTAGCAAGCGGAGCTCCGCATCAGCCTGACATTTCCAGGAGGCCGACTTCGCACTACCTCCACACCATAAAAAATAGCCCAAATAAGCAGTTCTTGCCTTCGTATGATTCTTGACCAGTATTTTCTTAGAATATAGTCGCACTTCAACTTGTTTTTCAAACTTCAAATTTGTACAAAGCAGCCACGTCTGGCCACTTGAGAATTTGTTCCCAGGAACATGTCGACCCGGAATGCGAGTTCTGTACAAGCGTAGTCAGCATTACCACTCTAAACGGATTACGGACTGCATAGACACCGTAAGAGCTTGGTACGGAAACTTCACTGCAAATATAAGCCCAGACATTCTGGTCGTTTCAAATGCATTGGAATTCTCTTAATCCTGTTCGCAATATATGTACATAGTTGGCCGGTGTACATTGTGTGCGCTCTAAAATATTTTTGCGTGAATTGTGTTACTGTACTCTCTGCAACAGCAGTCAGAATGGTTGTACGTTTATCGAAAGTGGGAATTTTGGGAGTGTTGATATTGGTGACCTTTGCAGCGCTAACACCTCCCGGTAAGGGCCAGCTTTGCGCATCTGTGAAGGTTATGTGAGCCGGTCTGATTGCGAGAGTAATTTTTTCTCTTTTTCTGACAGCAACGGCATTTTTCGATTTACTCTTTCTAAAACCGGACTGCATGCCGACGCTTCCCATCGACTGCGAACCCGTGCGTGGTTCGACCTGTAACTGCTGCCTGGATACAGAATGGGTTGCGTGCTGGAGTGCGAGCCAGCCGACCACCACTCCCACCACTCCTACCACCACTGTTCCTCTCCCAACGAACACAAGGAAGACTTTTGACCTGATCGATGATCTTAATCCGCGCCACTGCCTTAATAAGCCGCCGCCTGCGCTTTATAGGCCTATGGTGTGCGTACCAGAAACCGGTACTAACTGTTGCTGTTGTCATGATGACGAACGAGTTCGATGCTATCAGAAGAATATTCTTGCGAATAAACCTTGGAAGTGTCTCTAAGAACGCGTATTGTGTGATTTATAGCAATATTTTTAACATCGTAATGTCCGCTGTAATTTTTGCAAGACGACAAACACAATGAGTGTGAATATTATGTCATAGCTTACAGTATGTTATAGGCAGTCATTTAGATTACTCACTCTCAGAAATATCAGACTTAAACTTACAAATCTTTTTGTTAACACAATATCATCAAGATGCAACTTAGTGATAGACTTCTTTTTCCGATACAATCGAAAACAATTAAAAACAGGCTTATTAATAAACTATGGATAAGAAACATTTCGCAGTGCTGTCGGTTAGTTTACTCTTTTCTTAACACTTTGTTGACTAGCACGGAAGGTGGGCAGTTCGGTTAGCCGGGTGGAAATTTTGCGCCGGTGCTATCTTGCTATGATTACAATTAAAAAAGCTTATGGTGGCAATTCTTTCAAATAGCGCAAAAAAATGACAAAATGTGCCCTCTGTACAAAGTTAGTAAAATCTGATGCAAAAATCCAGAGCGAATCGATCCAAACGGAACAGATACTTCTATACTTCAATACTGGGTTAAGAGTTTCTTGCAATGAACACATTTAATTTACGCGTCCGACACCGTCCCGGCAATGGGATATATAGGAAAATAATTCACCACGAAAATCTTTGAAACAATTATTCCTTTGCAAACCTATACCTTCAACACCTTTTTAATACTTCAGTCACGTGTTCATATTTAGATTTTAGGGTGCATGTGTTAAGTTTATCGAATGTGTTATGTGCCCAAGAGGAACTCGATCACTCAACGCCAGCAGGACCGTGAGCAGTAATCTTCACCTGGAGCTTTAACGCGAACTGTCCCGGACTGACATATCCCTTCTCCGAGTCCAGTAAATACTAACGAACAAATTTAAATAGACAATGTTTATCAAGAATTTCGATCACCTAAGACAGCTAACCTGGAACGAGATAAAGTCCGGGTATCCAAAGTCAATCACTTTCTGGCAAAACGCATGGGATAAAGCTGAAGCATAAACATTAATGTGACACTATTACGAAAAAGTTAGCCACTGGTTTAATGAGGCTCATAACACTGATACAAGCAACACATACAGTTCTTAACCGTTGCCACTCCCTCTTTCCATGGTAGCAAACGGAGTTCCGCATCGGCTTGGCACTTCCAGGAGGCCGACTTTGGGCTACCTCCGCACCATACAAAATAGCCCAAATACGGGGATCCTTCCTTGATGTGCTTCTTAACCAAAATCCGCCTACAACATAATCGTACTTCACAGTTCACACACGTTTTCGTGATTTCAGCGCTTCCACATCTCCCTGCGGCTCACCAAGGCAGCTTCCGGACTGTTATGGGATCGCTCAGCGTGTGAGTCTCATCCAGCTTCCTAATATCCGGAACCGTGAAATTAATGATACCCTCAGTTCGCAGGTCATCTGACAAACAGACACGATTAAACAATTTCTAAATGATCGTGAATTTAATCATCATGGTAGGCTAACTTTGTCGGGGCACCGTGCAGAACGGCAATTCCGGTTTGACTGCGGCGTGCTTGAAACGGACGATATCCAGTAGCTCCGAATGCAGCAACAAACCAGTCTGGACAAACCCCAAAAGATGTTAAAGAATTATGCCATCCAGGCACTGCCTGCATCCGTCTCGAGCGAATCAAACGATCGCGCTATTCTGATTATTAACGTCGTAAAGATCAGTACTCTAATCGCACCTCAGCAGGGCCATCCATCAGCTGTGCCTCCGTTAAGAGCGGGAAGCGGATAAGATGCAACGCCGGACCCAGTATTTCACGCCGATTGACGGCAGAAGCCTCCATATTCCGCTGCTTGCAGGCACTACTAGCCCATCTGCCAACGACGGCAGGCGGCTCAAAATACTACCAGTATGACCATATTTTACAACCAGCGTGAAGCTCGAGATTCTGCAATTAAGCCTGCTTCGATAGTTAAAATTCTTCGGCAGACGCAAGACGGTGTAGTGAAACATTTCGCAGTCTCACAGCGCCAGCACTTCCGTTACAACCACAATTTTTGTCCACAAAGTACACGTATTGCAGATGTACTGCAGATACAGTTATAATACGAGAACTAGCGAAGAATTCGTACTTACTTTTCGACCGCCCAATAGATAGTGTCTTCATCCGCAGCGAGCGTGTCTCGCTGCAGAATACTCTGTAGCGTCTCTTGTCCGAGGGCCAAGAAGTGATCCGACAGCCAGATACCTTCCGCCGATTCATCGATCAGACGTAGACACTTCTTCGTGACACGGGGTGCTGTACATTTATGACGAATGATCTACGAGTACAGAATCCATAAATTTAATAGTAAAACCGCTCACGGCAACGGAAACTGGGCCAAACTGTCGAGGAAGCCAACCTTCTCCAGATGTTCCAGACAGTTATCCGTGTCGAGATTATCCATGATGAAGCGGGTGCACTTTTCCATCAGCGATGGTATGTCATACTTGTCAGCACAAACGAGTGTTTGGAATACGTTGTCCTTGCTGAGAGTCTTCACGGTATCCGTGTAGATGTAGCTACACCAACAACAGACTGCGTTGTTTATAAACATGCGCTGTATTTCCAGGAGGCAATGCTCAAGAATATACTAACCTGAGCATATTAGAGAAGGCGTCGGGAAGAATATCCGGTATATCCACGGGAGCTGCACAGTTCTCCGGTATACTTCCAAAGAACATCTTGTGAAACACATCGCTACGGGCACCCATGATGACTCTACAAAAATCAATGGAATCCAGCACACTGCCAAGAGCAGAGAATCATCATCCACGGACCCCACCACGGCAGCGTAGAGCAGTTGCCACCGTAGTTATGGGTTGCATGAACAACAGAACAAGCACCTGTGAGCTGGAAAGATCCGCACTGCGCCATAATCACGTCCCACGGCGAACTGCACATCGCTCATGTCGCCACAGGCCAACACCTGTTTCATGCACTCGGCAAGCTTAGTGGCTTCGCCACGGTTACCTCGGTCGGGGGACCCCATGGAACTTCGAGACATGGTTACTGTAACAGAGTGAAAAATCTGCTGCAGTGGTACTGCCAGAGTGCCAGGAATTCGCGAACCTAGGCTCACAGTTCGAACAAACGAAACAGCATGCCACGCTAAAAGGATGGATCCTAGACGTACTGACTGTCAAATATCGTGCACGCTATCATACAAGATTTACTTTAAGTCTTAAGACCACGTAATATTATACTTATAACAGCCAGATAAGGAACAGGCAGCAGTATCTTAATTCGTCAACACTACACATCCAGAAAAACTAGTGCAACCAAAGCTCAGTGACTCACGAATCAAAACGGAATACAGCATTATGGTAAGTAACTAGAGAACTGCGCCATAGTGCTCACTTGGGAGTTGTTGTTGAGGTATTGGCTAGCACGTAGCTGCCGCTGCGTGGCGCACACCCATTCATAATTTACTTCCTAACGTCGTCTCGGGGCGGTTGACAGCCAGATGACGGGACGGCGATAAATCATCGTAGGCTCATAGCAACCGTGTTTAAACAGCGCTAGTGTGCACCATTGCACATTATTCTCCTTTATATCAGTACGATACGACAAACTAGAGATGGCAACGGCCGGCTAAACGGCTGACCTTTCGGCTGACGGCCGGCTGAAGCCCTTAGCCGGCTAACTCAACGCGGCTGGAAGTCTCAGCCGGCTAGAGCGGCTGACCAAAATTTCCAGCCGGCTTAGCCGGCTAGCGGCCGGCTTAGCCGTTTACATTCTCGCTATAAAAAAAATTCGCAAAATTTTTAAAATAACGTTGCAAAGTGCCGTTAAATCACAAAAAATTAGGAGTTTTTCCGTTTATGTTGTGAAAAAACGGTTTTCAAAAACTTTTGAAGCAAAAAAAAACAGCGGTTATTTGGGAATTCCGAGTCTGAATGAGACATGAGTTACAGTTCCCTAATTTTTAACAATTAATGGCGCCGTTGCTACTGAAAGGGCATCATGACGGCCGAGTTTAACAATATCACGAGCGAAAGCGACAGAAATTAGGCGCCGGCCGAAGAAAATGTGATGCAAAGTGACTCGGTGGCGCCATCTTTACCGCCAAAACGGCACAACGACGCCGCCGTTCAAGCCGCTTCAGCCGAGTCGGCCGCCGGCTAAGCCGCGGCTGGCTGAACTCTCAGCCGGCTTAAGCAGCCGGCCTGACGTCGGCTACGGCTTGCAAAAACCGTCAGCCGGCTGGCCAATAGCCGGCTAAGCCGTTGCCATCTCTACGACATACACATTAAAAATAACAGGAAACTAAGCTTTACCAGCTGGGTGACACATGCCTGATAAAAAGTGCAATGTGCTCTATAGATTACGTGCCGATGCCGTGGCCACGGTATCAGAGAATGCCTAACGTGCGGCGGTCTCGCGTGTTTCGTAGCGTACGCGCAGTAGAGACCGAAAACAGTACTAAATTTCTGTACGGCTACGTACGGTTTGGCTTGCGGCTCCTACGGCTACGGTACGGTTACGGTAAAAAAAGCCGGATTGACCGTGTATTTTGTACATGAGCCTGTATACCATATTTCCTGTCTATACATTTTATTCCCTGTGTACTTTTTGCCAATCTATTTTGATCATAATGCGCACATCTTATAATGTTTTTGAATAAATATATATTGTCATCAGAGCATTGTACTCGTTGTATATAATGGGGAATATCATACGGTAGTGCAATTATAATTGTTGGTAACTGGGTCCAGAGCGAGTGCCTGCTTAATTTTTTTTCTGCGTGTGCCCGCAAATGTTCTCTTTTAAAGCTTTGTCGAATGAAAAACGTATTATAAATTTTTAATGGCTCGGCTAATGTTGCTGTTGATAAATATATATGACCGTTAACGTTTTATTACCGCTCTGTGTGCATGCAGCTCATGTTCACTGGTCGAACTTACGGTACAAAGAGAATTACATATGTATCAATGGTTACCTCAAATTCACAACTAAAGGATGAAGAATTCGACATTTAGAAAGGCAAACTTCCGGTTGCAGGTAATCTCGAACGCAGAATAATATCATCCTGTCTTCTGAATGTCTGTAGCTAATGTTAAATTATTTATCGGCAAATTGAAAATTAACTGAAGATATTCAGATAACAGATACAACAAATTTTGTAGAACGTAATTTTTGTTCGCACAGTTGGTGTCCGAATGCGACAAAATTGGATCCGTCACAAAAGGTATGATCCATTACAAATTTTGTCCCTCTAGGTAAAAAAAGTGATGATTTTAAATGTAATATATATATGGCGCAATATACACCCAACGACTGATCTCAACATATGGTATTTACATAATTATTATAGTTATGTAAATCAGATTTGTAAATACTCGTATCACGCACACCGACGACAAAGTAGATTCTTATCGCAACACAAAATGGACCCACGATAGACGGTACGATATACGGTAGGCTCTTGCACGTCATCACGGCGTACCCTTACCGGACCGTTTGACGGTAGGATTGACGGTAGAAGGCTGAGATATCGTAATGCCTACCGTTGACGTCTGCGATATAGCAACCACCCTCGATGGCAGTGGCGAGAAGCACAACGGTTGCAGCTGCCAAATCGTGAAACTTTACAATCGTTCTGGTAGGTTTTAGTTGTTGATTCACAAGAAAACGATATAAAAAGAAAGATAAAATTCTAAAGAATTTTTTGGTACCAAGCAAGTGCAGTATATCTGAAAATGAACCATTCTGCAGCCATCTGAATTTAGCATGCCGCTTACGGAGCCGTTGAGTACTCTGCGCGAGCTGTCATTTAAAACTCCATAGGCGCCTGTGTTAAAATTCAACTGCTCGTAGATTGATTCATGGGCTGTCAAATCTGGATGTTTTGGTATCAAAAAATAATTTAGAATTTTAGTTTTCATCAGGTTTTCAATTGAACGATTGTTACCATATGCTAAGGCCTTAAAACTGATTTGAACCACAGCATGTTTCACGTCAGAGGCACGATTGGACCGTATCGTGTACCGTACGCTTGTTGCGATCACTCTAACTTATCAACGGTACGGTCACGATACGGTGTCCCACCGTATCGTATACCGGACCGTATATCGCGACTGTGGGGCGATAAGAATCTAGACAAAGTCTTTCATGCCGACGGTGCGCGTATACGTTACTAAACCCGGTGCATTTCGTTTTTGTTGCATTGTTTGTCAAGCTTTTATCAATTTTGTTTACTGATATATTTGTTTGCGGATCCTATACTAATACATATTATGATAATATATAGACAGACTACGTCGGTAATATATTATTTAATAGGTTTGTCGAATCCAACCGTGCAGCGCCTACGTGAAATAATACTGGATCCCAAACAGGCCTAAGACACTTACCATTTCGAGGGTACCGGTACCGGGACTTTTACCTGCTTATTAATTTCTCTACAGGTTTGTACAGGTTTGTATGTACGAGTAGTATAAACTGACGAAAGTAAAGAAATTAAAGGATATAACGCAAGTAAGTACGGTAAAGTATATGCTGCCCGAGAAAAGTTGTGCTTTTACGGGTGTATCACATGACAATTTCTGTTAACCCCTCATCGGAAACACAGACTTACAATATTACTAGCGGTGGTTGATTATAACCGTTGATACAATGGATTTTATAAATGTGGTTACAACACTCTGTATAACTGTATCTGTACATACCTGCGCTATTTGTAAACCAAAGTTTTAACTGAGTGTACCACTGTAAAGGCACAAGCAAATAAGTAATACTGTACCCGAAATAACTAATTAAACTTCTACCAGAAAGATCTTCTAGCTGCTCTACCCGAATTATTCTTTTCCCTAAATGTTGCGGCATTCACCGCGGTGCCGGCGCCTCAACTGGTCATTTCCGGTCCGCTTGCGCGTTGCCACTTAGTAATTATGAAGAACTGAGTGATCTTACGCGATGGGGTATGATGCTTCTTCACGTCAGAGAACAATTAAATTCAAATTGTATGTTTACATTTTTTAGCAATAATAAATTGGTGTATAAATTTTACAGCCAGTGTGTAGCACCTTATTTTTTCATGCGTGCCATTATTATATGTATCACTACTGTTGTTGACTGTATTGTAGAAGAAGAATCTACTGTAGCTAATTTTTCCTTTCAAGAAATGCTGTTACACCGCTTCGTTGTCATACGCATACAGGCGTGCGCTGGACTTCGAAATGGTGTTAACGCATACGTCTCCATCGCATAGCGGTATCCGCCGTGGGTGTAAGCATTTTTCTGAAGTCCATTGTAATAAAACATATACGGCCAGCAGAAATTCATACCACTGGTAATATTCATGTCAAAAGTAATGCATCTGTAAATACCACATATGCCAATTTTATATACAATTATGCATGCATATGTATGGTGGTAATTATGATTGTACTAATAATACTTTTCCTTTGGCTTGTGCTGATGTCTACTTACCTGTTACAGTACAATGTAAATCTGAAGTTTTACCGTAGTCAGGTTTAAATTTCCTTGCTGTACCGTGACCCTTGTCTGTAACGGGCTTAAACCTACCTGTCTGTTCGAATAAACAGTTTCATAATGCAGCCACTGCGGCATAATGAATGCAATGGGTATGCGGGCGTATAAAATTCCGTGTGCGCTTCGGGAATTATCTGGCGTGGAAGGTACAAGAGCAGCGGAAAAGCGACAAGATCCACAAGAAAAATACGGCTAATAAAGTAATAAGCAGTAACTTATCAGCTGGAAGAAACAAATTGGCACCCTGGTAAAGAAGGAAAGCCAGTTGGTTTGGGCGCGGGCGATGTGTAAAAAAGGGCACTATGGAACCAGTGTCGATACATGCATCGCGTAGATTGGTGTATTGTGTGGTACCTGGTCGTGTAGTGGCCGCCCGAAACATTCAGTGCTAGCTCGGTCGTTCCAGCCGGGGTTCAGGCTTTGCGGCTCGAATACCTTGGGCAGCTGCGGCACCGATAGTCGTTTCTGCACAGACAGATTGACAGGGTCATCAGGCATTTCGAGCCGCGTCTCGTCACCCGCGCAGCCGGTTCCACCGTCCAACACTATCCATTATCGGCACTGCATCCGGCACGATAAGAATGCGCCGTTGCAGCGGAAATCCGTTGTTTGGCGTTTCGAAGCAAAGGTCGCGGTTTAAAGAAGCAGTTCCACTTGAGCCGATGACGCGGGTGTCCGCAGTATTCCATTCTGCACCGCCAAAGCGGAACATTTGGATGAGCCTTGGGCAGCTCTTTGTCCGGAGTCAGAGGTGCAAAATCGTGATGGAAGAAAGCATAGGAATTGGCGAATAGTGGGCATTATTGGTGCACCTTTGTTGCGTCGCCTAAATAAACAAATAGCGTCTAACCAACGGCTTACGATGCGCATTCACATAAGTACTGTACTCGCAGGCTCGCAGCCAACCACCGACACCGCTTAAAATAGTCGAAACAAAACAAATAAATAAGATTTTTAAAAAGCTAAAAATAAAAGTAAAGCCGGCGCTTCCAGTACGTAGTAAATTAAGGTGATCGATCGTTTACCACGCAAAAAGGGAATCCCGACGCTACATTCTAGGGTAGCTTTAGACGCCGACTCATGTCTTAATAATTACGCAGCACGGAAACTGTATGCACTTACCTAATACAGCGGCGAAGACAGTTCTACGTAGCCAGCAGCATCCCGGCCTGAACTGATTGGGGAAGAAAAGCATCCAAGTCCAAAAAGCGAAAAGAAATTCAAAGCGAGCAGCTCATCTGGGATGCTACTGTTTCTGCCACAACCTTTGTTGACCAAGGATACCGAAGAAAAACCAGCTCCGCTGCTACCGCTGTATGCGCTTACACACGAATTCGTGTGTTAGCGCATACAGCAATAGCAGCGATTAAACAGGTTTTATGGACAGCGGTCACATACCGGTACACTGCCTTCGAAGGCAGTGTACAGTGAAATCTGTCTTTTGTATACACCGGTAAATACATACACCTGGAAATTACATACGCGGAAAGTTTTACCGGCGCGTCCCACAGACTGTAATATAGCTCTGTGTAATACACCTGGATAACACATACGGTTTTGCTTTAACCGAAGGTGTATTTAGTAAACAGGTTTCGCTGTATGTGATCGCCGTCCACACAACCTGTTTGACCAGTTTGCCTCATCGCGTTGCAGAACTGAAAGCGACAACCTGCTGGTGTAATGGTATTCAGTAGTTTCCATCATATCCACACATATTCCAGTACGTATTGACCTATAATTTTGTACCTGTACGTACAACTTGATGTCAAGCAGTTCCAGGAGGAGTATGAAGTTGATGTATACGGTGATTTAATCTTCGAAGCTGGCCATCCAGATTCCTGCGCGAAAATTGCTTTCCGCCCAGCCGTTTTATGCTGACCAGCAGACAGCGGCCAGGTCGCTCAGATGATAACCGGTTATACTCGTAACAACCAGCAAGTTGGCCACGGCGATCATAACAGCCTCAGGACACAACAGCTTCCACAAAAGTACTGAATACTATTCTGCAAAATATGTACTATTTTTATCAGTCCCATTCAAAACAATCGGAGAAAGATTTATATTTAATCTTATCACAGAAGTCGGCCCTAAGTACGGCCGGACGTGGTGGTCTCAGTGGAGGAAGGGCAATTCCGTGAGGTATTCGCAAAAATGGCGATGGAGCGGAATCGAACCACTGGCACAGTCACTGTGTCATTGCCGCTGTTGGCGAAGATCAAGATATTTGTGCTTGAACTTGAGCCAACCAGGTAGGCGGCTGTCGTGGGGCCGTGGGCACAGAGTAGTCTACTCTGACAATCTTATATTTGAAAATTTAATGGAAAAATAATTCACGATTAGTCAAGACTCAAGCAAAGCTGATCACTAAAAAGTCCACTCGTGAGCTGCACTTTCCAACCGCCACTGTTTCACTTTTGCGACAATTTACCTTTTTCTCGTATAAAAGGGGTGCAATTCGGTAAAAATTCAGTACAAATTCAGTACAGAACTTGGTCGGAGCAGGCTAGAAGCAAAAAGTACCTGTGCGTCCGTTTCGTATTTCATACTCATCGATTCAAATGTTGTCCAAGCAAATTATTGAGGTTTTGGGTTGTGGAAGATTCGCAACCCGCACGGAAACAAAAATAAAGGACATTAATTCTGTATTTTTACGATATATCCTATTTAGCGGTTGTTCGAAAATTATTCGTTTTTGGTGACCTTTCTGTCGATGGTGTTAGACGCATTTGGTGAAATGAGACGAGTGTGTGCCTCACAAATTTTTATGGGCAGTTTTTCCCAAGAACATTGTCTAATTATCTGGTAGTTGGTATGTCAGATTATGGAAAAATTACCAGTGCAGAAAAATATCCTTTACACAATTTTCTCACCATCCAGCAGTGTACTGTATCCAGTTTGACCAATAGCGTATACCAACTTAGAAAATGTTATTTACCATCAGTTGTACGCGAATGCACGGGTATGCCATTTAAGTTGCTGTAATATTATGGGTTTGTCAAAGTTTGGCTGATTTCTTATCTGTTAATTAATACTGGTTTAATAATGTAATGCGTTTTCTATTTCTGTTTCTTTTGCAGTTTCAAATTTCTGCACTACGAAATACTAGGGTAGTACTTAATGGCGGTCAATCACAGTCGCTGTACACTGTACACCAGACAAGCTGCCAACTAGCGCTTTATTTCAATAAAAGGAAAAGACATACTATGGAAATTTCAAATCCGATGTGTACAATGCTTTGTCAATTACCGGCTTCTATTACGCACACTTCTCTCACAATGTCATGTGAAACAGCTATTCACCGATCGCGAAAGTTGTCCGAGCTATCACTGACGTAAAATCAGGGAATAAAAGGTTTAATCGCTAACTAGAACTGGATTTACAACGCTGACAGAGGAAAGCAAGGAGAAAAAGAAAAACAACAAAATGGACTTAATGAAATGATACACATATGCAAGTGCACGCAGCGTGCGGCAAGTATCATATACGTGTTTTCAGCGAGCGAAATCAAATTCCCTTGGTTCTTTATTCGTGGGCTGCCTTCCACGCCGCGCCCACTTCTTTGGGCAGCACCATCTCCTCAACCTTGGCGAATCTCTCATTTCCGTCGACTTCCACCACGTGCTGACCTCCGCGGTAGTGGCAGTAGGTAGCCCCGACCAGCATTCCCCACAGAAGCGGTCGTAACTGAAGGCCCCGCTGCAGAACATCCGCCGCACGGATCAACCTCTCCACCGCTATGGGACCTTCCCAGCGCGTGTGCAACCACCGACCGACACATTTCCCTCCTCGCTCTCCGATTACTTCTGCCGGGTACCAGTAGCCGTCGCCGTTGTATTCTTCCACAAAAATAGCCTCTTTGTCTTTAAAAACGACGTCTCCAATGCGGTGCTGCACGAAGCGACGCGGTTCAGTCGCAAAGGGCAGCGCCGGCTGCTCCGTGGTGTGCTTGTACAGGTAGATATCCCACAGCTCCGGTGGCAGCAGTAATTCATTCTTAACCGAAAAAGTACAACACTTTTGGATTCGCAATTTCGCATATATTGCGCGAACTGACTCAATATAAACAGGATCTTCCTCAAAACATTTTCTGAAGGTTACGTAGGTTTGTTTTCTGTAACCGCAATGCAAACACAAAAAGGCGGGCGCATGCGTCTACGTCGACGATGCATCGTATATTCGCACTGCTATCATATCGTGCTTCTAATGCGTACATATTTACCTTGACAGGACCGCCGGCCAGTTCGGCATCGGTCAGCAGCGGAAAACGAACCAAAAACAATGCATCGCCTAGCATCTGACGCCGGTTGGCGGTGGATAGATCCATATTGTGACGTTTGCATTCCCCGGCAGCCCATCTGCAGCAAGTCAACTTTCGCTGCACACTGTGCGCGGTAACCCTCACCATACGCAGAATGTCAAAAACGCTATCTGCAACAACGTTCCTCATCAGCCGGTTTAATCCGCGCTTGGTCTTACTTCTCGACGGCTTTGTAGATGACGATCTCGGGTGCCGCCAGTGTCGGGCGCTGGAGGATCATTTGCAGGCTGTCTAGGCTCAGCGCAGTGAAGGGCTCCGATTGAAAAACGGCTCCATCCGAAGCGTCCACCAGATCCAGACATTTCTCCACAATGCTGTCGAAATCCGGGCTCCAGCGGTTGGCCTACAGAAAATAAATTACCGAACCAAAAGTGCCATCGTCAATATGATCAGCTCACGTTTTCCAGCGTGATCAGACAGTTGTCGGTATTGAGATGGTGCAGAATGTATTCACAGCAACGGTCCATCAGCACTGGTAAATCGTACTTATCGGCACAGCGCAAAGTGGGAAACACGTTCTGCGCATTGAAATCCTCCACGGAATCGGTGTACACATAGCTGTCAAAACGCAGTACTTATTGAATGATTCGAGATGAATACGGGCTACAGGCCCACCTGAGCATGATAGCAAAGGCTTCCGGAAGAATATCAGGAATGTCGATTGGCTCTTGAGTACTGGCGGGCATACTCCCGTAGAACATAGTATGGAACACATCGCTGCTCAGGCTCAAGATGTTCCTACAAGGTTTTCAACACACTCAACTCAAGAATGCAGCCTGGGAAAGTGGCGATGTTCGTGCAGCAGTGTAACGTACTTGTGTGCCTGGAAGATCTTTATTTCCCCGTCATCGCATTCCCGTCCCACGGCAAACTGCACATCGCTCAACTCGGCAAGGGACAAAGCACGCTTCATGCGGTTGGCCAATCCAACCACTGCGCCACGACGTTGTAAATGCGCACGAGATGTTGAGCTGTGGGACATGATGGATCGGGAAGTGAGGTGCTCCGCGTTACAAAAAGCGTTAGAACTTTCCAATGAGTCGCCAGACAGCATTACGGTTTATGACTGCCAAGTGCTTAGACACCACAATTTATTGTAAGCCAGCTTAGAAATATAACATTATGAATAGATTGCAAGATTGGCAGAATACGAAAATTTCGTAGATCGTTTTTTAAAACTAAATGTAAAACGGTAACACCTGAAACTGCTCCAAAGCTTGAAATTTCGAGAAAGATTCTATAATACGAGTATTATGCAACTAGAAACAGGCGGCACCGTCATCTGCGGGCGGTTTTCATGCGCTTGGTTTTACATCATTATATTGCGGTGCCAGCCAATGTGTTTTCTTCGCTTCAGTACCGTTGATAAACGCCAGTAGGCTGTTACTTACGTACATGATAAGATCGAAATCCAGTGACCTATGAGGCTTGACCTATTGATGGACGATCTCTTAATCGCAGTTCGCAAGCGCTGTTCTGTTTTCTGGACGGCTTGATCGAAAGTTTCCACAAGCCCGTCCACAACGTGACCGACCGTTGCGAACGGGAAATTAAAAAGCACGGATCAAGCCATTAAAAGTACTACGGCAAGCCACACCATCATGGTTATTTTACCGACAACCGCGGGAAGGATATCCTAGTCAGTTTCCGTGATCGTGTGCACAACATAGCCCATCATGTTGCTAGACTACGACTCACTACGGGACTGGAGTTATTGGTTTCTACTTTCCGGTTACGGTATCTGGGGATTCTGGAGTAGATACCAATCATCAAAGGTATCCATTGCAGATTTGTACTTGGTCAATTTTTATCATTGGTGGTCTGATGTCAACTTAACACATACGCAGCGGCGGTGTAATATAATGTATTTCTTTTAAACCTGCTCGCTACGGAGCTAACCGAACACCGAATAATATACGAGTTAATGTAATAACAATAACAACACAAGTTAATAATAACAATGAATACCAACCCTGTTGCTACGGCGCATTAGCCATCGTCGGCCCATCGGACATGCACGAGACACGAGTAATTTTTGCACGCCGTTGTTCAGGATCAATTTTTTTAACCTCTGATACCATTCGGAATCATGATAGCCGTTAGCGGTCTGAAACAAATGCACAGCCTAAAATACGATTTGATAGTTTCATCGCTCACCATCAGTTTCTATCAAAAACACGCACAACAACCCACAAACTTCCCTCACCCGTGCATCAGTTGTTGGCCGCCAACCACGCATGGACCACCTCTCCAGGCAACATCAGATCCTCCGACTTCACGAGCCTCTCCCGGCCATGGGCTTCCACCACATGCTGCCCCCCGCGCCGGCGAATGTAGGTCACCCCGTCCACCATTCCTCGCACGAGTAGACGCACCTGTTGGCCGCGCTGCAAAATATCCGCCGCACGGATGAGCTTATCCGACGCTCGGGTACCTTCCCACCGCATCGACTTTCTCAGTCCCCGTACGACAACTCCCCATCCTCCCCATCCGATCACCTCTGCTGGATAGCTGTCGCCCCGGCGACCTTTCACAAATACCATCTCGCGATGCTTGAGCGCCAACCTCCCGACGCGGTACTTCGCATAGCGGCGTGGTTCAGTGTTGAAGGGAAGTGCCGGCTTTTCGGTGGTGTGCTTGTATAGGTAGATGTCCCACAATTCCGTTGGCAGCAGCAATGCATTCTGAAGCAGATCAATATAAAAAACCCTTCGAAGGTTCTGGCATTTTTATAGACGATAATTCACAAGAAACAAAGTTGGCACCGCAGATGCAGCATAAAGTTTATACCGTAAATTGACTCCACGATATAAAACCGTTTTATAGGCTAAGCTGCTTAAAGCGTATCCGTAATGCCAAGGTGGGTTGTACCTTAACAGGGCCACCGGCTAACTCGGTATCCGTCAGCAGCGGAAAACGAACCAGAAACAATGCCGTGCCTAGCATCTCACGCCGGTTGGCGGTGGATGGATTTACTTTCCGGAGTGTGCAGGCCGCGGCAGCCCATCTATACAACCGCGAAGCAGACGTTTAAGCACAGCTGAAAATTCGTTTCTCCCGGCACACCGGCCTGTTCAATCAATCAATCGCCATCTCTACAAGAGACTTGTCACGATTTTGTCACTCACTTCTCGACGGCTGTGTAGATGACATTCTCCGGTGCCTCCAGTGTCGGGCGCTGGAGAATCATATGCAGACTCTCATGGCTCAGTGCTGCGAAATGCTCAGATTGGAAGACGGCTCCGTCCGAGGCATCAATCAGATCGAGGCACTTCTCCACAATACTGTCGAAACCCGGGCTCCAGCGGTTAGCCTGCAGGGAAAAAATATCAGCTACCCGCACAATGAAAGACAAGTTGCGTGACAAATATGATACGACTTACATTGTCCAGCGTTATCAGACAATTGCTTGCATTGAGATGTTCGAGAATGAACCCGCAGCAGTGTTCCACCAGCAGGGGTAAATCATACTTTTCAGCGCAGTACAAAGTGGAAACACGTTCTGCGCATCCAGGTCATCCACGGAATCCGAGTAAACATAGCTATCCAAACGCAGTACTTGATAAATTTTGCTGGAAATTACAGCCTAAAAATACTGGTCGCCCACCGGAGCATGTTAGCAAAAGCCTGGGAAGGGATATCAGGAATGTCGATTGGGTCTTGGGTGCTGTCGGCCAAACTCCCGTAGAACATGGCGTGGAAGACATCGCTGCTTAGACTCAGGATGTTCCTAAAACCGTTTCCTGATACTGAATTCAACTTATGCGTGTATTGGGCTATCTAAGACAGCGGCAGTTGCTGGTGGCGTCGCTACTTACTTGTGTGCATGGAAAATCTTCACGTCGCCATGTCAGTGCCATGATCGCGTCCCACGGCGAACTGCGCATCACTCAACTCGGCTAGGGACAAAGCGCGCTTCATGCGGTTGGCCAACCCAACCACTGCGCCGCGACGCTGCAAGGGTGCGAGCGATGCCGAGTTCTGGGACATGGTGGATTATCCAGAGAGATGCTCCGCAAACTGAATTTTGATCTGTAACTCAGTTATCTCTAGAAACGATAGACAACGTTGGTCTGCGCATGCACGCACGTTGGCTTTAAGAACTTGAGACGTACGACATCCCTCTCACGATGACAGCCTATCAAAGTTTCAAAAGGGAAGCCTAGAAATCAAAATAGGATTACGAAGGATAGATCGATATACACAAAGGAAGATTTTTTCAAAGTTTCGCAACCGGTTAACTTGCCACAAGACTGAACTGCAAACGCAAAATCACTGAGATTTACAAGCTTTTCAGTTCAACTTCAACATACACCCTGCAACCGGAAACATTTAGCACCGTCACCTGCGGGGGTTTGTGTATTGTACAACTGCATACTATTGCCCACCGTCCGGTTGACGAGGAACGGCTCCCCACCCACAGGCAGCGGTGCCATCGTGCTGCACGGTTCAGCCGGGGCCCTGCATCACGTTAATCCTTGAGAATCAGCTGTTTGCAGTTTACCTTCGATATTTTTGTATTTTCTGCCTGATTCTGTAGCAAACATCGGACGTTTGGCTGCCCATTTTGCGTTCGGTTAATTTTTATCTTGGTAAGGTGATTCTGGTGCAACATGCCCCGAGTATCAGGCACTGTAAGGCTGCGCGAGCGCAGTGCAATGGATCCACTTGTAGTTGTGCCCAAAGAACTGGCAATCAGCGAGGTGTCCTTAGTTGTCGGACGTGATCACGGCCAAGAGATAATCTTCTCTACATCCAAGTACGCCCTGTTGTACATACTTTATCCTCTTTACACGATGATCCCGCTGCAGCTGGAGAAGAGCTGGATTATTTTGCAGGGCTTCGTTGGCGAATGCGAGCCCCGTGTTTCATGCTTGGTTTTATGGAGATGCCAGCGAACCTTCTGCCAGTATTATCCAGCTTCCCGATGTTGTGCCCGATGCATTTGCCAATATGCTTAGGTACCTGAACATTTACCTGTATGGGCTTTTCTGTCAGCGTGCGGCGTGCGCCATAGTGCTGGTACTGCATATCAGTCCTAGATTATTTTTTAAATATTGAAATGCACCAGTACAAATTGTACAATTAAGTTATATTATTGGTTCTTTGTGGTCTCCTCGTATTACGGCCTCGATGCTGTGAAAATTGCTGGTATTTTCACTTTTCAGCCATGTTTATCAGGATTCCCTGGCCAGTCTGAACCCGCATAACGTCTTCGCCACCCTGAACGTGGCCGAGAAATTCAGTCTCCCACTGCTTGTGGAGCATTGCCGCAAGTTTATCTTTCGCAGTCTGCGTGCCAGCAGTTGCCTGCTGTTTCTCGATAATGTGAGTCGCATCATTTCGGAAATTCTGCATAGTCGTCTCCGCCTAGTGGTTTTTTACAGCTTAACTGTCTGGTCTGTTTTACAGGCCGTTCAATGGGGCGGTAAAGAGTTTATCAAACCGTGTCTGGAGATCGTGGACGCGTACACTGAGGTACTGTACCTCCCGGACTTCGCCACACTACACCCGAAAACGCTGGTGCTGCTGCTCGGACGCAAGACCTTAGCCGCCGAGGAAATCAACATTTACAAGGCCGCTGAGACGTTAGTATTATTGTTGTGCGGTTTTTTTGGGCCTATTTAATTGTACTCATCTCTGTAGCGAAACAAGATGCTTAAAAATAGTTAAAATACCTCAAATAATATATAAAAGTGAGACCGGATGTATTGCTATGTTGGAAGGCTCGTTCAGGCGCAGTATTTCGTACCAGGCTTTCAAATCTGATAATTTACTTTAGAAATCACAGTATTAGTATGGCAATGTTTAAATTAAGTACTAGTTTTGATTATCAGTAAGGATCAGCTGGCTGTATCTTCTGTTTTATTTTTGCTATATTTTCTGTTTTTTAGTTGGGCGACTGCTGCCTGCGCTCGCAGCAATATGGATCCATCGCCCACCAACCGGCGACTGTTGCTGGGCAGAGCCTTCGTTCTCATTCGATTTCCGCTGCTCACCGACGACCAGCTCCAAGAAGTCTCGAGGGAGGTCAGCCACTCGGTCAATCATAACACTACTATTATTTCTCACTCATTTTCCTGTGCGGCATTAACGCCTTCTTGATTGTATAGTTTCAGTTGTTGAACCCGGACGAGCTGCACAAAATTTCTCTCTACAAGACTGCGGGAATCAAGCCGCTCCCATTCCTCACGGCGCCCCGTCGACCTCCCGCCATCCGCGTCGGCGACGTGAAGTTCAAACACAAGGAACAAGTCTTCGTTAACGATGAACGCGTTGACTGCTGGGTCCCGGCGGAAGTCATCGCGGGGCGTCCAACGCACGTGGTAGTGTCGCTTTGTCATGAATGTCTGGGCGGCGAGGTGGTGTTGGTTCGGCGAGGTGATCTTATTCGCGCCGCGGAGTTTTTAATACCCCGTCGAGCGGTACTAGTCCAAGGGGAAGCGGCGAAATATATCCGGTGGGAGAACGGTGTCCACAGCGTCCGCTTCCTCCAAGGAGGAGGGTGGTCGGGGCCGTTCATGGAGCTACGAGTGCGGGATGTGGATGTGAAGGCGTGGAAGCGGGGCGTGCCCAGAGCGCCGGTGGGCAGTCTGCAGATGCCCGGCAGTTGAAGAGGAAACGTGAACGGCGTGGAAGGGATGATAGGAAGGCGTGATACAGAAGGGGTGGGTTGGATTCGTTCCGCTGAGGAAAAGTGGTGGCACTTTGATACAGATCCCTGCTCTTTAATTAGTATTTTTATTGGATAGTTAGTCGGTTCTCCTGTCTTTTGCCGGTTTTGTTGTGAGTTAGATGATGCGCAGTCCAAAGTCCAAACTGTGGTAAAGTTACTGCCGTAAAGTAGCGCCAAAGATGTTTGGCAGCAAAGGAAGCTTTTATAAAAGGTATCAACAGTGTAAGTGGTTCGTTGTTGCCTTACATGTCGATGTGCTCAAATAGAGCGATTGGAAATACGGCGGAAAATCTAAAACTCTACAGTGAGCCAGGTTCCTGTACCTGTCGTCAAGCGTAAAATGCGTGTAAACCGAAAGGTGCGATGGTGAGATTTTTAATAATAGGTATCATCTGTAGAATCTGTGGGAGTGCTGACTGCACTAATACATAGTACGAGGTATATCATGATGCATGGTATCATGAGTTTACAACCTTATTTTCGATCAATAAAATTCAAGCGCGAATAAATGTCCTTGCTTAGGGATATCGGATTTTTTCCCGTACGGATGATAAAGGTCATTTCTATAAGAACTGTCAAACTGCAGATACCTTCGCATACATGCAGTAACGTTATTTATGTGCTCATCATCACCATCTGCCTTGCCCACCGCGATCCAGTAGAAGAAATTTTGATGCAAGTCGTTTCTTTTAAACAAAAAACTGATATAACTAATAGTATTTTATAACTAACAATATATATCTTACGTAGTACTACGCGAATGCACTTTTTGTTATGTTGATGGCCTTTTGCCCAATAAAGAGAAAAAATAACTAATAGTAGTAAGTCCTAACTGGTACTAACTACTACTATTTTGTTACAATATCTGAATTATTTACACGCCCTGAAGGTATCCCAGTCGATAGCGCATGCACGCCCTACGAGGCCTAAAATAAACTTTTATTTAGTGCGCGTTTTTGGAGAATCTCAGTCATAATCAAAATAGCTAATACTCTGTGTAAGCGTTTCATAAGGTAAAACAATTGTCGTTAGTTCACAGACTGTTCACAAAATTAATTTACTGGGGCATACGGCCGCATAACTACAGTATAAGCACAATTCAAAAATACGTTCGTTTTCACATTTTGCGTAGAATCACACAGCTAACTAAAAACTCCAACCATTTCAGTGAAAAAGCATGGTTAGATTGCTTCCGTATATCCGGCATTTCAACAAACAAATGTTTTGTATTGTCAACCTTATTGTATTGTTCAACTGTATTGTATTTGAAATGTATTGTTCAACTTTATTTGACTGTTGTTATAGTAAACGAGGTTAAATAGAAGGAAATGACAATAAACGCAGTCGCTTGATCTGGTTTGGAATGGAGCTTTGCATACGGGGTATGGCTGTACTTGTAAGTTGTAAAGCAGTCCCATAGTATGTCTCGCGTTATTCTCTCACTTTAAGGGATTTGGCCCAGTACATAGCACCAAATTCGTGTACATACACGGGAACTTTCGCTGTCGCGCACTCCCAAACACTTTTTTGCATTGCTTTATGGTAGTTTGTAGCCAAAAGATTTGTATACATAGGCGTGAAATCCGTTTGTGCGCGCAGCATCCGGTTCGGGAGTTATGGCTGTTAGAATATTCCAAAAAGTTTAAATGCATTCAGGTGTACCAAAAGTCTCATTATGGACCGATCCCTTTCAAATTTTGCACATAAATGCGCATTACCATGAAGATTGTTTTGGTACGGATCCAGACTTTCATGATTTTTTTCGAATTTTAAAATGAATTATAACGCGGGGCCGTATGGGCGCCACGCGTATCCTCGACAGCGTTATTCTCTCACTTTAAGGGATTTGGCCCAGTACATAGCACCAAATTCGTGTACATACACGGGAACTTTCGCTGTCGCGCACTCCCAAACACTTTTTTGCATTGCTTTATGGTAGTTTGTAGCCAAAAGATTTGTATACATAGGCGTGAAATCCGTTTGTGCGCGCAACATCCGGTTCGGGAGTTATGGCTGTTAGAATATTCCAAAAAGTTTAAATGCATTCAGGTGTACCAAAAGTCTCATTATGGACCGATCCCTTTCAAATTTTGCACATAAATGCGCATTACCATGAAGATTGTTTTGGTACGGATCCAGACTTTCATGATTTTTTTCGAATTTTAAAATGAATTATAACGCGGGGCCGTATGGGCGCCACGCGTATCCTCGACAGCGAACAGCGGTGAACCCGGATGAGGCTTTATTGCCGAATCTAATGCGCACCGTGGCGCAGCAACACCAGACTAAAGAGGAAGGATCCTGCAGCCAGTGCAACTGTGCTGCAGATCCGTCAAAACAGCGCAGCAATGTGCGGGGTGGAAATCCCCAGAAACAGCGAATAGCTACTCAGGAGGGCGGAGCGCCCCGCCCTTACACCCCTTTTGCAGGCATCGCTACGTCCTCGGAGCGAAATCTCCCAGGATTCGGAGGATCCGCACCCCACGCCGGTTCGGTCGGCTCGAGTCAGCTCACATCCGGTTCGGTTCAGGTTGTGTTCCGGGTGAGGTCGGCTCCGGTTTGGTCCGAGTCAACCGTCTGGGTCAACGCATTGTCGCGCCAAATCCAGGGTCCAACCCGGAAACGGGTAAATTCCGTTGTTTCTTCAGCAGGGCAAAGGTCACGTTCTGGGGAAATTTGGGCAGGGGTTTGGGGTCTATGTGGCCCGTGACCCCTGCAAAAAAACAAAGCACGCAAATCCGCGGTGAAATCCACTGCTCCGTCCGGGGGGAGGTCGCCGTCCCAGGAAGTTCGGGCAGTGTTTTGGTGGGGGAATTTTTCGGCGTGGTGCTGGTGGTCGATCCGTGCCGTTGGGATCGGAGTTGGTGCTGCTGTTGGCGGTGTATCCGTTCTGGTTTCCCGCTGGTCCGGGTCGCGTTCGCCGTCGGCATCGCAGGAGGCAATTCTCGCTCCGCGGCATCTCCGTCCAGTTTGGGAGGCATCCGTCGCGGGGAGGCGTCCATCTCCGTCAGTTGGGAGAGGAATCCATCACGTTCCGCGGGAATGGGGGGCATTTGTAGCTCCACACATGGGGGTTAAATTGCTAGAAGTATTCTGGAAAAAAGCATGGTAAACTTGCGCTATCGCGCATTCTGATTTTCGATGTAAATTGGCGCAATACGTACCTTGAGAGGTCCACTGGCCATCTCAGCATCCGTTAACAGCGGACAGCGTACTCGAAACAAGACGCTGCCCAGCACTTCACGCCGGTTGGGGGCGGACGGATCCATGTTCTGGCGTCTGCAGGTCTCGGCAGCCCATCTATAACAAACGAAAACGTGACGGAGAACTGAACGCTTCTCCCAAGCGTAATAACTAGCAACGCTTCGGTATTACAGTGCAAAGCGACCCTTACGCCTTGACAGTTGTGTGTCGCGTTGGACAACCATCTGGACAGTCCAGTAGCTGAGGGTTACGAAGTGCTCCGATTGGAAAACGGCTCCGGTTGATGCGTCGATCAGCTCCAGACATTTCTCCACAATATTGTCGAAATCCGAACAGCCTGCAGAAAACAGCACACATCAAGCGAATCCGATGGAAAACTGTATCACATTGTAACTAACATTCTCCAGCGCCACGAGGCAGTTGTCTGAGTTGAGATGCTCCAAAATGTAACAGCTGCAGAGCTCGACTAGCAATGGAAAGTCGTATTTATCCGCGCAGGACAGAGTGGGAAATGCGTTCTCAAGATTCAGATCGTCCACTGCATCAGAATATACATAACTACAAAAAACAACACGCCTCTACACTCAAAATAACGGTTGCATGAAAAATGTAGAGAATTCACCCACCATGTAGAGAGCATGTTACCAAAGGCCTCGGACGGAATATCCTGGATTTCGATGACATCCTGATTTTTATCAGCCAAACTTTCGAAGAACGTGGCGTGGAACACATCAGTGCTCAGGCTTAAAAGCATTCTAGAAAATATTCAAAAACCCCACCAGTGAACACGACGCACAAATCACCTCCAAAGGAACTCCGGTGGCAAATTTGCCATGATCGTGGCTTCGACTCATACTTATGTGCGCGGAAGATTTTCACTTCACAATAATTCCGTCCCACGGGAAACTCAACATCACTTAACTCGGACCTGGAAAAAGCGCGCTTCATGCGTGCGGCCACTCCATCCAGTGCTCCGCGACGTTTAAGGTAGGCAGGAGAAAAAGAGTTCTCGGACATGATGAATTGTCCAGTGAGCCTGGTGCGGGAAGCTAAAGCAGCTAACTGTTTGGCAATCAGCAGTTAAGAATAGTATAGTATACGACTTAGGGCAGCTCAGACACCGCAAACATTCAAGCTAATTCAAGCCAGTAAAAAAATCAAAAAATCAAGAAGTCAAAAAACAGAAACAAAGTCGAGAGAAAACGAAATGTCGATAAAATCGATAAAAATCATAAAATCATAAACAAAACAAATTTAACAAAAGCTAATTTAAGCTATAAAACGGTAGATCTAAGATCTCGATGCTAGGCTGCTTGCTAAACAGCCCAGATACTGCACTAAGCACTTACTACTTACTGCTGTCACCGGAACTTGTAACCGGAAATGGATCGCGTCGCCGCCCGTGGGGTGAACATGCGCTGAACCTCCATACAAGGCACAGAATAGTCCAGACTCCAAACATGTGATGAATTATAGGCGATTAAATTTCCACGTGTTACGAGAATATTTTATGTATAATATTAATAATAAGGCAACTACTCTGCATATTACATAGTTTGACAAAGTGCAAGTCCGTTTTCAAACCTGTAGACCGCTGTAAGTGCGACGCAGTGAATAAGCGCACAGTTAAAGGCTAGATTTTAAATTATCGTTACCGTTATCGTTACCGGAAAACCTACCGTATGTGCCCCGAACAGAGACTTTTTAGTCTCTGTTATCTCTTTTTAGTCTCCGGTAACGATAACGGTATGACTCATCCCAAATTTACCGTTATTCTGACTGTACCGTATCGTTCTGCTCGCTAGGATAACGATAGATAGCGTTGGTATCGTTGGGCATCTCCGGTAGAATCTTGGAAGCCATGGAATTAGTGGATTACCGTTTTCTCAAAAGAAACAACTACTTTGAACATCGCTCTATTTACTAAAATATTTCAACAAACAAGAAAGAAAAATAATATTTAAAAACAATTTATTTTGTGAGGGACTAAACGCACCGGAAGTCGTCATTTCACTGAAACTGCCTCCCCACAAGCGGCTGGTCAAATTCACTTCACATTTTTAATTTAGTGAGACCGGTCCGAGCCCGAGCCGCACTCTGTATCGAGCGTTATCGTTGTGCTTAGCGAACACACAAACTTCTAACGGTGGCGAAAACCATGACGGTAGCCTACCGTTATGGTTACCGGAAAACCTACCGTGTGCCCCGAACAGAGACTAAAAATTTATCTACTCTTCACTGGATGCACTGCCGTAGAGCACTCAGTCTATCTCATTTGTCTCTCTCACACACGCCTCACACCCCAGTGGCGTTAATGACCAATACGCCGTGACGTGCCGAAGCACCTTGAATGGCTCAATCCCACGTTTTTCAAATATCCCGCTTACAGCGGTCTACAGGTTTGAAAACGGGCTTGTATCATAATTTATTTCTGATCTGCGCCGGGATGGCAACCGCCATAGACGTTGTTTCGCACGTCACCAATTACAGGAATTACACAGTGCGCCAAAATGGGAACTACGCATACGCTACGTATCACGTACAGATTGGCGCATGGTAGGCGCACTGTAATACCGGGGCCACTAACTGACCGCAGATTTTACCGAGCACACTACTCTTTTTTATCATGCATGTGTCTTTCGCTTTGTAGACCTTGGTTTTCTGTTAATTTTCATGAAAATTAATATTGCAGACAGACAGCACGGTTTGCAAACGCGCCCTAATTAAAAAATTACGGTAGGAGCACGCGTTGCTATGGAGCAGCCACGACTTCCCGGCTACTCGAAGGCTACTGCTTCCAACCGCCCTCGGGCGGCGTGGCGGCGCGGATCAGAAATTCTGATTCAGGCCCATTTGCTTTGAATACCACAATTACCCTTCGGCCACTTCCGGTGGCGTCAAGCAAAACTGATAAGTTTCGCTTTCGTTCTATATATCGCATTTCTTTTGCTCTGGTTATACTGACTGTTATACTCGTTTCTGACAATTCGAGCTTTTGGTAATCACTGGGCCTACGAGCGATATGTGATCCATGTTCTTATAAAAATGTTGAGGAAAGTTTGCCCCTTGGTAGCACAATCACGAACATTGCTGAATGCTTTGAGAGCAGACCGAACAAAATACTTTCGTCAGTCTCCTGGAATATCTACTACTGCTACAGGCAATGGAGACTCAGACAAGGACCCCGATCCCGAAGAGCAAGCCAGAAAATGGCAGTATTCGTATGAACTCATGCTAAAGGCAATACATTCTTAGAGACAGTTCGCCTTCCAGGGGGAGAACAATCTTTCCCCCTTAGGGGTGCCCATCATTGTCATTGACTTTTCACTGTTTCAGTATGATTCATAAACAGTAATCAGAACGTGACAAGTATATTTTGACAAGTATATGTAACGTGATAATTGCGTGATAATGTAACGTACTTATTCAAATATCTGCGATTATGTCGCGTCCTTCGACAAAGTCTCTATCAAAGTCTCCAGCGATGTCGGGATCGTTGGTTGACTTGCTTGCCAAACTGGACGAACACTTCGGATCATCCACCTACAAACCCACCTCAACCAACGCAGACATCTTTGCCGTGCTGATTCCTGTTGTCCAGAAGGTTGCGAAGGATTCACTGATATTATCTCAACGAGTAAGTGCCCTGGAAGCGGAGAATGTCAAACTAAAAGAAGAGCTCCAAACCGAACGTGAAATACGGGCAGGCGGTGATGCAGAACTGCTCCAGTCCGACGAAGCCCTGAAAGGCCACATTCAGCAGATTGATACTGACCAGAAGCAAGACGTTGGCACCCTTAATGAGAATATCGAGAGCCTAAAGGAATCACACTCTCAGCTGACGAAAACTGTGAAAGATCTACAAGCATGGAATGAAGCCGGCAGTGAAAAACCTGACATAATTGAAATCCAAGATGGCGGCGCACCCGGACATATCAGAATGTACACGCAATCGGCTCATATCAAACGCAATAATGCCTGTCCACCCCATAGCCGACGTGAATTTTGGAGCGCCAACAGGGAAAATGTGCAAGCAGATCATGTTCTAATTATTCGACCAACAGATGTGGAAGAAGCCGGTAACACTAACACACCCGCGAAGCCAGACCCACACACTATACGAACATTCAAAGCTTCTCTTCAGGATCATATCCCACCCGAAAACCGGACATTCGCACTGAAAAATGTGAAAGCGGGCCACGGGAAATCAGTGATCATGACGTTTCCAACTCGAGCGGACTACGAAAAAGGTAAGGCGGAAATCACTAGGCGCAGCGACAGTCTGAAATGCTCTGTGTCTGAACCGAAGAAGAAAATGCCTCGGTTAATTATTCGTAAAGTTAGCAAGGTCGTCTCTGAAGTTGAATTTATGGAAAAGCTTATCAGTCAAAATTCGCTGGAGAAGTTTCGGGAAAATATCAAAGTGATTGTGAAGCTCGAGAGCGGAAATGAAAACATAAAAACGTGTGCTTTTGTAATTGAAGTCAGCGCTAACACTGCAGAGTCTTTATTGAGAAGGGGAAAGGTTACAGTCGATTTTGAAATATGTCCAGTTGAAGAACATTTTCACATAATTCAATGCGGGAATTGCTGTCGGTACGGCCATCGAAAAGAAACATGCACTTCTGCAACACACTGCGGGTTTTGTAATGAATCACATCTTTTTGAAAACTGTAATTGCAACTGGGACGATGCTCCTAAATGTATTAATTGCATCAGTTCGGGAAGAAAGCCAGAGGAAAACCAACATCATGCGTTTGACCATAAGCGATGTCCTGTTTATCACGATACTAAAATAAAGGTCAGTAAAATTCTAAAAAACCGAATTTTTTCAAAAAACTAGCACCGACAACGAATGACCCGGATTCATATTATTTGTGTAAAAACGCAGAAAGTTCTTTTTGTAAAACGTTCGCGGGTTACAGTCGTGAAAGAAAAATGCAAGCACAAAACGAGACCGAAATTGTCCGTAGGTCAGGCTACCGGACCTCGCAAATGATTGAGCACACCGATATCCGGGTTGATAGCCCGGCACTGGAAGACCACACAGAATGTAATGTATTGAAAGTATACGTAATCGAAAAAGATACGGTGGGAAGAGCCAACAGGATAGACAGCGAGCTGAATAACGCGTGTGCTAGTTTTATGGATAATGGTGGACAGTGCACCGTTACTCCACAAGCTGAACCATATGAGCGTCAATCGGGAGTATTTTGTACTAATGATACTAAAGCTGAACACAGATGGCGTCAATCGGAATTTCAACTTAACGATCGGCTGAGCTTAACGGAGCAGTGCGATATTAACGAAAAATTTGTCGGGCTACCAAATGTGTCAACGGAACGTAATCTTAGTACGGAACGATCTGTCGGGCTACTCAAGTGGTCAACGGAAGAGAGCGGTAACAGCAGGGATACGTGTATAATTGAAAATTTGCACACGCAGTTATCGATAGTCTATCTGAACGTCAACGGCTTAAAAAGAGCATTTAATTTGTTCGATAAAGATTTCACTGAATTCATCATGAAACGTGATATTGTTGTACTAGTTGAAACACACCTGAAAAACGAATACGAAACAAAACAAGTGGCTGGCTATCAAACGGTGTCAAAGGTGCGAGCGACATTTGCAGGAGGCGGCATTACAGTATACTTGAAAAATGAGTTTAAGTGCAGTATTGTATACGACCAAGAAACAAGTTATGATGTTTTAGCCGTAAAAATAAAAGTTTCTGAAAAAGAACACGTTGTCATGGTATGTGCCTACCTCGCCCCGTATAACTCGGTAGTGAACGTTGATGATAAAGAAACTTTCGAAAAACTTACAGAAATAATTCAGCGGGCAAAGTCCGAAGGCTACGTTCTGTTATGCGGTGATTTTAATGCACGCATAGCCGATTTAAAACCAAAATCGTGGCAAGAAGATTGTCTCCTAGAAAATGAGTCGGGGAGTATTGAATATGTTTGTCTGCAGAATGTGGATAATCAGCATAATCGTCCGACAGCACGAGGGAGAAGGCTTATTGAATTTTGTAATGTGAACGGTATGACACCGCTAAATGGCCTGCAGTCATTTGGAAAATCGTTCCCATCTAAATTTACATGTGCACATTACAATGGTCAGTCAGTCGTAGATTATGTGATTATTTTTCAGCAGGCAGTTGAAAAGGTTTTAAAGTTTGATATTTTGGAAAATTCTGATTTCTCAGATCATTTGCCGCTTAAAATAGTGCTAAACGTGGACATCGCAAGGTCATCCAAAAGTAGCAATAAAAAGCGTACTGACAACATTTCTCTGATATCGCCGAACCTCGACAGCATGCTGTGTTTGCTACTCAACGGGAACGAAATCCGGTATATGGACAATACAGGTACAACCGTGTTTGACAGCGTGGTGGAATATGTAAGACAAAATATTCGAAAACAGCGGATACCTTTTGACCCTTTTACACCACAACTTCAGATACTGCAGAACGAAATTTCCGAACTAAAAAAGATCAAAATACAATGCTGGAAAAACATGAATGCAAAAAACAATGAAGAAACGCGGGAGGTCTTCTGGTCGGCAAAAAAAAAGTTTCAGAAAAAAGTGAAGCAGTATAATACCATCTACAAACAAGAGTACTGGAATCGAGTAAAACGATTGCAACTCGAAAACCCAAAAATGTTTTGGAACATATTAGGCTTCCGGGGAAACGAAATCAAGTGTGACTCTGCTGTTCCTCTCAGCTTGAATGACTTGTACGAACATTTTAGACAACAGGCAGCCTATGTTCCAGCGGTAACCACAACCCAAAACCAAAACCTTTGCCCCTCGATACCAGTACTCGATTCCAAAATCACTGTGTCAGAAATTTTGAGAGTTGTTCGAAAAGCAAGTGCTGGAAGCAGCAGCGGTTCGTTTCCGCTATGCACTGAAACGTTCAAACAAATGTGTGCATATGACCCGTTTTTGCAAATTTTGGCAGATACATTCAATTTTGTGTTTGACACGGGATTTATCCCACAAGATTGGCTAAATGGCACGTTGACGCCGGTACCAAAACCGGGAAGAACGTACAGTCCTGAAAATTGCCGACCAGTGGTAGTAGAACCGTTACCAATGCGTCTGTTATCGTCAGTTTTAGCAAAAAGGATTGAGCTGTGGGCAAATATTGAAGACGATCAGGGTGGGTTTCGCGAAGGCAGGAGCACAATGGATCAGGTATACGTATTACATATAATCTGTGAGAAATATGCCTTCCAGAAAAAGCCGGTTTTCCTTGCTTTTATCGATTTCACGAGTGCATTTGACACAGTGTGCCACCAAAAATTGTGGGAACGTTTAAGGAATTGGGAATTTCCTCAAAAATGCTGCATTTTTTAAAAACCATGTATTGCGCAGCGCAAAACTGTGTGAAATGGAACAACGAGTTTTCAAAATTTTTCCCGTTAGAAAAAGGTGTTAGACAAGGAGATCCGTCGTCAGGAATGCTATTCGATTTATACGTTGACCTTTTATCAAAATATGTGAGAGAGGGTCGTACAACAGCAATTACACTTGGTGAGCTGCCAGTGTACCTCCTGAAATTTGCCGACGATATTGTACTGATAAGCGGAAACGAAGATGAGTTGTTGATTTCGATAGATCGATTAAGTCAGTTTTCGCGGGAACATGAGTTGATAATCAACTACGCCAAGTCATTCTGTATGGTAGTGAGAGGTGGTATGCGAAGTCCTATTTCCTGCCACATTGAAATCGACGGGCGAAAACTAGAACAGGTTCCAGAATTTCGGTACCTGGGTTTTGTGTTAAACGAACAGTGTGATCTTAAAAAGTCAGCTAGACATTTAACTGAGCGGGTAAAAATGAGATATAACATGGCAGTACAGAAATTGTCGGGGTTAAAAGCCGGGTTTACGTGGAAGACTGCGCAAACGATTTTTGAAGCAGTTGTAGGAAGCGTAGTAACATACGGGTCGGAGTTATGCGGAAAAAACAGCGAAATTGACAAAGTACAAATCAACTTTGCCAAACGGATTTTCAGCCTCAGAAGTACGACGAACACCGCTGCTATTCTATACCTCTTGAATCTGTTACCACTAAACTTAAGACAAGTAAGGCAGCAGATGCGCTTTTTTGAAAAACTCAGTCGCGCAAACTCAGGCACTCTTCTACGAGCAGCACTTGAGGAAAGCATTTTGGTCAGCAAAAAGAGAACGCGTTAAATGTTGGTTAAAAAACGCGCTTAGGCAATTACCGGAAGACATCGAAATTGACTTAACAAACACCGTCCAAGATATTCGTAATCAGCTAGCAAAGCTGAATTCAGCTGACATAATGTCGAGGCTAGAGAAAACGTTTCGGATGAACCTAGTTAAGTCGATCCAGGATAATGCTGCCAGGAGCAGCAGGTTGCGTTTTTTGTTTCAGTGCCTACCAGAAAGCGGAGAAGTGCACCTGTTGAAAACGATGCCGGCAATGACAAGCGGAAACTGGGTGAAAATGTTGACTTCTGGTCACTACCTTGCTGTGGAGACAGGAAGATGGAACGCTGTGCCCCGGGAGGAGCGGATATGTAACTTCTGTGAGGTTGTGGAGGACGAGTATCATGCTCTGAATGAATGTCCTGCATATTTCCCACACAGACAGAAACTACAGGAGCGACTAGCTGCCCATAAACTTTCAATACAGGATGGCGGACTAGTGGAAGCAATGCAGAATTTACTACGGAGAAAGGAGAAGCCGATGGAACACGAGAAGACATTGTTCTTTTTTTTAAGCAATTTTTTTAACCAGATTTTGATAGATAGCCGCAAAGTATTTAGCGGCGAACTATTACTGTTGCCTATGTAAAGCCTTAAATTGTGCACGGTATAACTAAAATGCAGTCGAATCCACCTTTGTTTATTTTCACATGAGGTTTTTACATCTCTAAATTGTTTTTTTTAATATCATTTTCTTGACATCTTCAGTGTCTGTTGAAAAGATCTTTTGATTGTTTATGCTTAAGCATACGGCACAACGCATGGTGTGCCCCTGCCAGAAGAAATCTGGGCGAATAAAGTTGTCTTGTCTTGTCTTGTACCATAACCCGGACGACATGGTGGATCCCCCGACCATATCTGTCACCTGCTGTCGACTCATCGAATCCCTGCGGGACCCGAGCCATTGTTCTACTTCTCCTGTTACGTTCGGTGTTTATCCTCGACCTGTTGAGGATTTCATGCTATACTACGGAGAAGGCTTAAACGCCAGGTAAATTGACGGAACACAACCAGTACATGCATCATAGGTAGTCGATCATAGGTTATAAATTTATGGCAGAAACATCTTGGATTCTTTTTCTGCAGACAGATCTTCCTGCATAATGCCGGCACTGAAGAGCTGGAGCATTTATTCCGTGTTTGTGATCCAGCCCCGTTTGGACGAAATAGAGAGCGTTCTGGACGAATCCTACCGTAAGGCTGTCAAATTGGACGTGAACAAGTTTTCGGCCAAGTTCGACGCGGAGCGATCGGGATTACTGGGACGAATAAAGAGCGATCTGCTGTCGGGAGACGAGCACAACCGACATGTCCAGGCCGAATTGTATAAGCTCAATGTTTACGGTAAGCAAAACGTCTGCTCCTGGTAGACTGTATGTGGAGTATTTGCATGCGTAACGATTAACGAAATCATTTGCATTTTAGATATACGGTGTGCCGTAAAGCGTAGGTTGTATAAAATAGCGCGATAATTTTCTGTGCGAGGGACAATGAGTTAGCATGCTTGATTGCGATTTGCGATCGTTCATAGCGCGAACTTTTTACAACCATAAATATTTCAGAGTAGTACTTCGACTGGGCTGTTCTTAATTTTGAACAACATAAAATTAACAATAATATCGTTGTACTCAGGCGTAGGCTCATAACGAACGGGAACGAGCTGCATACAGCCGGACATCGTTGAGCAAATTTGCCCCAAATTATAAAAATTAGCGTAGATCTCTACGATTTCGCTGTACCACCTGTACGTACAAATACAAGAAAACTTGCAGTCGTGTACTGCGAGTAGTACTTAGAGGTAATTTTATGTGCTGTGTTTCGGGCTGCAGGAAAAGGCGGCTTCTTCAAGAAGCACACATACACCCCGCGGGGCGCCAACATGTTCGCCTCCCTGGTTGTCGTCTTTCCCACAACCCACGAGGGCGGTGCACTGGTCCTGCGTTCCGGCGGCAAAGAATGGACGTTCGACGCCGCCAATGAACTGGCCGCCCTTCGCACGCCGTCCATCGCGTACATGGCCTTCTTCAGCGACGTGGAACACGAGATTCTCCCGGTGCTGAGCGGCCACCGCGTGTCATTGACCTACAATCTCTACTTCGCGCCACCGACATTCCCGAGTTCAGCATCCCCGTTAGCCAGGCGTCCCGCGACAATGAGAAGGCGTTCCAGTCTAAGTTAACGAAACTTCTGGATCAACCGGATTTCTTGCCGGAAGGTGGACTGCTTGGTTTCGGTCTGCAGTACCAGTATCCCGTGTCGGTCGATCCGAAGAAACCCTTTGCGTCCACCATTGAGTATCTTAAAGGTAGCGATGCGATGATGCGCCGCGCGTGTAGATCGCTGTCGCTGCCTGTCCAGCTGAAGATATACACGCTGGATGACAGGACCTCGGTGGCGGTCTTAACGGACCATGTTATTCATCTGGATGAAGAGAAATGGACCGAATTAGGCACGTATGTTTTTGAAGTCCTGGGCAAGGAGCCCGGCGCAATTTTCCTTCTGTCCCAGTACTGCAGTTATCCGGATGGTACCGATCTCAGAGAGGACATTAGGGAGAGGGGTGGTGTGGAGATTCAGTGGATTACGGAGATAACCAAGCAGAACGTGACACGAACGGCGTTTGTGTTTCACGGGAATCAGCCCCAGCAGGATTACTTCTATGGAACCCTGTGTCTGGTTGCAGAAGTGGGCCCTGCCCAGGATCGGACGTCGGTTAAGGGTTATATGAAACCAAAAGAGGACAGTGATGATTGTTCTGATTCGGTTTAGCGCGTATTGGCGAAATTAATATCATGTGTGCCACAGTTGTACGCCCGACTTTGATTTTATGCGGCCAATGGCACGCTATTAACGTCACAGGTCACTTATAGACGATTATACTGTTCAGACGTATTATACATCTGTACGTGTCTAAATAATACAGTACGTATCTAAAGCTATAATAGTTGCTGTCAAATATGCTACGTATTGGGACTCTGATGCGAATTGTATCTAGGTCATAACTCTCGAGTGCGCAACAACTCACGCACTGATTTGTGAGTCAGACAGATTCACTGATAACGCCGCGCGCATTGGTCAGATGGAGAATCAGTTGCTGAATTAGAAAACCGAGCTGTTGAGCTCGGTTTTTTAATTCGCGCTCACATTCATGACCGCATGTCAACTCTTTAAAATCATCCTGCGCTGCTAATAAACGTTCGTAGTGATCCAGGCTGCATTAAACTGTAGGTAATTACGCTGTACTTACTGTAGTTCGTCATTAAGTTTTAAGATAATGAGGTTTAATTAATTAACCTGATAATTAGTAACTGAGCGAAAATATGAACTAACTAGAGTCATTCACGCCTAACTAGCACATTTAGCAGCTAATTAATTAGCTAATCTGCCCCTAATTAGTAATTTCGCACCTGGTTTTTTTAGCACCTAATTAGCAAATTTATTACACATGAAGAAAAAATTAATTACATGTCATTAAGCTATGTGAGATTATTTTTCTTAACAAGTTTGTGCTTGTTGTGTTGCGTTGTCCATGGTAGTGAATGGCACTGAATGCAGATTTATTGCAGAATTCACGGTGCTGTCAGATTTGGTGTTTATTTCTAAGAGTGTATCCGTTATCAGTGTATCCGTTATCAGTGGAACATGCTTCACTTTTTTTCTCTTAGTCATAGCGGAAAAATGAGTAACCGATACGTGCGCAGCAGTCGTGCCGCAGATACAAGCGGGCTGCTGATATTTGACAGTCCTAAATAGTAATCGTTTTGGTTGTGGTTTTAGTAAAACGAGAACTAGTATTAACGTCATAATGTTGTGGAAGTAGGTGTCTGTACGTACGAAGGTCAGTGTTGGTCATTGCAGTAATGACTGGTTTGCAACGTGTTGAATTAAATGCAAATCCACGTCCAGAAAAATGAATTTTTATGTACCAGATACGGTTAAATACCAGTGAAATTCTGCTCAAATGAACACCTGCAAAACAATTTCATATGTAAAAATTGTAACTTAAATGATAACGTAATGACATTGTGTATACTGATAAGACGTATTATATACATTCATTACCGAGAAACTACATTATTACTAGCGGTGGTTGCGAACCACATTATTGCACGAGCGCGAGCGCCAGTACCACTGGGAAATGGTATTGGGATTGTGGAATTGGAAAAGCGTGACGTACGCTCTTCGTGGCGTCAGACAAATTTTTTGCTCTTGACGAAGACTTATTGCAGCACCGCGCTTCGCGCTCGGTGCAAATTATGATTTTTATAACGGAGAAACCACGCCTCTGAAACCACATTGTTTTTTCGTTTCCATCCACGCCGTAGCCACTTCTTTAGGCAGCTTCAGATCCTCGTTTTCTGCGCATTTTTCGCGCTCGTTGGCTTCCACCTGACACAGTTCTTCCGGCAGAAAATTATTGTCTGTGTTGGTGTTGCTGAGCTGTCGACCGGAACTACGGTGGGCACTTGAGCCGGCAGGCCTGTGGAACAGCAGCCCACCCACAGGCGCCGGTGCGTTCCAGTGTCCAGCTCAACGCATAGCACTGCTTTTCCTCGTTCTTGGCGCTCACACTGCGGGTCAGGGCGACGTCCAGAAGTAGGATCCCATTGTCGGCTAGCGGTAGCAGATCGAAATTGTGATGTCGTAGCAACCGTAACCTTTGTTGTATTTATGACCTCTGTCCAGTGTGATATTTAGTGAATCATGTTTGCATTGTTAGTCCGTCAGTTAGAAGATAAACCGGTGAGCGGCAAGTCGTGATAGAAATCATCGCCCTAGCGGCGTTTCTGCTCCTTCCGGTAATAATCCAAGCAAGCGCAGAAACAGTCGGGCACGCCAGCACCGGTAAAACTACACAATAAGTTCCGGTTAAAAATAAATACAATTAATGTTTGTTTGCACTCTGTACAATTACAGGTATCAGTACTCGTACTGCTTTCAACAGATCTTCAGTTTACGACGAGCACTGCAGGCAGTATGCAGTCTCCTTAATGTTATACACTGACCGGCTACGTTTTGCGGTAAACTTTTAGCGCGATTCCGTTGTTTACGTACTTATGTTTACGCTGCTTGCTTTGCAGGCCCGACTCACCGGAACCGCACAAATTTTCAGCTTGCCGACTGCAACCATTGCTGACTGTTTATTGTGTTTTTCGTTAACTGCTCGCTTTTTTTGCATGTCACGAGTCACACAGAGAGACACAGTCACACAGAGTTTTTGTTTTTGCATGTCACGTTTTTTGCACACAGACTTAGGACATATATACTAACAGGAGTATTCCCGCCACTGAATTTTCAATGACCGTAAACGACGTTCTCAAATGCTGCTAAAGTCACGCGCTGCAGAGCCATGTGGCTTCGTTCATCAAATTGCTGATCCGATTGGAAAACGTTCCATCTCAGACAACACATCTGTATACGTACACTCTGTCCTGCGTAATTCATGCATCATTGTTTTCGCCTCCGGCAATTAATACAGTACTGCCATACACGATGCCACTTGTTTAATCACCACTCACCAGTGAAAGTGAAATTAGTCATCCCATTATCAGCGTAAACTAATGGCTACCACGCACTGGCTTGTTTACTTGAGATTTCTCTTTTTTTAACAAAAAATATGGAATGGTTTACCGCTTGCTTCAAAACAATTCATACGATAACAATGTACACGATAATCACTTACCCACTTTACTGTTTAGTAGGGCATACTTAATAATTTTAATATCATTTTACTGGAATAGCACAAATCGTTTGTTGTGAAACCAGCATCCGGATGGCAATTTGAACCGGAAGACGTTCAGTCTTATACTGTAGAATAAAATAGCCAGTATTGTGCTCTATCGCAATCGCACGGAACTTGTGTAAAGAGTACCAAATCCTATAACCATGTGAAAACCGGACGCATAAAATTATGTGCCCGCAAGACTGTATTTTACGTGGTTAATTATACTTGGTATAATTTACCGGGTTTAGTTACTTTTTATTGTTTTGTAAGTTGAATTAAAATGTTAAAATGATGATAAAAAAATGGTACTCATGATGCTCAGTTCCCGTGAAATTATAGTGCTCGATATTTTGATATTCCCATTATGTTGTACTGTGGTTAACGTATTTTAGCAACTCAGTATGCTTCCGTTTGTGTAATAAGATTTTCGTTCTGTACAGAGTTGTCAGCGACAACAACTTCGTTCAGATACAGACACTGCCACGCGTGTGCAGTACCGCTGATACTTCCGGGTTGTTCCGTCCAGATGTTTACTGACACGTCGATCATTTTCTGTTATTTATTTGTAGCTGCTGTGGCAAGGGTATGGCATAAAATGCTGTGGCATTTATGATGCCAGATTTCCATACCATACTGCAACTGTATTATCGGTGGTTGTCGCAATTTTTGGGTTTTTATGACTACGTAAATCTATTCTACCGGTACCGTAAAGATCCCGGAATTTTACGGGAGATACTGCGTACTCTGCATCTTTTGCATTCAGTCATGAGAAATGCAGCTATTATCTTTCAGTTCCCACGTAATATTTTCCGACGAAAATTTCCCTTTCTGTACAATCGCCCCAGTCGCCTAATATGCTTATACATCGCTCTTTTTTTGATATGTTTTACCGGGAAACTACGCTATGTGGCCGAAAACAGTGAAGCGCTACGAGTAGAGCTTGAGTTTTCTGCGGACAAACCCACCCCCATCTTTAGATCTCCTGAAGTTGATGATGGAATTATTTTCGATCGAGAACCAGTAGCTGAAGCTTCTTATGGACGTTGGTACATGAGCAATCTTAGTTTGCGATCGTCATCATACGCATTGTCCAGCTTCGGGTTTGACACAACCGACTTGACCAAAATTTGGCCGGAACTTGTACAGAACAGTGCTAATGACCGCATTGAGAATCAGTTACTATACGCCAAATATTCCGATGACGTAAGAAAGGGGCACCATCAATTAAACGGGCCGAAAACGATTTTATTCGCTGGCCAAAAAGGGAAAATTAGCTCACGTCTGCCAGTTGGGAAGGCCCACTTTTTTGAAATCGGATGTCCAGTAAACAATTGTCAGATTATCTATGACAACGAGAAAGCCAAGGAGGCTGATGCCATTGTTTTCAAAGATTTTGTCAACGGTGAGTTTCTCGAGGTAAGGAAGTGAAGGTTTTAGAGCCGTAGTAAGTACATATATGGATGGGTTCGTGGCTTTAGCCACATGCTAGCACGACATTTTTTTCCGCAATAACTGTGTATCATGCAGAACTATCTTTAGAAATGTGAAATGATAAGCACGAAAATGTCTTTGAAATATAAAAGAAACCATCAGCTTTGAAAAGGTGGTTTGTAAATGAGGTTTCGTATACTTCTATTCAAACTTTGCTTATGCTTTATTCAGACTGTAGAAGGAGCTTTTGTACACACCACTGTAATGTTAATGCCGTTATATACAGGGCTACAAGCGTCCACAAAATCAAATCTGGATCTTGTCTCTACTGGAATCGCCGGCTTATACGAAGAACTTTAAGCTACTTCAGTACAAAGACAAGATCAACTGGACTGCCACGTAAATTAACAGCGTTTTCGCTGAACTTGATCATGATGTGATGCAATTTTCATGAGATTTCTTTTCACATAGCAAAACTGAAAAGACTACAACTATATATTAGCATACTATCCAAGCAGCCAGCCCTTGTACTGTATTTTGCACTTAAAAAATATTTGTCATAATTTGAAAATAATTACTTCCAGCTACCGGCACGACAGCGAGATAGTGACACCATATCGCAAATTTGTTATTTTGACCGGCACATCAAATCGAAAAACCAGACTGAAAACATCGCCGCCAAAAAACGGGGCTTCCAAAATCATGGCGGTCGTGTTGCGTGGTTTGTGTCCAACTGTGAGGCGCGCAATAACAGGCGAGCGTATGCGGAGGAATTAGCAAAATATTATCCAGTAGACATCTTTGGTAAATGTGGAACACGCAAATGCGACTCAAACCAACCAGAGCTTTGCCGCAGTGTTTTGCAAAAGGACTACAAGTATTATTTGGCTTTTGAGGTAAAAAAAGTGGAAAAATGCTCGTACGCGTGGTAATTTAATTGTTATTGATTGTTACATTACTCAGAACAGCAACTGCCGGTGGTACATTACAGAAAAAATCTGGACTGCACTGGGGTAAGTAAAACAAGTATCGAATATCGAAAGAAAGGTTAAAATAATTATCCATTTCTCATATCCACGACAGACCACTTAAAAGCGATAAACTAAAATTTCTTAGCGCTCGACGAGCTTACCTTACCACAGCCCTAGAGCCGGGAATATTCCTCTTATCCTCTATGTACATGTAATAGCTGCCTCTGTTTATTTAATTTTCTAGAAAGGTCGAATCATATCATATCTAGAAAGTGTGTTTTGTTAAAAATTGGTCGACCGGTTTTTGAGAGAAAATTCGGACATTTGGGAGTTGTGCAGATGGTAGTTTGTCATAACTTTTAAATAGAAAACTAAACTGTACTTCTAAATACAAAACAATTACCAGAGTATTATTCAGGGCGTGGTGATCTTTACAGGTCGGAAGTGGTACCAATCGTCATGGGTGCTCCAGTTTCTGACTACGAAGCCGTCGCTCCATATCGCTCTTTTATACACGTGGATAACTATGATCACCCGAAGCAGTTAGCAGCGTATCTGCATCACTTGGACAACAATGACGCGGAGTACAACGAATATTTCCGGTGGATTGGTACGGGAGAACTCATTGGCACGTTCACCTACTGCCGATTATGCACGTACGTAAACAAGGCTTCTCAACGTACTACAATTAATTTTTCACTATTTACTGTAAGTAAATTATTGTATATAATTTACAATGTGAATTACACTGTACATGGACGATCAAACTATAAAAATGTTTCATAAAACAGCGTGAGCATGCACTGTTATACCGGCCTCCCTTTCACATGAAAATAGCAAAGCAGGTTCTAGCTAAAGCTCGGTGTGTTAACATACCTAAACGTTTTACAGTTTTATGACTAACCATAAAACATTTCCAGGCTAATGCATTCAGAAATCCCATGGAGAAATTACGCAGACATTCACAATTGGTGGCAGATGGGTGGAACGGCATGCAGCAATGAGAAGAACAACTTCACACCAACAAACAGATGATCATAAATAAGGGAGGTGCCCATAATTTAAAAAGCGGATTACAGATTTTCAGGGCACTTAATAATGTCAATGTTAACATAACTGTTGGATTCAGCCGGGATTGTCCCTTCTATACTACCATGGGATACGGAATTCACCTACTGACCAGCGGAATGTTTCCATTTTCTGTGCATGTGTCCTTGAAAGCTGCCCTGCTTGCTTTGACCGACTGCATAATTCCTTTTCCTACAGGAGATACGATGTACATAGCCTGCTTTCGGCGATTGCATTTTAAGGAGACATGTATTCGTATGTGCACTCAGCATGTGGGTGGAATTTTGTCGGTACCATAATTACGCGTGTTATGTCGTATCACATTTGGAAGCTGTATCTGTATAGCCACTTTTAACCGGGGGGTATAGCTTTCATGTCCTCATGGCATGGGGAATGCCTTTGGGTTCTTGCTAACATCTTCAAACTCTTGGCACTTCAGAATTGTTTTCCGGAAACTGAAAAAACAAATAGTCAATTTGTGTACGTTAGTGAACTAGACTTTTTTCGAATTCGGTAGCACTTTCTGTCTATTTTGATATAAATCGGTCTAACGTCTACAAGTTGACTCGGCTAACTAACAATAAGAACTAGCAACGAAAACTTCGAAGTCCACGTGTGAAAATGTCCCAGCGCCCAATTGCCAAAACAAAACAGTTTCTATCTTTGCGGCCAGTTATCTACGGAAAGAAAAGTACAACAAGATAGAAATTTCTCGCGCCAAATTTTCCAGCTCTAACGAAATGTTCACGGCAGATTGTCCTGCGGCAAGAAGTCGCGGTGCTCTATGCATTTATGCCGCTAATAGTTTAAATCGGACAACGTCCACCTGGTTATGGATGAGCTCAGAATGCTCTTTCCTCGCAACGAAATCTTTGAACTGAAAACGCACACAGAAACCAAGCGGTTAAAAAGCAAATAAAAATAACAAAATAAAAATAAAAAAAAGAATTCACTTCAACCTTTCCTGTGCTCGCAACTGCTACATTCATACGAGTAAATCATTCTTTTATTCTGCTGCATTCTAATAAATCTTGGACAGTGTATCGAACGGTACGTTTCACTTATCTCAGTTATCTGTATATTGAAATCTCGAACCACAAAACAATTATTTCTCAGCATCACACAAGTATACACATAAATTAATTTATAAGTTCGAGCTACTGTACTTCGCATGGGGCCTTAAGTTTTCCCCTCACACAGTACGGGAAATTTTGTTTTCCCCCGCACATGTGTAAGTATTATTATGTATAAGTATTATTATGTCTTGCAATTTTTTCGAGGTGTATAGTTGCAGCCGCACAGTCTCTGCATTCCTTTCGTATAACATACGAAAGGAATGCAGCCGGAAGTGGCTTTCGCAGCTCTGCACACATATTGGAGAACCGATAATTTACGATTTCTCTCATTTGCTACGATTAATGAAGCAGTGTAGCAATTGTAATCAAAATCTTACTGACAATTTCAGCGGCAATTTCTTACTGACTGGCCGTACGTACTTCGTTGCCTGATAATCATGCGACTGTCAGCTCCGCCCATGATGCCGGAGATGATCTTTTGGTGGACATCTAGAGAGTGGAGCGATTATCTTCGGTATTTTCTGAGTTTTCTGATATTTTATTTTGCATTATGTCCTGCGGATGGATTCGGAGCGCGGCGCTTTTGGAGCTCGTCATCATCGTCATCAAACGGATACAATATATCAGCCGTCGCTGCCGCTGAAATAAGCTTGCTGGCGTTCATCCGCAGCTGTTTGGGTGCGACATCAAAAGTGGCGCTTGGGTGTCCCTGCGCCGGCAACGGGAAGCGGTGCAAGGACGCACGCACTATCTCTCTGCACAAATTTCAAATGCCGCTGCAACCCATCGTTTAGTACGTACAACGCAGCTACGAACCAATGCGTTGCCTTTGCCGACAACGACATAACAGCAACGACTGCCACTACCAGCCCGTTAACTACCACCACCGCTGCCACTACAGCTACAGTATTACATCAACTACCGCAAGTAGAACCAGTGCGTCTGCAGGTTGTCCCGCGAAAGCTGACACTACCCTTCCGACCGGCAGTACTACCGAATGCATTGGTGCTGTGTACCCAGATAATATCGCCTACCCTGTAACTGCCCCAGGACTGTCCACTTCTGAAATTCTGGAAGGTTTGAATGCACATAATAACTATCGCCGAAGGGTAAATGCCACCAATATGCAGAAACTGGTACGGGATGCCGGTGCTGCTAGTAACGCCCAGTACTGGGCAAGCACCTGCCCATATCCATATGCTTCGGATTTTAGAAACCCGGATGACGGGACCTTCCTTCCGGATGCAAGGAAGACCCCTCGTAAGCACTAATATTTCAAAGCTTGTTTTCAGGTCGCAATCTTAGTCGAAACATTTCATTCTTTGCATTTTTAACTGCCTTCCCGTGGTTTATACATGTAGGTAAGTGCTGTCACTGTAAGTATGATCAAATGCTGCGTTAATGTGTCCAAATTGTACCGGAAGTGCAATAACCGCAATTGTACAGCAACCGAAACTCCAGAAAATAGGTAGATTGTGGTAATCTACAAAGTGCCGTTCTCTTTTATCAGGTCAGCAGTTTTTTATCGGGTCATTTGTAAGCTTTGTTAACGAAATCACAACGTTGAGATTGTTCATGGATTACATAAAGACTGACGTATGCTGTACAGATACGATGTGATAAGTTCAATATTCATTAATTTCATTTGGTCGATACTGCGCAGTATTGACCAAATTAATACTGAACTCCATGCGTGCACGGGAATACAAGAGAGTTGGCTGTGTTCACTGGTGTTTACGCGGGTGTTGGCTGCGAGCGCGGGGTTCGGGGACGGGTTTTGGATGCGTGCTCGGTTTTTTTCAAAATCGCTTGAAATTTAAAGATTGGAATTGAATTTGAATATGTGAGCGTAATTAGCCATTTAATGATAGAACGTACTGTAGATCAGAGAAACGGGTGGAGGTGGTCAGGTAGCGGTTTCAAAAACAAATGGGCATATTAACCCGTTCCACACCATGCGTGTTAGACCGACATGTTGGAGGACTTCTTCTGTAGAGTTCGTTGTTGTGGTCATAGGTTGCTTTAAATGGTTTTGTTTCAAAGAAGAGATGTTAGACTACAGTTTGAACTATGAAGTCGTTAGCTCCACCATGTCCGTGAGGTCTGGAAAGTGACCAAACATGGTCAAAAATGACCAAACCGGGCTCCCGGAGGTCCTGCTTGTCTCTACTTACCTCCAGATCAGATAATTACCACAAAAATTAGAAAGGTAGTTATTGTCAAGCTTTGTGGAAGAGCCAAACAATGTTCAGAGAAATAAACACCCGCTGGTCAGTTCTGGTCAACTGAAAATACCATGTCGAATTTGACACGGTTGGGCATGGTACTTACTTATTAATAATCTTTTAAAATCCATATCAATTGACTGAAAAATCGTACACGGTAGCACAAGCAGTCAAAAGAAAGCTCATAAAAACCTTTAAATAGTGGCCTGAGTACAGTGGTCAGCAGACTGACCACTGGTCAATAATGACCGGAAATACGGAAAATATAATTTTTGACTGAACGCTTCTAAAATCGTTGTGAATTAAATGTAAACAAATTTTATAATAGCACCTCACAATGGCACTACGTATAGTCACCCTGATGCGCAGAAGATGGCCTGATGCATGTGAATGTGCTTTATTATTACCATATGCAGAAGGTATTCGGCAACCTGGCTAATAAATTTTCCCGTTCTTATGATTTGTTCTTTTCAAAGTTTCACATGAGTTCAACTAGAGTAACGAGTAAATAAACCTGTAAAAGTTACTAATTTCGAACTGATGCTTTGGTAATTAAACTTCTGCGCTGCAAAAAACACACATTCCAACCTTCGGTTCATGGGCACTGGTAACGCTAGCACTGATCTGCGCAAAACGGTGACTATCAGAAGGAGCATCTTACAATGCGTTGCTGAGTTTTGACAACGTCTAGACACTATTCAGCAAAGGTGTCGCCTGAGACAATGCAAAGTACATGCACTCCCTCACAGATTTTGGACAATTAATGTCTAAAAAATAAGTCGTTCGCCTGTACAGTAAGTAATAGGCTTTTTTTTTAACAACTTTGCTGAATCTTATGTGGATACTTCCAAATTTCGTAGCAACTGGTCATTTGTATGACACTTGGAAGGATTGACCACCGGTCCATAGCGATGGTAACCATTAGCCAAGTTTTTACTCTTTATCTCAGCTATCCCATTCAGTTGCACAACCGGATATAGTTTTACTTCAACTGTGTACGTCACTTGAATTGTGGTCACAATAAAGCCGATGACCAACTGTCCAAAACGTAGAGCAGGTGACCAACTGTTGCTAATTATCGAAGCAGCACTTATGCACTGCATATGAGTGGTTTTTTCCTTTTTTAAATTTTCCTTGACCACTGGTCAGCTTGATGACCATCACGGTGAGTCCTTGTTGAAGTACTCGTCGAGATCTATCGTTTGAGCTATTGGCACATTCTGTACGAATTTTCTATCAGCTGTTATAAACGGCGATGGATAACATGTCGGTGCAACATGGTTACCATGCGTGTCATTCCGACATGGTCATCTCCTGCTTGACCTATGGTCGCTAAAATTTTGAAAAAAATAATTTTCTCTTAATTGAATTTTTCTGTCCCAGACTGCCAAGTTTCAAAACTGTACTCCCATCCCTTCTAGTACCCGGTTTTCCTGGGTTAAACACGGTGGCTCTGTGTTATCGCAATGGGAGCTGCATTTGCTTACGGGCTTGACCATGGAACGGCCACATTCGAACCGGAAAGGATGCGAGGTAATCTGAAGGCCGCATTCGAGGCCAAAAACATCACCCCAATCTCTTGTGCCTTTGGCAGGGTTGACAAAAGGCCTGCCCGGATCGGAAGCAGGAAGGCAAAAAATTAACCCTCGTTGCATAAGTCGTGAAAAACAGGCTACGAGTACGAGCTGATAAAATTATAACTTTTAAAGTAAAATTCAAAAATATTCGAACACAAGCGGACCCAAGAAAGTCACCCGTGCACGTAGCCAACGCCCGTTTTTCCCAGTGCTCGCAGCGATAATGACTATTGATTTTGTGATTGTCACAACTATTCTACGCTAATTTTTTAACCATTTTATGATTTTTCAGAATATTCCCATGGATGTAGCCAGAGTACAGTAGTTGGTGGCTATGGTCAGGCATGGGATATTTCTGACATGGGCCGGGTATCGTGGACTTCGGCCGTTGCCGCCTGGTACAGCGAAATTTATTACTTTAGTGGTTGCGATGCACCGTACAATAATATTAACCTTACATGGGACACCTACACGCAGGTACTCGTTCTAAGCTAGCTGTATGGATAATAATCATCCAGGATTTTAATTTTCCGGAGTTAAAAGTTTCGGCGTTCCGGTTTTAAGTCTACAGCAAAGAGAACAGCTAATCTTTTTGTCAGTTATACAGATAATGATATTGAACTAAATTTTCTATTACAGTAAGCCGTAGAAGTGCGTTACCACGGCACAATACAGATACTACACTACATACGTCTTATGCCTTGGCGGTACTGTTTTATAAGCAATGCTGTATTACAACTCTATTGCCGTTTAGGTGATGTGGGCAGACACTGCGGCCATCGGATGCGGACAAGCGATGTGTAATAACTACATAATCAGCCCCGGATCTGCCGGTTATACTCCCGAAGTGAAACTGTACGTTTGCAACTACTGTCCTGGGTAAGCCAGAAGTCCGAGCAATAACCCGAACTCGAAAAATTAAGCTTCCCAAATGTATTAATTTTGATTAGGGAAAATAGAAAAGTTTGCTTTGTCTGCACTTAGGGGCAATGTGAGAATTCCAGGTCAAGGTTACGCCCACTACTGTCCGTGGAAATCAGCTGACTCAGCGGCAAAGTGCTCCGCTTATCCAAATTAGGGGAAAATGTGCGGACCTGGCGATTGTCTGTGTGCATAGGTAGTCCTGTGACTGCTGTCTCCCCAAACACTTCCGGCAGCGAGGACCGATCACCTCTTCTACGAGTATAAGTCCATATTTGATAATTTCGATCTGCATTTACGCACTACTGTCGTGTAATAGATAAAAAGTAGACGTTGCACAGTGCTTGTCTTTATCCTCACTGCCGACCTCGACACAATCGGATAGAGCGACTCTTATCTCAAACTGATGGGGAGAAGTAGTAGGATGGTAGAAGTAGAAGTCGAAGTCCGGAACCAGGAATCCCTGCTGCAAACACGAGAAATATGCAAGAAGATCGAAGAGTATACGTTACCTGACCTCACGCTAGATGTTACCAGAAGCGGTAAGAGCAAGATCCATCAACCTTGTACTAAAGGGCATGAAGATTGAAGAAGAAGAAAAGACCAAAGTTCACGGGATGCAAGTGGGAGCTAGTGGGTAACCTGTTACGCCACGAGACTATCCGAAAATGATAATGCACGTCGACGAAGTAGAGGAAAAACCCCTGATATAAGTGAAAGGTCACCAAGAGGTCAGTTAGCAAGTATCCTCACTTGTGAAAGAGTATCCCAGGGCAAGAAGTCTGAAGTTAATCAGGTCGTGAACAGATCACTACTTCTTATTGGAAGAAAACTCTTGACATTTGTGTGGGCGACGAGCGCCTTATATAGTCTTGGGCACGCGCAGGTGCGACTCTTCGTACGCGCAGGTACGGTTCTGAGAACAATAGGGATATAAAATCTAGCCAATACTCTACGATCACTGCCACGTGGACTAATCAAAGATAGCATCATTACAGCATAGACTAATCAGAGAAAAGGGTCAGCTAGTACAAGAGAACAATAGGTTAAGCTACGTCGTTGACATGCGGTCACGTCGAAATGGCAAGTCGCGGTCAAAGTTCTCTGCTGGACATTTCTAGGAAGGCTCGACTCGAACACCGGGTCATGACTCAAGTAGGCGTTGTAGTAAGGACTAAGCCTAAGCCTTAGGTAGAAGTAGTAAAGATGTGTACTAAGGGACGCCAGTACACGTAACTACTTTATCGCACGTGTTTTCTATTCTACCATAGTGTTTGCTATTCTACATGTATATTCAGTTTCTCACGATTTATGTAGAATGAATGAAAAATTTTGTTGCTCATAACGCGAATAAAAGTACCAACTTAAAAAAACGGTAATAAATAAACGTATGCGAAAAAAATACCGAGTTCTCGAATCTCGAAATAACAGTTCCCAAAGACAGTTATCTGTAGAGCAATAAAGACCGCTAATTTGAATTGCCGGCCATGAATAAAGCACCATCATAAAGTATTTCACAAGGCGAATCTTTCGGTTTATCATGCATAAAGCGCGACTCACAATGCCTATACAAAATTGCAAACCTGCCTCGGTACAAGCGAAGAATAAAAATTAAAATACTTCTGTACCGGAACGTTATGCAGCACTTCCCGGTACCGGTGGATGAGAATAATTACTACCGGTCCGCTTACATGCAGCCGGGCATTTCGGTACGTACTTGTCTCATGTTGACAATTGCTGCCATTTGTGACGTGTTCGATCCCAAGTCCAACTGCTCGTTCTCGTTTGCTTCTACATTTCCATCTTTCCTCGAGTTTATTCGAACCAAAGACACATCTGTTACAGTAATTGCACTATATCCGTGCATTTTTGCGCTCATTGCACATAAGACTGCTGATTGTTGACATGTTTCTACCCATTTGATTGTAGTCCGGCTCCCAAGTCCGGCTACTTTTAGTGATCCAGTAAATCTTGCAAATCAGAATCTCCAGTGACTGCTTGTTTTACTGTTGCCTTAATACCGTCAAAATGCAACCAGTGCAGTCCCCCATTCCAGTAGCGCAACACTCTACCAACTTTCAACTTACGTAAGAGCAAACTGAGCGGTTCACAATACACCCGAACTGACAAATTTTCTGCGTTAAGCTCATATAAAAAGAAAGACGGTATAAAAAGAGAACATATCTGTACAATGAAATAATTATTCACAATATTCATTCTACAGGCGCTACATACAGAACGTGTTGTAAGCCTTATCCATAACCGAGAGACTCTTATATCTGTTGCAGAATATCCGCAGCACGAATGACGTACTCCGGGGATCTGAACTGCTCACCGTTGATGGTCTCCCGCAGCCACTCAACGACGACCTCATCCGGTTCACAGTTCTCATCCACTGTTTCGTGCCCGATTATTATCGCCGGATACCAGTCGTCATCGTCGCAGTCCGCAAATACCATCTCGTCATATCTGAAAATCATCCCTGCGACCGTGAACCGCACAGAGCGGCGCGGAGCACTAACAAAGGGCAGCGCCGGCTTGTCCGTGCTGTATTTGTACATGTAGATATCCCACAGCTCCGTTGGAAGCAGCAACGCATGCTGAAGAAAGAGCATGGTCATCTCGCGTTTTCGCGCAGGCGGATTCGCGATGTACGAACCCGCAGGATGTACCTTGAGGGGACCACTGGCCATTTCGGCGTCAGTTAACAACGGAATGCGCAGCTGAAACAAGACGATGCCCAGCATTTCCCGTCGGTTGGCGGGTGATGGATCAACTTTCTGGCGCCTGCACGCCTCGAAAGCCCATCTGCGAAGTGGCAGCTGAAACATGCTTCGGAACACTAGGAGCTCAATTAAAAAAGCGACGCTTACGCCTCGACAGCCGTGTAGATGACGCTTTCCGGTGCCACCAGTGTGTCGCGTTGTACAATCATCTGCAGTGTCCGATGGCTCAGTGCAGAAAAAGTGTTCCACCGGTAAGACGAGCTCCATCCGAGGCGTCAATCAGATCCAGGCATTTCTGGATCTGATTGACGCCTCGGATGAAATATTGTTTAAATCCGGTAACCACACGTTAGCCTGCAGATGACAGCACAAGTCAAGCAAACCAATGGAACAACTGCATAACATCATAACCAACATTTTCCAGAGCCAGGAGGCAGTTGTCGGAGTTGAGATGCTCCAAAATGTAGCAGCAGCAGAGATCGACGAGCAATGGGAAGTCGTATTTATCCGCGCAGGACAAAGTGGGAAATGCGTTCTCCAGATTCAGATCGTCCACTGCATCAGTATACATAACTACCAAAAACAACACGCCACTACACTCAAAATAACGTTTGCATAAAAATGTAGAGAATTCACGCACCTGAGCATGTTACTGAAGGCTTCAGACGGAATGTCAGGGATTTCGATCACATCCTGATTATTCGCAGCTAAATCACCATGGAACATAGCGTAGAACACATCGCTGCTCAGGCTCAGAAACATCCTACACAGAATTCATAATGGCCATCACCGCAAACGACGCACCCATTCAAGGGAGCTCCTCTGGCAAATATTCGTTATTGTTGGCAAACCAATGGAACAACTGCATAACATCATAACCAACATTTTCCAGAGCCAGGAGGCAGTTGTCGGAGTTGACGTGGTCTACAATGTGGCGAATGCAATGATCGACGAGCAATGGGAAGTCGTATTTATCCGCGCAGGACAAAGTTGAAAATGCATTCTCTAAACTAAGGTCACCCACTGCATCCGAGTATACATAACTACAAAAACCATCAAACGTCTACGCTCAGAGTAACGGTTACCAAAAAATGTAAAGAATTCACCAACCCGAGCATGTTAGCGAAGGCTTCAGACGGAATGTCAGGGATTTTGATGACATCCTGATTATTCGCAGCCAAATCCCCATGGAACATGGCGTGGAACACATCGCTGCTCAGGCTCAGAAACATCCTACACGAAATTCATAATGGCCATCACCGCAAACGAAGTACAGATTCAAGGGACCTCCTATGGCAAAATACACTCGCACTTATGCGCATGGAAGATCTTCACTTCGCCATGATCGCGTCCCACAGCGAACTGCACGTCAGTCAGTTCGGCTGCAGTTAAGGCACGCTGCATGCGACGGGCCACTCCATCCAGTGCGCCGCGACGTTGCAAATACATAGGGAACTGTCAACAGTTGCAGTTGACAGCATATGTCGAACAAAATCGAAGGAAAAGTGCATCACACTGGAACTAACATTTTCCTGCGCCACGAGGCAGTTGTCGGCGTGAAGATGCTCCAAAATGTAACAGCAGCAGAGATCGACGAGCAACGGGAAGTCGTATTTATCCGCGCAGGACAGAGTGGGAAATGCGTTCTCCAGATTGAGATCGTCCACTGCATCTGAGTATACATAACTACCAAAAACAACAAGCCTCTAAACTCAGAATAACAGTTGCATTAAAAATGTAGAAAATTAACGCACCTGAGCACGTTACTGAAGGCTTGAGACGGACTGTCAGGGATTTCGATGACATCCTGATTATTCGCAGCCAAATCCCCATGGAACATGGCGTGGAATACATCGCTGCTCAAGCTCAGAAACATCCTACACAAAATTTAGATGTCCATCACCGAAAACGACGCACCCATTCAAGGGAGCTCCCTCTAGCACAGATTCGTTATTGTTGGTAGCCTCGCCACGTACTTACTTATGTGCATGGAAGATCTTCACTTCGCCATGATCGTCTCCTGTCGCCTATTGGGCAACGTGGAGAGGGGTATCACCGGCCTTCCGAGGTTGGATGAGGGTAACCTCGGTGTCTGGGATTAAGCCTCTGGGCTGGAGTCCGAGTCCGGCCCCTATCCTGTCTGCTCCAGTGGCGTTCTTTCTCGGTGTTCGAAGCTTCTTGACCGAGGGTTGATAGGACTTTGATGTTAGTTTGAGGGTGGATCCATCCGTTCAGTGGCTTGATGTAGTTGAAGGCTGCGACGTAGCAGATCGTGGTTAAGAGCCGCGATCTGCGGATGGAATATGGTCGCGGAGGTCTCCACGGACGGCCGTACTTGTGTACCAGTGGCGGTCCTTTATTGCTTCTCTTC